TAGATTTATGGGGTGGCTAAATAAGGTGAGCCTCATTTGTACACGTCTTTAGTCGTCACGCGGACTCAATCTCAGCCTCCAAAAACTGGTTGCTTGCTGGTGGGGCTCGCATTTTTTAAAGCTTGTATTATCTTGGAAATAGAGTTGTACGATGGTCACGGCGTGGAAGTAAATTCATGGTGTTTTTTGGAAGTAACATTAATTACGGGGATTTTTTTGCATGAAAACTTATTCTGGGAATTTTTACATGAAAATAAATTATCGGCATTTTTGGAAATAAAATTAATTACGGGTATTTTTGCATGAAAACTTGCTCTTTTTTGCATGAAAATAAGTTATCCGCTTTTTTGGAAGCAAAATTAATTACGGGTGTTTTTGAATTAAAAGATATTTACTACGGGCATTTTTTACATGAAAATAAATTGCCAGCATTTTTTGCATGAAAACATTCTATGAGGATTTTTTGCATGAAAATAAATTACCGGCATTTTTTGTATGAAAGTTAAATATCGTGATTTTTTACATGAGAGTTAAATAACAAATTACTAATGTTTTTCATGGAAAGAAATTATCAGCATTTTCTACATGAAAATAAATTATTGGCATTTTTCCGTGAAAACAAATTATTTTACACTTTTTGCATGAAAATAAATGTCTTTTGTAACCTTTGGGGCAAAGCTGAGCAGGTAAAACATGCCTAAATGCCTTATTCCTTGACATCGCCATACATACAACTTTAGTAAGGATACAAAATCTCGAAGAGGGAAATAAGATGGTTATTCTTTACGTAAAGATTTTTAGCCAAATATTGAACAAATAAATGAATTGATTGTGGCCAGTTTTACGATGCGGTCGAGGAATTAATTTTATTTATATTGTGGGTTTATGTAAGCTGGGATTGTTTAAGTTTGGATTTTTACTTTGTTTTACTGCCTCAAATATGATTTTTATGTGAACCGGGAACACGTTTGGATTATGTAAAGAGTTAGTGGTATTGCATATAAAGCATTACAGTGCAAATAATGCGGTTACAAAAGTGTCACCGTGTGGTTGGTAATGCATTTTTTGCCAATATTGGAATTCTTTACCATGCTTGAGTTGATTTTTAAGGGTAAATTTGAATTTCTGGAACGATTATTAAGTGAATAACGTTACACATTGGTTTTGAAACTCGGTGACAATTTTTTTACCAAATTGTCCACATTTTTGTGCATGTTAACCTTAAAAGCATTATTAATACATTGGTTTTTCAATAGGCGAGAATTTTGTTACCAAATTGTCCACATTTTTGTTCATTTAAACCAGAAAAGCGTTTTAAAAAGGTTTTTCAACGCGGTGACAATTTTGTTACCAAATTGTCCATAGTTTTGTCCATTTTAATCTGTACACCATTAACCAGAGCAATTAACAATGCTAAAAAATCTCTCGCGTTGCACATTGGTTTTATCAACTCTGTGACAATTTTGTTACCAAATTTGTCCACATTTTTGTCCATTTTGCCCTGCAACCTAGAGCAATTAACCCTACTAAAAATCCCTCTGGGACGTCTCTAATTTTTTCATGGTTATCATTTAATGAAAATTATTATTTCCAATTTTTTAAACCAACCAAACCACACACACACGTTTTATCATCTTCTTTATCATCATCACCACGTGCCATACCCCAAAATGAAAAAAGAATCTCTCCTTTTACGGCTCTAAAGTACAAAACACAATGAAATGTTTACAAACAAGAGGAGAGAGAAAAATGAGCAAATAAATCTCAAAATCTGGACTTAAACTTAAAACGTTAACCAGGAAAAAATTCGAATCCGATTAAGGAAATATTATTAATTGCACAAGTGTCAAATTTTTCTGATTGTTTTGTAGAAAAAAAAATGCTGATGAAAAATTATGATGTTACGGAAACAATGATTGCATTGCAAATATGATGCATTTGTTTTTTTGTACTTTTGGTTAATCTACTAATCAGAAGAGGAAGAGAAGGTAGGGTTCGTAACATAATGCGGTGTTTTTTTGTGGCGGGAATCTACACGTGTTTTTTATTACTTTTTGTTACATAATTGTGAAACTTGGGAGAAATCGTGTAAAATATATTTCTGTTTTTTATCGGTCACAGATTTTTTTGTAAAATTAGGTATTTCTGAGAAGCAGAAATTTTGTAAATTCATGTTTCTCAGTAGAATCTGCTTATTTTACATTGAAGCAATTCACGCAGGCCTTGGTAGCCTTGTAAATTCGGTAAACTTACAAAATTTTACGCCTATTTCGAAAGAAAGTTAGCTCCAAAATTTGTGTAAATTTGCTCAGATCAAGGGCTTCTCTTTAGTATTTTGTAAAAGTTCATAAAATTATTTTGCAAAGTTACCAAGGACTTTGTGAATTGCTTCTTTGATTAATTTGCATGTTAAACCTAAAGAAAATGCGACATTTAATGAATTTTCTTTAAAAAAGATTAATATGTTTTTAAGAACCCTGATCGGACTTTGTTTCTTTCCAAAGGTGCAGTTCTGATTTGTCCAAATATGGTGGTTTTCATGTTAATGGGAAAAAAGGAGTTGCTAATTTCTTATGCATGCTTTCTTCACGTTGTGACATTGTAACAAAACTTAGAATGGAGGTCTCCCAGCGGATGCGATCCGATTTTGAGCAAATTAGTCTCAATCAATTACAAGTTTAATTAGTGTGTAATTTGATAAAGACACGATCTCCCAATGGGCACGTTTCGCAGAGTTATTTGCATCCCAAGAGGAGAAAAATCGACAAATTTTACACATTACAAACTTGATAAACTTTTACAAAATTGTAATCATATTTTTAAGGAAAATTAGCTCTCAGATTTTTGTAAACTTGCTCCGATCAAGGACATCTCTTTATTTTCTAAAAGTTTGTAAAATTACGGTACAAAACGCACACATTTTATGAGTTATTACCAATAACTGCGTGAATTGACTCATTGTTACATACCAAGCCCTGCGTGAATTATTGCCAATTGCGTGTTGCTCATTAAACCCCGTACTAAAAATGAAACCACCACGACCACGTGCAAAAAGTAATATTTTATCATTATTAGGGACGCCATGATAGATTAGATTTGTGGCTAAAAAAACATTGCACAACGTTTCATGAATTTGTCCCTTAACGACCTCCACTCGAGTCGAGAATCGAAATCCAATCCAACATTTTATTTATCAGCACCTTTGTTGTGAATGAGATGCACATTTCTTATCCGCATCCTCCACGTTACATAATTAATTGCTACCTGTCCTCTCTCCCCATTGTGTCGAGCGAGGCGTGTGTAATAATAATCATAATGGAGGCCTAGCATTATTATTATTTTGCAGTAATTGTGAAGATGGGCTAAGCTGCGGAGGGGTAAGCAGAAGGCAAGGCCGAGCAGGGTTGTGCCATGTCGAGAGGCATTTATGGCATGCTGTATTTGCCGTATTTTAATTTATGGCGGGAAATGTTATAATAATAAATAGATGTTTGACATGCCTGGAATTTATTTTCATAGACGAAAATTCCGTCATTTATTTTCATGCTGAAAATTCCCGTGAAAGTTGCATGTCCAAAATTTCGAGAATTTATTTTCATGTTAGAAAGCCTGGGATTTACTGATTATTTTCCTATCTAAAATTCTGGGCATTCATTTTCATGCCCAAAATGCAGGGTATTTGTTTTCATACATGAAATGCCCATCATTCAGTTTCATGTCTGAAATTCTAGTTTTTTTCATTCCCAAAATGTCGGGTATTTACATATTTTCATGCACGAAATTCCTGTTGATTGTTTTCATGCTGAAAATTCCTCGGATTTAATGCCAAAATTTTGGGAATTTAAATATGTCCATGTCACAAATGTATTGGATTTATTTTCATAGCGAAAAAATACAATTTTTCCGCCATTGTACAACCCTACCTTTTAAAAAACTTAAGCAACTCATCCGTCTGGTCATCTCTGGTGCTTGGTAAAAATCTCTCTCTTTTGAAAAAACAAAGTAAAAATGACACCATTATAATTCTTCCTTCGAGATGACCACACCATCCCACGAGGAGGATCTCGTCAAAGGAGAACTCCACCAAAAAATATAATACAGCACAAACATGCACGCTTAAAAACCTCAAGGTCTTCTTTCTCCACCCAAGCCAAGGAATTTACGCCATAATCAACTTATTATGTATTATGAGCAGAGGACGGTTATGTATTTATTTATTTTCAACTTTTATAAATATTTCAACGATGTGAGTGTGCCGAAATTTTTTCGTTGGAAAAAATTCAACCACAAAAAATGCAAAGGATTAAATACAAAAATACAAACTTTTCGAAAATTTTTGTTTTTATGTTTTTGTTTGGTAAATATTAATCACCGATTTTTATTAATAACATCTCCGCCCTCTGATTACGAAATTTTATTACTCAAAGAAATATACCACAAAAAATTCTATGAATTTTTATATTCATAAGTACAAATTTTGCGAAAATGCTTATTTTTCTCACATTTTTTATAAATAGTTTGCCATTTTCTTTATGAATATTATCAGGGATTTTTCCTAAATACATATCCCTCCCCTGAATATATGATTCTTCTCCCCGGAATTTTTTTGTACTCCTGGTGGCAAAAATTCTTATGAGCATGGTGGAATTGTAGCCAAGTATGTAAAAAAAGTGGCGAAATCATCTCGTGTAATGAGGATGATGAATTAGTTGTACGACGACGATTCGTACGTACGTATGCATTTGTTGGTTTGGTAGTTATGCATGCACATGTTGTTGTTCTATTAGGGTTTGAATGGGAACTGGGTGAGAGAGATGACGTGACATAAATCACAACAAATCAAATTAGTCAAGAACGTAAGATGACGAAGGCGACGGTGGTTGTGACCATTTTGTAAAAGTGAGTGTCCGTCCATCAGTTGGTGTGTCCTTTCTCTCTTTTTTGGCATGGATGGACGGACAGATTGGAATGAAATGAAATGAATGTGGTCATCTTCTTCTTCTGCTTCAGGATTATTTTATTGCATTATTTTCATCGTTATTATTATTATTATTGTTGCATTGTATGGGACAGTTTTTCCTTTTTAAAGGGATGGATGGATGGATGGACGAGGAAAAAATATTAGGACGACTTTCTGCTGCTGGTTGGAAACAGGGTTTCGGTTATGGTGGGTTTGCCACATTTCTTGTACCTGTTCAAAAATTTAATATTCATTCAAAAGTCAGTCATCCCGATTTCTGAGTGAAGATTTTCGTTCAAATTCATTTCATTTCACTTCATCGGACTTCATTTCTTACTTCGCCCCATGTATTAAGCATAGGGTGAACAATGAGATGAGTGAAAAATCATTTCATTCACAATCATTCATATGAAATGACGGAATCCTTGAGTCATTTTCATTCAAGTGACAGTTTCATTTTCATTCACTATCATAATCAGTCAAATGAATGAAAGTGAACAGGTATGCCTGAAACGGAAGCCACGCAAGAAATCCGAGGTGCAAGAAACTGGTAGAAAGTGGGAGAAATAAGCGTCATCTAGCCACGCGCCGTATGAAATATTTACAACGGCGGGGCGTAGTTTCTCCCACTGTGCATTTCTCCCAGGTCAAAATATTCACCTGCAAGAAACCACTTTATTTCTTGCACGTGGTTACTTACCTCCATGCGGCACCCTGGTTGTCAGTATTTTACAAGATGGTGAGATTGTGTTTCGTTCGAGATGTGAGTGAAGATTTAGAGGAGCGACACGTGTGTGCGAGACCATATTCATCTTCTTTTTGGTGACGGTATTAAATAAAGCATGCAAACAAACATTGGCCAGTAAAAAGTGCACAAGTCCTAATTCTTCCCAGTATGGGCAACTCTTCTTCTTCTTCTTTTTCTGAGGTGGAGACGGCAAAAAATATGACACACGGATTTTTATCCATGTGTGGACTGTGGAGTGGAGTGAGTTTTAGGGTAAAATCAAGCCCTGAACTGAATGTGGAGGCGAGATGAGATTATTACATGTAACTTAATAGGCAAGGATAAACATTCACTCGGGTGTTTGTAAACTGTGTACAACTTTGTGCAATTATGTTGCACTACTATTTAAGTTGGTATTATAAATAATTTGCATAAACTTATTATACCTTGTGGGTATAAGTGGAACTTTAGATTTATGGAATTATTTTCATGTACTTGTGTACATATGTTTGGATTTTAAGCTGATTTGCTTCCCTAATCTGGGTAAACTTTGGGGAAGTCATGGTTTTACAGAGTTACGCGAATACCGGTGAACGAATTGTGTGGGCATTTGCATAAATAAATAGTATGCGGTGAGTAATACGAGAAGACGAAGTTGATGGTAGTAAATATGTTACATAAGGTGACGAGAGTTGTTTAATTATTGTTATTCGACTAGATACCTATGGTTAATAAAGTTGTACCTGAATGACGGGCATTTAGGACCTGAAATTTAAGTAATGGGCATTTTGGGTATTAAAATACCCTGGACACATTGGCCTTATGAGGGCATTAATTTAAATGCGAGTCAAACAAGGCGTATTACACCTAAATTCTCTGGGTATGGGCAACCCATGAAAAATAGATGCCCAGGCATTTTAGTCATTTTTGGCATCACATGAATGTCCATGTAGACAAGTTGGACAAAGTTAAACAGGGTATGGCACATTAAACGCCTAAATTCTCTGGGTGTTGGTTATACCTCATGAACAATAAATGCCCGGGCATTTTTTGCATATAAATGTCCCTGTGGACAAGGACAGGTTAGCCATAAATTTAAATGTGGTTAGGTACAAAGAGGGGATATCGCATTAAATGCCTAACTGCCCTCGGCATACGTACGTATGCAATTCATGTTATTTCTTGAACCCGGATCTGGTCCATTACTGGTTGTGGACGGATAGGATTGCGGATTGAAGTAAAAAGCGGAAAATATATTACACAAGAAATTAAAGAACAAGAAAGTGATGAATCTCCCACGGAGAGCCGAACTTGCCGTGATCATCATTCACCTCCTCGCCATTTATTTATTGCTACGCGCATTCTGTATTCCACTCGGGCTTAGTTATCAGAGAGCAGCAGCAATTAGACCACATCTGACTCCTCTCTTGGTCATTTCATTGTTTTATGTGTGTGTGTGCAAACAGTGGCCGCGGAAGGGTGCGTGGGGACAGAGGGACAATGGTCACATGGTTGTTCGATGTCGGCATCATCTCCCCATCTTATATAAACCCGGCCCTTCCCCATCCTACAATGTTAGTGTCCCCAGATGTCCCCACGGCTTCTGCGACCAATAAGGATACATACGTAAAGGGAGGATTCACAGTGGCCGCGGAGGAAGCTTGAGGGGACACAATGTCCCCATGGTTGTACGATATCCGCATTATCTTATATAAACCCATCCCCTCCCCCCATTCTAAAATGTTAATGTCCCCCCATGTCCCCACACCTTCCGCGGCCACTGTGTGCAACTATGTATGTAATGCAGGAGTAGTTATATGTACATATGTATGTACAGCATGGTGGGTGTTGTACTTACCTGTGAGGTGGTGGTGGGTAGAATTTGTCTACTTTTTGGCTGGTTAGTTAGTCCATCAGATAGTTAGTTAGTTAATGTGATGGTTTTATGAAAAAGATGAAATTCCAGTTCTCCTTAAAACAAGGAAATTATAAAATTCTCGCTACAAACACACAAGAGAAGCCCGACTTGTTTTGTGGGGTGTAAATAAAATAAGATACGTATGTATGTAGATACGTAAAATAAAGCTGGTTAAACATTATGCCAACCACTTTTCATTGATCTCACCGGTTTTTTTTCGGTCGGTCGTGTTGTTTAGAGTATTATAATTTCTTTCCATCTGGTAATAAAATGTTGTAGTAAGTTTAGAGGTTAAAAAGCTGCCTTATTTTCACGGTTAAACTTGTATATTCAAATGAATTTTTAGTGAACATGGCGCTAGAGAAATGATAACATGGTTAACTTTCTCTTGGTGAAATGGATCATAGCGACAAATGCGTATTTTTTCATGCAAAATTTTTCATGTAAATTTGTTTTCTATGCAAAATTTTTGAAGTATATATTCGTAATCCTGATAAATTCAGATGATTCTTTTTCTATGTTAAATTTTTCATGCAAAATGTTCCATGCAAAATGTTATAAATTTGTTAAATTTTCCATGTAAATTTTCCGAACTTTTTTAAATTTTTCAAGTAATCTCGAGCCTGACATATGATTCTTTTTCCATGCAAATTTGCTCTTGTAAAATTTTTCATGCAAAATTTCCCATTTTTTAGAAATAGAAGCACAAGATTTATTAAGTAATCGTAATCCCGACAAATTCATATGATTCTTTTTCCATGCAAAATTTTTCATACTCCTATTTTTTTTACTATTTTTTCCAGAAAGCAGCCGAGTGAAGCGTGCCCCACCGCACCCACTGGCGCGACTCTCCTCCTCCCACCTCCTCTCGCGCCGAGACCACCACCACACTGCCCGATCTTCACCACGCCACCACAACCACCACCACCACAACAATCATCGCCACCACAACGGGAACAATAACAACAACCACAACAACAATAATGACGCGTCCATCATCAACTTCAATGCGGCCGCTGCTGCCGCCGCGGCGGCCGCGACAACTGCGAATTTGCTTCAAAATCTTCCAAAATTTGGGGGGAAACTTAATCATCATCATCATCTCCCGGATCCGGGTGGTTCGCCGCTGTAAGTACTTGACCAACTTGCGCCAATGTTGTGTGACCACGACCAGTGTTTCGTTCGGGTGGGAGTAATCAGGTGCAAGAAATAAGGGGAGAAGAAAGTGGTTTCTTGCAGGGAAATATTTTGACCTGGGAGAAATGCAAGGCGCAATAAACTCTTTTCCGCCGCTTGAAATACTTCATACGGCGCGTGACTAGATAGCGATTATTTCTCCCACTTTCTCCCACTTTCTTGCACCTCGCATTTCTCCCGTTTTTTCCACTGCAAGAAAAGTACCAAACCCGCAAAAAACGAAACACTGTTGGTCTAAACTATGGCGCTAGGTAAAGATAACCAACTAATCTTATCTTCTCCTTCCCCACAGGTTATTTCCCCCCCTCCTCGGCGAATCTCTGCACGTCCACCTTCTCCACCACCACCGTTTGACGGAAGCAATGCGTCCATTTTTACCGCCTCATCAGTCAATAAACAATTCCTCCTCGTCGTCCTCATCACCTTCTGCTTCCGCCGTCGCCACTACCACCGCCTCGCCCACATCGCCCCCACCCCCACCACCCCCACCACCCCCACCACTCGTGCGATCCTCCCCGTCCCCACCACCCCTCTCGACGTCCCCCTCCACCCCGTCCCCCGCCGGCGTGGAAGTGGCGGCCGTTCGGAGGAGAAAAGTACACCGCTGTGATTTCCAAGGATGTGAGAAGGTTTACACGAAGAGCTCGCATCTCAAGGCGCACAAGAGGACGCACACAGGGGAGAAACCCTACCAATGCACGTGGGACGGGTGCACGTGGAAGTTTGCGAGGAGTGACGAACTCACGCGACACTTTCGCAAGCACACGGGACAAAAACCCTTCAAGTGTCATTTGTGTCAAAGGTCGTTCTCCAGATCGGATCATCTCTCCCTTCATATGAAGAGACACTGAAGAATATCGATTATGTTCCGGAGAAAATAAAATAATTGTAATTTAACGGATGACTCGTTGATAAAATCGCCAAGTTTTTAATCATTTCTCCCATCTGGGAACTTATTTCAAAATTCTGGACAACAAATTTGTAGGGCAGGGAGTTCCCAAATTTTTTAGAAATAAGCACTCCAGATTTTGAATCTTTTTGAAGGAGGAGATCTCAAGTTTAGGAAGCCCTCAGAAAAATTGGAACTCATCGAAACTGGCTCAAAAAACTCGACGCCATTCCATCAATCAACTCACCGAGGACAAATTTGTCGTCCAGAATTTTAAAATAAATTCCCATAGGAGAGAATGTATTAAAAATGTGCAGATTTTGATAATGAGTCATCCTACATAATAAGAACAACTATCCGTCCAAAAGAAGAGTCTCAATTCTCATCGTATTCCAAAAAAACTCATTTATTTTATTAGATTACTATAAGTAGAGTAGAGAATCTCAAGAAACGTTCAAAAACGTAAATATTTACGGAATGTGGCGACTCTACTCATTATTTTATGATATGTAATTGTCTCCACGTGGCGGCGATGTCGACGGCACGTGGGGCGCGTACGTATGTACGTATCGTGGTAAAATTGGTGCTGATAAGGTTAATTAGATACATAAATATTTTTATGAAGTGATGAAGATTATCGACAAAGGTTAACTGCTACGTACGCCTACCCTCAACTCATACATGTTTAGAAGACAACAAATAATGAACAAAAATCTCTCTGCACAAAATCATGTGACATTTTCTCAAATAGAAATATTTATAAGTTTTTACACATATTTTCTAAATACAAATTTGTATCGTACTTTTAGTCTCTGACCTGTGAAATTTTGTAATAGAAAAATTTATTATGCACAGATTTTTAAATTTTTGTACAATTCGAATTGTTTTTATTTCGTACAATTTTCATGTTGATCAATCATCATCTGTTTTTTTCAAAATTTTGATTCCAGAATTACGATCTGAGTAAAATATTGTGAAATTTAGCATTACAAAAACTTTAACTTGAGCTGATTTTTAAATCTGTCTAAAACTGGATCTTACAAGGAAATTGTTTTCCCTTCATAGGATTCTTATCAATTGATAAGATCTCCCTATTTTCACACAGAAAATACAATTAAAATCACGATTTTAGGAATTATGACGGTTTCGAAGGTAGTTTTTCACGAGTAAATTTCAAACAGAGTAATATTTTACGACATGAAAAGAATCAATTATAATTTACTATACATATTTAAGAGATTTTACATATTCTATAACAAGTTATTGCAAAAGTAGACAAAAAAGTCAGGTCACTTTGTAATAAAATTTACTTTTACTAGTTATAAATACTTACAATACAAATACATATTTTATATGAAATGAATGATTCATAATTTTATTCAAGGTTTCTTAAATTTTAAAAGACAACGGAAGATAAAAGATGATTCGCGAATGAAATATAATAAAAGAATTTATTTTTTGAAAGTTAAAATTTCTCGATGATGAATTATTTATGCGTTAAAACGGTGTTTCTTAATATGGGACTGGATCGCCAAAATCAGGACATTTTCAATCATTTCTCCGCTCTGAAAATTTATGTTAAAATTCTGGAAAACAAATTTGTCAAGCAGGTCATTCCCAATTAAGAAATATATATAGTCCAGATTTTGACACTTTTTGGCGGAGGAGATTTCAAGTTAAGAATCCTTCAGAAAAATTGGAACTCGTCGAAACTGCCTTAAAAAACTCGACGTCATTCCATCAATCAACTCACTGAGGGCAAATTTATCGTCCAGAATTTTAAAATAGATTCCCAATTTCCCAGAGGGGAGAAATGATTAAAAATGTGCAGATTTTTATCATAACTCATTGATTCGTAAAAATTAATACATCGATTAAATCAGGAATTAATTGCTAATTAATTAACGGTATATTTGTATTATACATAGTCGTCCCCTCTTGGCGGGGTAACGCTGCTCCCACGCTGGGAAAATGTGACGGGTCCGACATACTCGTCGCTGGACGTGGTCGTCATCTCCGTCGCATTCTTGTCCCCGACCAACTACTCGACCGGGGTGGAAGTCGTCCCCTGGATTTCCGTCAGCCAGGCTCCCATCCTGCTCATCCTGGAGGGACGAGGGGACACCAGCCCCCAGTGGACTTTGGGCGTGGCTGACCCGTCCCAAACGATGGTGGGAGATGTGCACGTGGCCGCGGCGATTGGTGGGGTTTTAGTCGAAAAGGACGTCACACTGCCGACCGGTCCATATGCCGGGAGCAGCGTGGAGAGTCCGATCGAGGTGTAAAATTCGGGAAATTTTGAGCCATATCGTGACAGGAATAAAAAATTTCGAAAATATTAAAAATAATATTTTCGAAATAATATTTGCATAAAAATGCAAATGTCATTATTTTAATGTATTAATAAAAAACTGCAAAAACTACAACCCTTTTCTATTTTGATTAACTTTATTAATTAATTAGGTTGTTCATATGTTTCACATGTAACATATGAGAACCAGGATTAGAAAATTACCGTACGTGTCATTTATCACCTCTGAAATGTATAAAACCGTAGTCAAATGAATCAACGGGTTTTGATTAAGTAAACTATGGCATACATTCAAAAAGAATTATTGATATCTTCAAACCAGTAAAATAGCAATAATTAATTAACGAAATTATTAGAAACTTAACAAAAAAACATAACAATTCACTTCCCAACTTAAGTAACAATTCATGAATGTTTTAAAACTCGAGAGTTTAAACTAAATCTATACTTGGCCAATATTTTAATTTGTAGTGAATACAATTATCATCTTTTAAATATAAAAAAACATAGGTAAACAATGGTAAACAAACAATTTTGAATTGACAAATTATGACAACAATTCTAGAGCATTATTTCCATAGGATATCTTCAATTAGTAAAATATCAATAGGAAAGAATCAAAGTTATTAGAAACTTGACGAAAAACAAGCAATTTGAGTAACAATTCATTACTGTTTTTAAAACTAAATCTATAATTAACGAGTATTTTTACTTGTAGTTAATACAATTACCACCTTTTAAATATATAAAAACATAGATATGTAAATGGTTCAATGGTTTTTGATTTGACAAACTATGACAAAAATTCATACAGAATTATTTGCATGGATATCTTCAAATAAGTAAAATAGGAATACTAAATTATCAAAATTATTAGAAACTTCATGAAAAAGCGTAACAAGTTGACTTATAAATGAGTTACAATTCATTATACTAAAGTTGAGCAGAATATGTGCTGTGCGGGTGGAGCCTAATAGTGAAAAACCATTCATTTCTCCTCTCTCCAACCAACTATCCTGTCCGGAGGCCTACGGTTTTTCACCATTAGGCTCCATCCGCACAGTACATATTCTGCTCAACTTTAGTATAATATCATTGGCTTAAACTCACAGGGGTAAGTAAACTAAATCTATAATTTAGGAGTATTTAAATTTGTAGTGACTATACAATTGTCACCTTTTAGATAAATGTATAATAGTTTGTGATTTGACAAACTATGACAAAAATTCATACAAAATTGTTTGCATGAATACATCCAAATAAGTAAAATAGCAATAATAAATTATCCAAATTATTAGACAATTAACGAAAATTTTACTTCCAAATGGGCAACAATTCATCAATGTTTTAAAACCCGTGGGTTTAAACTAAATCTATTTGTAGCTTACGAGTATCTTAATTTGTGTGATAACTACAATTTTAAAAATAACCTTTTAACCCACCTTTTAAAAATATAGGACCGTAGGCAAGCGAACCCATTCTTTTTGAATTGAAAAATGAAACCTTTGCATAGATATCTTCTAGTAAAATGGGGATAATAAATTATCAAAATTATTAGAAACTCATGAAACAGCGGAACAAGTTGACTTATAAATGAGTTACAATTCATTAATGATTATACATTAATGATTATAAGGTTTAGACCAGATCTATAACTTACGAGTATCTTAATTTGTGTTACTACAATTATCACAAATATATAAGACCGAAGTCAAATGAGTCAATAATTTATGACTTGACAAATTATGACAAGAATTCAAACAGAATTATTAGCATGCATACTTTCAAATGAGTAAAATAGAAATAATAAATTACCAAAATTATTAGAAACTAAACGAAAATTTGAGTATTTGAAAATTGAGTAACAATTCATGACTTCCAAATAAGTAACAATTCATTAATGTTTTAAAACTCGCCAGGGTTTCAACTAAATCTAAAGTTTTGTTAGGATTTTAATTTGCAGTGATTACAAATAATGCAAATTGTTGAGAAGAGGCTCCCGAGCTTCGTTCAGGAGAGCCGTGCCGGTCAAGAAGGCGAGTTTGTGGGCGTATTGGCAAGGCGCTGGGACGGCCACGGTCCCACTCCAGTTGAAGTATCCGTGGCAGAGCTTGAAGGAAAAGCGCTGCATTTTATCGGCATCTAGCCCAGACGTGTCGTGAATTATGTTGAATCCAACGGGTGACACGGTGCCTTGACGAGCCGTTTGTGGAACAAGGTAAAAGTCATACCTGCAATAAAAACAGAATATAACTTTAAGAACGACTCGATGATGAAGATTGTTAAAATTGGCACATCTTTAATCATTTCTCCACTCCGGGAATTTATTTTAAAATTCTGGACGACAAATTTGTCCTCAGTGAGTTGATTGATGGAATGGCGCCGAGTTTTTTAAGCCAGTTTCGACGAGTTACAATTTTTAGGGAGGCTTCATAAACTTGAAATCTCTTCCTTCAAAAAATATCAAAATCTGTAGTGTATAGTTTAAAAAATTGACAACTCATTGCTCTACAAATTAGTCGTCCATAATTTTTAAAGTCAAGAAATGATTAAAAATGTGCTGCGATTTTAACGACGAGGCATCGAGTCTAGCGTTAACGAAATTAAATACATTTAACGGTTGTTAACTTAGGTATCCTTACTTCTCTGGACAGGTAATAATATCGTCGATAATTGATCCAGGAGGAGGATTTGCGACCCTGTTGTCCTTTCCCACGGCGAGAAACATGCGTGTATTGATCCGCTTGGTTACAATGACCATGGAAAATTTGGGTGCATCTTGGTCCCCATAATAGTCGGTGATAGCGCTCTAAAAAACAAGGAATAAGTTCGAAACACCAGACACCAGAGTTTATTTAAAGTCTAAAATTAACCTGCAATGCGACCAGTTCAGTTTCCACCACGTATCGAAGCTGTCCCTCACCCACGCCGTCTCGGTAGAACATTATTCTACAATAAACAAATGGTCAAGATTTGGTTAAAGATAAGGTAAAATAAATTAAAACTTTGAAATTTTACCGAGCCGGAAATTCTCCATCGTTCCTGGCTCGATATGCTTGAAGACACTCTGCAAAAATATGACCCAATTATTCAGTGATATTTCATTAATAACGCATGTAGGACTTTGTTACTCATCACCCAAGTCGTTAAGCAGCTCGTTTCCAATTTTTTAAAATAAATTCCCAGATCAGACAAAAATGAAAAATATGCTTATTTTGACGATTTTGAGTCACCGAGTCCTATGTTAATAAATAAATGAATTTACATACTTCGCAATGCGAGTCCAATTTCGCCTGCCATTTCAAGACCGGGCGATAAGGTGAGCACCGTTGAGAAATAGGACGCCATGTTCTGCGACGTGGTTGCCGTCATTGCGCCGTAACTTCGCCCACCTCCGTGATGTACGTCAAATCCAATGACCATCAATCCCTAGGTACGTATTACAAATAATGCCAATTTTTCAAACTGACTATTCCATACATGTTCACTTTCATTCATGTGACTGATTATGATAGTGAATGAAAATGAATTTCCCGTGATTTGAATGAAAGTGATTGAAAGATTCAGTCATTTCAGATGAATGACTGTGAATGAGAGGATTTCTCACTAATTTCGAAGTAAGAAATGAAGTCAGATGAAGTGAAATGAAATTAATTTGAACAAAAATGACTGAATGTGAATGACAATCTTCACTCATAAATCGGAATGACAGAAGATTGAATGAAAACAGTTCTTTTTGAACAGGTATTCATACCTTGAGAGGATTCGCTAGGCCCCAAGGTTGTCCACCCAACTTGGCGTTCATCTGAATAACCAGCTTCGTACTGATTGACATTAGCCCCTTGCTCGTCACATTTTTGGACAGAAAGCACTGCGACGGGACTTAAAAAAAAACAAGGTAAATCATTTAATGAATCCAAGGAAAAAATGGATTTTCAACTTAATCTTACTCCCATAATTCAGGGAACACGCCTTCTTAACGGCGGCATACACGGATAAGTTTGGATTTGGAAGGATAATCATGATTAGATCGAGACGGCCCTGATTTCCTTCGACGAGCCGCTCAATCTCCTCCGTGTAGGCGTGCTCATTTGTTGTGGTGATTCGAACCCTGAAAGTAATTAGTTAACAGTTTATACCTTATAATTAATTATTAATTTTTAGCCTACGAAATTACACACGTTTGTGTTTAACTATTTTTTACCACTTGACTACCCCGCTATTTTTGGAAATATTACAAATTATACATATTTATGTACTAATTTTGTAGGTAACGGAATATTTCCGATAATCAACTGGTAGCATAGAGATTAAATATTGACACGAGAGAGAAGAATTACTGTATCGGATTGCCAACAGGGAATCCAAGCGGTCGGCCGACACGGTCCATTGTCCTCAAAAGATTATCAATCCCATCGGAATCTCTGTTCGGATACACAATCGCCCATCTTTGCATTGGCTTAGCCAACAACATCTGATTCGCTGCAGGTACACAAGAGAAATAGAAAAAGAACAGTTTAACACAGTAAGTTAATTAATTGTAATACTTAATTATTGAACCTACTTCTAAAAGCCATCGTCCAATCGGCTGCTTCACCAGCAATAGCCTGGCCCGACTTGAAACGAATAGATTCTTGGTCCAACAAGCGTCCTGGAACTTCGCACGGAACGCCTTGAATCCGCATTCCCCACGCAAGCAGTTCAGAAGTCACCTGCACAATGAATAAAGGTATCTTGTAAAGGTGGTATAACACCGTTACAGATATTTAGTCTCACTACTCCATCCGTAATTCAATATCTTTAAATGCAAATTTCTAAAATGACATCAATTTCATGAGTTTGGAGATAAATATAACTTTGCAAAGTTATGTTTTTAGAACAAAACAGTCAGTTTGGAAAAACTAGCGAATTCATTTTTGAGGGCATTTCTTGTAAAAAATGGGAAATATATTACAAATTTCTTTTAAATCGACTATTTTGTACTACCAAAAATTAACTTTACATTAAACTAGGAAAAGTTACGTTTATCTCGAAACTCATGGAATTAATATTGTTATAAAAGACATCGAATTACGGGTATAGTGAGATTTAAAATGTATCTAATCGTCATCCAATGTAACCTTAACTTCGGTTTTAAAAGCAAGGCAAGGTTTTAAACTGTTTCAAATTGTACACGTGATCACAAAACAAGTGACATTTCCCCACTTACCTCCTCGCTTTCAATCATCCTCCTTACAAACTGGACAGTTTGCTGAATCCTTTGTTGCGGCTGCATATGCAAATGCCCCGCTAAATCCTTCATCAACCGGAAATTAGACCTCATCTCATCATTCAATCCGGTCTGGTAGCAAATCTCTGGAGGAAGAATCTTATCCCCGACGTCGCCTCGACGAATATCCCTTTTCGTCGGGGCGGACACCAACATCGGTTGCGACGCGTTAAGGCGAATCCCCTTCTTTTCAAAATATTCCACAAACGTGACCTGACTCTCGACTCCTCCACGTGACACGGTGAACGACCCTGTCGGCCGGATGTCCCAATTGATCCCGGTGATTTTGTACGTTTTCTTATTGTACGTGGTCATCACGACAGTTCCAATCACGGCGGCTTCAATGTCCCCCTTGAAGTTTCGGGACGTTTGACGCATTTCTTTCATAAGGTCGAAGACAGTCTCGGTTCGACAAACTTTGAAGGTTGGATCCACGTTGAGGTACACGTCTCGTTCCATTTGGCGGATCGAGGTGACGAAACCCGGCCAGAGTTGGAGGCGGTGTTGGCGAATGTCGATTTTCTGTTCGGAATCGAAGTAGAAGCGGCCAAGCAGGGTGAGTGCCAGGGTTTCTTGCGCCTTTTTGAGGAGGACGTTGTACAACTGGGTGACGACGGGCTCCCGGCGGTCACATTGGCGAATGAAATCAATGTTAACGGTCCAAACGTCGTCCGGTTTGTCGGGGAAGGAAGCTTCAAAGCGGAGATTTTCAATGGGGATGATTCGCGTAGTGAAGAGTTGTGTCCCTTCGAAGAGGTACGGTCCAATGTCGGCCTCTCGCATTCGAAGGAGTGCCTTCCGTTTCGGGATGTGGTCGATTTCCGGGTCAAAGTTGACGAGATAGAGGCGAAATTCGATAGTCTTTTTCATCTGGAGTTGGAAATAGTTGACGAAAAAGCGTTGAACAGTGCCGGATTTTCCCATTTTGTTCCAACCTTCGGCTCGGGTGCGAAGTTCTTCAAGTCCTCGGCCGAAACCTGGATAAGGAAAAATATCAGGGATTATTAGTAAATGATTCCCGAGATTTTGTATGTAATCGCGGACATAGTTATAAGTCTGACAATGAGAACGAAGAAACATGTAACAAGATGACAAACTATTTTGAAAGTTTTTTGATGAGTTAGGAGAGACAGCAGACAAGATTTAACTGTCCGTCATCATCAAATCAAAAAGTTGAAAATAAAAAATACGTAGCCGTCCTCTAATAATTAAGTAGTTAACGTAGAAGAGGACTCGATGACTTTTCGCTAAAAAACCGTCAAAGTCATAACACATTTTTAATCATTTTTTCGTGGCCCTGGGAAGTTTATCTTAAAATTGCGAACGACAAAACTTGGCTCCATCCCATCAATCAACTCACTGACTACAAATTTGTCGTCCAGAATTTTAAAATAACTTCCCAGAGGGGAGAGATGATTAAAAATTTTGAGGATGAGTGCTACGCTAAGTAATTAAACAAGTAAGTGGATAACGTAAGTAAAATAACGTACGCGATTCGTGCTGCCGTGCGACCCTGGGTTCGTCTCTTGAGCGACCTCCACGACCTCTTCCTCTCGCAAAGGCCTGCTCTTCCGGGCTGGACGAGCCCTCACGCCCCCCTTCACTTCCATTTCCACTCCCATTACTGCTACCATTTCCATTGCTACTATCGGCCCGATATTCAGAGATCAGTTGGTCAAATCCAGGTCCCCCAGCGGCATTACCGGCTGGCTCGATTTCCATGGGGGGAGGCGCGTACGGGTCGACGGGGCCAAGTTGTACAGCGGGCTGAGGAACGTTTCGGGGACGGGACCGACCTCTCGCCGTGACACGTTCTTCCGGACTGCTACCTTCGGAAGGATTCATTGCGAATTTCAGTTATTTCCTGTGGGTGGACTGGAAATAGAGAACAATTAATTAATTAATTGAAATATAGGTTCAGGTACATGTTGAATTTTAGGGAATTCATTTTTTTAAGTTTATAAAAATGTACCAAACGGCTGATGCAAAAATAGGAACGGACCGGACAGATAAGCTTTGTCGGCACGAACACCGACAAAGCTTATCGTCTGGTCCTAATTTTGAGAACAATAATGAGATGAGCAATTCATGAAGGGAATTTTATATTTTCAAGAAATTGTATATTTTTAACAGCCTTCAACAAACATTGCAATTAAAATTTTATTTATGATGGCTGGGTTCTTAAAAGTGGCAATGCAAATCTGGGCTGTCTCCACTTTTAATCAAATACAATTTCTCGTAAATTTGTAAATATTTGTTTAAAACTCTGTTTCAGAAATTTAAAAGACGACTTACCTTCTTATTCCCAGAAAATCAAGGGGCAAATTTCGTAAATTTGTAAATAATTCGACCAATTGTTTCTGGAGAACGTTTAGATGAGAGAAGAACAAAATGCGACGTTTACGCTCCAACTCGTTCGACGCGATTGAGGAAGAAACTAGAAACTACGTCGCATTCTACTTCTTTCTTCCCTCGCCAGGCAGCCAGGAGACAGGGGCGGCAGAATCGAGGGGACAGGGGGGCATTTGCCCCCCAGAAATTCTGAAAAATTCCATCTTCGGTGATAAGACCCTCCTCCTCCTTCTCCTCGTTTCTCACAATAATCACCCCCACCCCCCAACTTCCACCCGGCCGCCACTGCCTTGACAAGTAAATAAATGAACAAAACGTTTACATTGATTATGCAGATTATGTATGTACGCATTGCATTTCTTAAATTTCTTGCAGTTCATTTAACTTCTTGTAAATTTAAATCCCACCAAAGTGAACAAGATTTTAGGAAACTTTGAACATTTTATGCTTTACTTATTTGATCAGGAGTATTCTTATGATTTTTCCAAATTTTTAAACAGCTAAATAAGTAATCCTTCATAAATTCATATAAAATAAATGCTCGGAAATTTTAGAAGAAACATTAGCAGAAATTTGCAATTTTTATTTCTTTGAAAATTCTGGAATTTTTATACTCCTGAGAACAATTTAGCAAAACTCTTCCTCTAAATGTCATCTCATAAACAGTGATAACGTGAAGCAAAATTGTGTATTAAAATGGACAGGTCGACCTCAAAGTTCATTTATAATACATAAATACGGCTGACCAACAAGTTACAATTACTTAATTAAAACTCACCAGGTGCAGTGTCAAGTCGGATTCAGTATGTAAATAAATGATGATGACTTGATGAATATGAAATGAAATGCCGAGAATTTTTGGGTACGAGAGGTTGTCATTCCGTTGTAATTCGTTAACCTCAAGATTATGAAAATATTTACATAAGATTAATTAACATGCGCTAGTCCGTCACGCGGTAAGCTACCGCGCAGCGCGATAAATCTACCACGCCACCCCCACAAATTACTCCCAAGGGGGTGTGGTCAGAGTAGGTAGCTAAAATAGGTAAATAAATAAATCATCAGCTATTAATTTTTTGTTGATGATTTAATCTCAACTACTCCCATTTAATTGATTACTTATCAACTGCTTTTGCAATGGACTCCTCCACCTTATCGCATGCCATCATTCCTGCTGCAGACAAGTTGAAGCTTTGGAACGTCTTTCGCAACGTGGGAGCGGAAGGAGAAGAGATTTTGAAGACAGCGAAATTGGTCCATGTTCACGACAAGGAAGGATTCGTCGTCACCAACACGGATGAAACGTATCATTTGACTCCAGAAACTACCCTAATTCCTGAATTGTGCGGCGTTCGGGTGAAAGGTACGCATTTTGGAAAAGATACGGTAAAAAATAAATACAAAATTTTTTGCCTGTTATTTTTAGAATTTGTTGTTGGATCAATTAACCTCGCAATTACGGACGACGGACTCAGTGGTGCAGTAAATTCCGCTCAGCTAAGACATCAATTAAAAAGCAAATGGAGCAATTAGGACGCTTCTCTTATTTCGTGGAGGATGGGTGCACGCCGAAACAAGTGAATCTGATGAAGATGAAAGTACGGCAGGTAGCCTTGCAAGGGGTGAGAAAGGGGCGCGTCGTGGCGTTAACAGTGAGAGGAGATGTTTATCACTGGGGAACAATTGGTGGCATAATCATCAGGGCGCCTAGGTTGATGGACAAGAAAGAATGGAATTTTGTAATGGGCAAGGATTTTTGGAACGCTATCTCGGTGGGGAGGAGTTTTGGGGCAAATTTTGTTCTCACAGACCGAGGAAAGGAATGTATGAACATTGATAGCTACGTATAAATATACGATCCAAAATTTAGGTGTGATTTACAGTTTTTTAAATTTTGTAAGTGTAATTTTATAATTTAATAAATATTTTTATATCATATTAACTATTAATTAATATAATACTAATATAACTAATATTATATTATAATAATATATAATTATATAATAATATAATTATGTATAATAATATAATATTATTCAATTCAATATTCCATTTATTAGCATTTGATATGGCCATGAGCCCTCATCAATAGAAATTACAGAGCTAGATATGTAAATGTAAATAAAGTAAAGTAGTCAGAGGAATAGTGGGAAAACCTGGCTATGGTGTAGAGCCAGGAAAACCACTATTACCTCTGGGAATGTGGCCCAGAGGTCCATTCGGCTCTGACTACATCACCCAGGCAGGACAAATGAGTGATAGGGATCATGGGCAGATTCCGCGAGGAACTGCTGATATCCAAATGAGGACGGCGTCGTGACGGCGGAAGCAAGGTGAGTGAAGGTTGTTGGGCGGGGCGTCCACGGACCACGAAATACCTTAGCGCCCTCACGGGCACGGGCTACGTGTCCCCTTCACGGTCACACAGTGTGACCACGGCCGAGCGACACTACCCACTTGCCCCTTCACCCCTCACAGCACAACCGGGCCATGGGACCCCCGTAGGCCCGACTACACTGCCCACCGCCATGCACTCCCACTCTTCTACCAACCGCCCCCACGGTCACCACCCCGATATACCAAACAATGACCTACCTGGGGGGAGTCCTCCATGGCGTAGATCCTCCCGTGCACTTGGTCCGGCGAATCCATCTTCGCCTGATGGCTCGGCTTGTCGTTGCTGGGACGGGTGTGGCAGGGGGTGTCACCAGGCACGCAGTTGGGGGGTGTGAGTGGACGAGGCTCACAGGGCGAAAAGCCTGGGACACACTTCACTTGCCCTGGCACACCCGCGACCCAGATGGAAGAGAGAGAATCCAGTTGCAGAGCGAGAGAGAGACACGTCGTGCACGGTTGGAAGCCAAAGAGGATCTCATAATATAATATTATAGTATTATAATTATAATTAAATTGTTATTATAATATAATTATAATATTATATGGAATGGTTTGGCGATGATTTATGGAAGTGCAGGGTTACTTTTAATTCTCAAGTTCCGCTTGAAAATTGGTAATGATTTTTACTACCGTACTTTACTAGTAGTTATAGATGTAACATTTCCTTGGAAGGGAAAATCATTTCTGCGCATAGATGGATACTGATGCGTAGAAGTGAATATTTCGAAAAAAATGTTTAGCGGCGACTGGAGTGAAACGAAAGGATCGTGTACTTTTAAAAATACATACTTGCTTGTTTAAGTTAATTAATTTACGGCTAAATTTTGTAGCGTGATTCAAATCAAGGACACGAGGCATGACATATTCGAAGCTCGGAGTTTTCCATATTTACCGTGGACGAGAACGACAATATTTGTGGTTATCATATTTATTTTAAAAATTAAAATCTTCAAAATATTTGAAAAAAAATTTTAAAAATATATTTGAAAAATTTATTATTATAATATTACATTACAATAATATAATATATTATATAATAATGCAATATAATATTATTGTAGAATATTATAATTATATATATATAATATAATATCACATAAATATAATACAACATATTATAATTAAATATATATATAGATATATATGTATATATCACTTCTTGCAGATCAAAATAGCTGCAAGAATTTCTTGGGTAGGGCACCCTAGCTACGTTGCGAAACGCAGCCAGGAATGCAGTGCTGGGACAATGAAATCTGACCCTTGCCGGGCCAAAATTCATAATTTTGGCTGTAGGCACCTGATTCTGGCTTACTTGACAATACTTAAAAAAATATAAAATTTTGTAGTGTTTAAAAAGGTACAAAGTTCGAATTAAAAAAAATTTTAATTGGAAAAAAATTGTTTCTAGAAAAATAGTAGTTAGTGTTTAAAAATACTTTTTTTAAACACTACAAAATTAATTATTGTCCAATGGATCCAGATGCGCTTGGATATCTTTGGCCAGTCCCGTAGAAGGGGCATTATAAACTGTTACCCTCCGTAAAGTTGTGGTAATTAAGATCTGTGAAAAAATATAGTTTATACATGCATAAAATGTCGGTTTGTAAACGTAAGTGTCATTTCTGGCGGGTTGCGAAACATTGATAAAAATGAATGTTTCCCGTCTTACCACACGTTCCCGACTGATTTAAACAACCCCCATTCCCGGTCAAGAAGATCCACACTTTAGCTAAAATTTCTTCAGGTCCATTAGACTCGACTAATTTCATTCAATGAAAAGGGTACCTACCTGGGACGAAATAGAATTACAATTTGCAAATTATGCCGAAAGCATGGCCCGCCATGAGGGCAAAGCTTTGATCGTTCGGGTGAGTTTTTAAGTCACTGGTCTGGACCGTCCAAAAAAACTCGTGCTCCTCCTCCTCTACCACCATCTGCGTTGTGTAAAAAAAGAAAGTCATTTCGGTAATTTCGTAAGGAATTAATAAATTTCGTAAGGAATTAGTAAATTCAAAAGAAAACCTAAACTTACGTCGTCGGCTGGACTGCGTGATTGTGCCATGATTGTTGAAGATGTAGAATGGTGTCAACTTAAACTTAAACTTAAACTGTGTTCCTATTTCCAGGAAAATTCTTCCCGACGAGCAGCAACAACAATGGAGAGGAAAATTTCCAATTTTTATCAATGTTTCGCAACCCGCAAGAAACGACACTTACGTTTACAAACCGACATTTTATGCATGTATAAACTATATTTTTTTCACAGATCTTAATTACCACAAGTTTACGGAGGGTAACAGTTTATAATGCCCCTTCTACGGGACTGGCCAAAGATATCCAAGCGCATCTGGATCCATTGGACAATAATTAATTTTGTAGTGTTTAAAAAAAGTATTTTTAAACACTAACTACTATTTTTCTAGAAACAATTTTTTTCCAATTAAAATTTTTTTTAATTCGAACTTTGTACTTTTTTAAACACTACAAAATTTTATATTTTTTTAAGTATTGTCAAGTAAGCCAGAATCAGGTGCCTACAGCCAAAATTATGAATTTTGGCCCGGCAAGGGTCAGATTTCATTGTCCCGGCACTGCATTCCTGGCTGCGTTTCACAACGTAGCTAGTTTACCTTTGCCAAGAAACCATTTATTTCTTCCAAGTGGTTACTTGCAAACACTTGGCAAAATTAATAGTTCTATTGGAAACTTATAATTAAAGTCAATAATTCCTCTACCAGCTATTATGCAACACAGTTTTACAGTAAAGCTTTTACTATATTATTATTAATTATTTCGCCTTTAACACTTCTATCCAAGCCTATTGTATGTTGGTTGAGTTCACTGGAGATTTCGTCACATGACTGCCAGGGATGCAGTGCCGAAGCTATGAATTTACGGGCCCGTACGGGGCCCCCCCATACTGAAACCTGAAAATTGAATGTTTGTTTGTTTGCATAATGTGCGTCGAAATATGTCACCATGAAATATAGTTGGTTACCATTCGAATTGCTATAAATTTTGATTTTTCCCGCCAAAATTTATAGCAATTCGAATGGTAACCAACTATATTTCATGGTGACATATTTCGACGCACATTATGCAAACAAAAAAACATTCAACTTTCAGGTTTCAATTTGGGGGCCCGGTAATTAACACTTACGGCACTGCATCCCTGACAGTCATGTGACGAAATCTGCAGTGAACTCAACCAACATACAATAGGCTTGCTTCTATCTGTATCTTATCTTGTTACATACATACTGATTATGTCAAAATTCTAGTCTAATTTGTGATACTGCAATTATCTTGATAAGCATTCCCTGAATAAAGTTGCATGTTAAAAAAGTAAACAAGTAAGTCTTATTTCTTTCAATCTCTAATCAAAATAACTAATTAATTGGACTACGTGCAAGAAGTTTTACTGTTCGAGAAAAAGTTTACTTTATTCGTCAATATTTAATAATAATAACAGAATAATTATTTATCAAGTTATTTATTTCTTCAGAAAACTGGTTTTAGTTATAGTTCAAACCATTTCAAAAATTAAAATTAGATTACAATGAATACAGAGAATAAGAAAAACATTAAGTAAAAGAAAGATTTCATCTTTTGAGTATTATTTTTTGTCAGTACAACAATTTAAAGTTATTTTGATTTCCAAGAAGTATATCGTAAATCACAACAGATACTGATTACGAAATTCGAAATTTTATCATCTTCATCGCTATTAAGAAACTTTGTAAATTAATAAAAAATACAAAACCGGAAGTACTTCGGATTTAATGGACTAGCTATTTGTTCTTGTGCGCAGTCGAGAACCACTTGAACGAAGTCGAGTCATGAGCCGGCTGCGGAGGAAGGGCTTTCGGGTCGAAATCCTGCAAAAATTAGCGTTTTTAAGCCATGATTGTTATCTGGTTTGCTTATCATGAAAGCTGAGCAAAATACTTTGCTAAAAGCAAAGCTCTGTTCATCCCAGGGTTGTTACACCCATAAAAAGACGAAAATTTAAAGGTGGCAGGCAGTTCTTACGAAAATACAGGTTTCTGAAAACATTAACTTTTTATCGCTGCCAAAATACCATTTCTTTTTTTAATCGTGAAAACAGTGAAGCTCTTCACGCAGGCCTTGGTAACATTGTAAAATCCGTAAACTTACAAACTTTTATACAATTTTACTCGTATTTCGAAGGAGAACTAACTTCTAAATTTTTGTAGACTTACTCCGATCAAGGGGTCTCCTTATTTTGTACAAGTTTGTAAAATCAGGGTACAAAATTTGCAGATGTTACAAGTTATACATGACTGCGTGAATTGCCTCACTGTATATTGACATCGATAAGAACTTAATTTATTCAAAAAAACCTGAATTTGCAAAAGCCTTCTCCACGTAGATTTTCGTCTTTTTGCCTGCGTAACAGTCCTAGAAATTCAAACCCTGAGAAGAACCGGAGCTCAAAATACGACACATTTTAACAAAGTATTTTCTCTAAGACGGCTTATCATCAATGTTAAAAAATGATAACCTTATATTCCGGTTCGTAATCGTAAAACAAGATCCTTTTCCCATCTTCTCCTTCGGCCAGGGTGAGTTCCCTGCGACGATGTTCGCCACGAGCGTACGCTTCCAGCCAGTCGGGTGGGGGTACTTCGTCGGAGAGGTCGATGATGGCATCCTCATCGTCAGAAGAATCGCTCGAATCATCACTCGAAAATATTTCGATTGGTTGGCCAGTCGAGTCAAAAGTGAATCGCTTCTTCTTCCCTTCGGGATTCGAAGGGTCCACTGAAACCTCGATCTGTTTAAAGTACATATAAGATTAATTAGATTAAAAAGACGAGAATCTCCTTGGACAAGAAGATACGAGCTTTGCTAACAAATTAATATTTTTATCCGTGTGAAAGTACTGTAGCTTTTTAAAATCGTGAAAACAATGTATTTTGACAGGTAAAAAGTTAATTTATTCACAAACCATTAACGTATATAAAATTAGTTACATTTTTAGAGATATTAGACCCACAAAAAGACGAAAATCTACGTAAAGAAGACAGCAATCGTATGACAATACTAGTAATAAATTTACTTTTTATCGGTGTCAAAACACTGTATTTTTATAAACCGTGAAAACAATGCATTAAAAAATTTAATTTCTTTACAAAACCCGTATTTTCGTACGACCGCTGCCTTTTTGACGTAGATTTTCGTGTTTTTGTGGGTGTAACAGCATCGGAAATCTAAACCCTTTAAAAGAACGGAACCAAAATCTTGATAAAGTACATCTCTTAATTAACTAGATAACCAACCAATAAGTCAACTAATTAGCTACTCAAGCAATACGTAATTAATTAGATAACCAACCAATTTGAACCAATACTTATAATTAATTAGATTACCAACCAATCTCTCACTCTTACTCACCTCTCGCTCGACCAATAATTAATCAGATAACCAACCAATAATTATAATTAACTAGATAATCAGCCAATAATTAATTAGATTACTAACCAATCTCTCACTCACTCACCTCTCACCTCTCGACCACCCAATAATTAATCAGCAGATAGATAACCAACCAATAATTAATTAGATAAGCAACCAATCTCTCACCTCTCGTCCCGCCAGATAACTGAAGTCGGGCTGCTTCTTAATCCTCCGGTAGAGTTTCATTCCCGTGGCTTCCCTCAGTTTGATTATCCAGTCTAAAGGGACCCTGTCGCAAGGGTACTTCAACACGTAGAGGACATGGATCGCCTTCCTCCGCAATTTTGACGGGGTCAACTTGGCCCGGTTGCGTTTCGTCATGACCGTGTACCACTTGATCATCGAATCCATAAAGATCTTATACTTATCCAACTTAAGAAAGCGAATGGCCAATTTCTCCTCTTCGAGCTTATCCGCCTCCACCGCCGGGGGCCGGCGGGACATGGGGAGTGCCATGGTTAAGTAGTTAGTTAATTGAAATTTATTTATGAGGAAATTAGCCAATTTTAAGGAAAAGTTAATTAATTTTAAAAATTTTTACTCCAAACTCAGCAGTTTTGTTGAAGTCAGATGGGAAACAAAAGTGTGAATGAGCAGAGCTTCGCGGAGGCCGGGTTTGTTGAGATTGAGATGTCAAGCAAACGTCATTAAGGTTCCATTGGATGCGGGTTTTGAGTTTGAATTTTTGTGCGTCTCAACTTTCCCCTTCTTTCATGTATTCTAATGGCGATTTTGAAATGTGCCCATCTCCCTGCATTTTTTTTAAATTGAAGATTTTATTATGTCTAAAAATCGACAATTTTTAGCTTCGCAAAGTTACGGGGTTAGAATTTTGATTTTTTTCTCCTTAAGAAAATAAAAATAAAATAAATACAAAATAATAATTAAAATTAGATATTTTAATAAGGGACGCAAAAATTTAAACTCGAAACCCGCGTGCAATGGAACGTTAACGTAATTGTGTAATTAAAAAACTCTCCTTAATCAATCATTATTTAATTTTGCAAGCTTTTATTATTTTACTAAAAATAATTTGTGCCATTTGCTGTATCATTTTAAACAATATATTTCGTATTGTATTTATATATATACCGATTTCTAGTCAAATTAATTAAATCATTTCACATTTTCAATTACATAATCTCTACTTAAAGCTAATAATTGATAATCACATTTATTTAACGCACATCACACTGTCGACGCATGCACCCCCCTCTTCAGAAATTAGTCCCATTTCTTCCAAGTCATCCTCACATTCCATTAGCACTATTATCATTAATGACAAAATTGATAATTGATATAACAAAGTAACCAACATTAATAGAGAAATTATCATTTTTTAAATGTGTAGTTTACAGTTTTAGGGGGTTGAAGTTTACGAACAATAATTGATGACGAAGAAGGCTGACCAAAATACCAATTTCGTTGCATTCTCTCTCACTAGTTAGACTCGATTCTTATATAATTATTATAATGCTGAGGCAATTCACGCAGTTCTTGGTAACTTTGTAAAATCGTGCATTTTGAGAAATAATTTTAAAGAGACTCCCTTGATTTGAGTAATTTTACAAAAATTTGGGAGCTAATTTTCCTTCGAAATACGAGTAAAATTTTTTAACAGTTTGTAAGTTTACGGATTTTACAATGTTACCAAGGCCTGCGTGAATTAGCTCAGTATTGAATAAAGCTTGTATACTTATGTATCATCCTAATAACGCACAGGTTTCAAGGGACTATTATTTTAAATCAAAGATTTCAATGAGAAGCGGCTCCACTTCGCGGGGATTCACTTCCAGAAATACGCGTAAATGGTTTGAATTTAAAATGTGAAGTTCTGCAATCCTCTGGATAAGTTGGAGATACGTGGATCGTGCTTCACACCCGTTTCGAGTTGATTCCAAATATCTGAAAAATGTAGAAATTTCTATTAACACATGATTCAATGATTAATCGCCAAAGTCGTAAAAATCAGCACGTCTTTAATAATTTCTCCGCTCCGGGAATTTATTTAAAAATTCAGGACGACGAATTTGGAGAGCAGATCGTTCCCAATTTTTCTTAAACTTTTTGAAGGGGGAGATCTCAAGTTTAAGACGCCTTCATAAAAATTGAAACTCATCGAAATTGGCTTAAAACCTCAACGCCATTCCATCAATCAACTCACTGAGTACAGATTTGTCGTTCAAAATTTTAAGATAAATTCCCAAATGAGTAAGAATAGGTTGATTTTGACAATTTGGTAATGACTCAGTCACTCATACGTTAAGTCATTTATATCCACCCACCTCTTGAGAAGATAATAGTACGAATCCTGCTCCAATTTTACGACATCTTTATGAATAACATTCGGCCTTTCTGGCGTGAATAGCGTGATGGCACAGAGAATAATCATAATATTGTAGTCCGCACGCCAATCCCCTTTAAACGATTTCACGAAACGTTGATGCTCCTCGTACAAATTTCCACGGGCTTCCTTCAGCACGCCAAGTTTTACGTTGAACCCGTTACTGTGAGGTATCTGTGCAAAAAGAAAATTGGCAATTTAGCGCAATTTCGCATACATATTTTCGTCAATTTCCTCTTACATTCCACGAATCTCTTTCCGGATCGTAGGACACAACACTGCGTAAAATCATCATCTCGGTACAGCCCCCCTTCAACAGAGCGATCTGATCTTCTTGACACATATTTTTAAATGCACAAATCTTCTTCGACATTTTTATCAAACGTCGGATCGCGATGTCAGTCAGGTTTATCACGTTGATCAAAGATGGATCCGACGTTCCCTACAGAACAAAATTCAAGAAATAAATTCCCAGAGTGGAGAAACGATTAAAAATTTGTTGATTTTGGCGATACGTCGTCAAGTTCCACGTTAATTTAACAAGTTTAAACCCTAATTAATCATTAATTACTCACAATTTTTATCGGTCCATCCAAATCCACCGGCGCATTGAGGGCCTCACTCGCAAAGAACAACTCACTCAGCTTCGCCTTCTCCGCTTTATTCAGCGTCCTCGAATTATGCATGGCCGCCGCGGAGGAATGCGAATGCTGCTGCTGATGTCCCCCCGACATATCGTCATCCCCCAAACAATTGTCCTCACTCAATAACCCCGCATTAAACTCGGCCGATATCGCGACGCTGAGAATGGACTCCATCGTGTTGAGAGGTAACGGTGGGAGTTCGCCTACGTCTTGGTGATGATGCCCACCAATCGAGCCTCTCGTCAACTGTGGGGGGGACGATAGTGACGAAGAAGACGACGAGGGGGGTGACGAGAGTGACGATTCTCCGTCACAGCAACCCAAATGCATTTCCATGTGGTACTGTTGAATGAGGGTTTTCTTCTTGGAGGGGTAGTCAGAATCGAGCGGTGGTGGTGGTGGTGGGGGCGGGTACTGGATCACTTGCGGCGGTGGGTTCAGCGGTTCAGGGGGAGAATCGGCTAATCCCGGGCGCACGAGGGAGGCCAAGATGGGATTTTGAGTGGGTTGTTCGTCTTGCTCTTCTTCTTCGACATAATTCTGGGGGAGGAGGTAAGAGGACGAGTTGTGGGTGGCAATTACGGACGTTGGTCCATGGTCAACGATGACCGGAAGTGGTTTATTACTTCCTGCGTAGTGAAAGGGGTGATTATTGGCTTGAGGAGAAACGAGATTCTGGTGAAGATTATTACTATTGTTCGTCGTACTATTATGATTATTGTGCACGTGGTGGTTGTGGTGGTGGACACTGTTACTTTCACTGGAGGAATTCGACGAGGCGTCGCAGTCAGGGGTGAGTGTGTGGTGGGGGATTTGGTGATTGTCGTCAATTTGTGGCGTCGTGGGCGTCGTAGCCGCCGCGACTTTCATTTCTTTCGGGTGGATGGGATCCGTTTCCCTAACGTCGCAGGAGGTGACACGTTTTAGGCGATTTTGTTCGATTTTTTGCTTCTTCATTTTCTTCTCTTCGTCCGTCATGATCCATTCTTTTTTCATGCCGATGTCAAAACATTTCTTTAGTCTGGAAATATATAATAAAAAAAGTTGGGAAATTTTATAGATTTTTTTAAATTTAGTATTTTGTGCTCAATAACCTGCACTTTTGACAAAATCGTCTCGTCACAGGGTCAACTTTACAATTATTGTTAAACGGACAAACAAATTCTTTTGGTCGGAGGGCATTTCGACGGAAAAATGCTTTACAACTTTCACAAGTTATAGCGTTAAAATTATTTCCGAGGGCTTTGTCGCCACAAACGCCGCATATTTTAGGGTCCGGAGTTCCAATTACGTCACCATCACTGCCGTGTTTCCCATTCCTGGTAAAACAAAGGTGTCAATTTTAACTAATTATGCGTTATGCTCTCCGACTTTGAGCAAACTAGTGCCAATCGATCATAAATTTAATTAGTATAAAATTTGCGAAAGACACGATCTCCCAATGGGCACGTTTGGCAGAGATAGCTGCATCCCAAGAGGAGAAAACGCCCCTTAAAGTCGACAAATTATACACTTTCCAAATTTACCGTGCGTTTTCCCCTCTTCGGATGCAAATATCTCGGCCAAACGTGCCCATTGGGAGATCGTGTCTATCCCAAATTTCATACTAATCAAATTTGTAATCGATCGACACTAATTTGACAAAAATCGGAGACCTCCATCAATTCTAATTTGATTTCTTTTATTAATTATTATTTTACAAACCGATCAGAAATTCCTAATTTCCTGTCCTCCTCGTTTTCATCCCCAGCAACAGCACCACCACCACCCCCAACAATTTCCATATCTGGCTCCATTTTAGTCTCGAAACTGCCAAAGGTCCTCCCTTGTAAATTAAAGCCTTCCCTCGTCGTCCGTATCAATTCCAAATTCTGTTGACGCATGGGATCCTCAGGGACATAACCGTGACTCTGATGACCATGATAAGTATGACCGTACTGAAGATTTTGACGATCTTGTTGTCCTAATTCTTGTCCTAATTTTATCCGTGTTGGATTCGTCGTCGATTGAAACGCATCACTCGAGAACAAGTCAAAGTCATCTAATTGTTCTTGTCCTTGTTCCTGTTGGGGGAAGAAATTCGTATCGCTTTGCTGATAAGTGTTGCAGTAAAAATCTTGTTCCGTTCCGTTTGTTCCTTGTCCTCCTATTGTTCCTGAACGGACCGGAATTTCTGGATAAGTTGTTGTCGTTGTTGTTGTCGCTGCCTGTCAAAAAAGTCCAGAATTTTAAATTATTTTAACTTTTTTTTACACCAATCACTCTTAAATAACAAATTAGTCAATATATGTTCAGGTGTTCAGTTAGTGTCCACTACATAAGTGATGATGATGCTTAAAAATACGTCACACTTATCAATCCAACCCACTGATAAGTCCATCCATCACACAAAAAACCCAAACCACAGATCACATTTCTTTCATTATTAAATAAATATATCGCATCTCACCAACAAATACATAAATTTAATAAACCCTCGATCTCGACCCTCCCTCTACATATCACTTGATACTCATACTCACTCGATAAGGTGAGGTACACAAGTTTGCTTTTGTCCAGTAATATCTATCGTCACTTGATAAGTTGACTAATTATTCAAAATAACTCGCAAGTCACATGCTTATCGTTAACTTCTTAAACTTTTTGCAGATGGAACTCTACAATTATTATAATTCCTAGATTATTATCTTATCTACCGGAGCTCGGTAACCAACCAACCACCACTTATCATCATCGTCAAACGATGACAACTAACTTGAATTGGTTATCATTTTCTTATATAAACTACTATTATGGGAGGCACCACTAACTAAACTAAACTAAACTAAACTAAACTAATGACAATTTACTTATTTAACTTGGATAATAAGATAAACAAGAAGCAAATTACGGTTAAATTATTATTTTATCGTTCCTCAACAAGTAGTCATTCATTCAAGAGGTGGACGTGGACAAACAATTGTTCATACTTTTATCGGGACAAGAAGAACATGAGAAGATCGATAATTCCTAAATAAAACCTGATGGATGGAACATAACATCATTATTATTCATCTAATTGTTGTGAAGAATTGAATTTTAACAAGAAGAGGCTCCCGTTTTTTCTATTATTATCCTTAATTTATTTAACTTGCACATTATTATTGTTCTCATATTTTAAACCAATAATGTTCTGTGGACATTGTCGTCTAGTTTGTTATGTCACAGTCACCAATTTAGCAAAGGTTAATTGACATTTACTCGAGCATTTATAGATTATTTTTAAAAAAACTGTTTTTTCCTTTCTTAATTTTTCGGAAAATTGGCACTTATTTACTCTAAACTCTGAATTGTAAAAAATGTTGAATTTAAGCTAATTTAATTGCAAATTAAAAACTAGCTCATTTTCTTCACAATATTTACTAACTCACGTTTTCAAACCATTAAAAAGTTCCCAATTTTGACAAGTTAGTTATCATTTCGAAGGCTTATCACGAAAATAAAAACGCGTAACTTTTCTGGATAGAAACTTCTCAAAAACTTTGAACTATTCAAGCACAAATTAATGATTAATAATATACTCGAGACCCTCCATCTTTCTTTAATCTTACTTAACACAGAATGACTAATTATCCACAGAAATTAATTACTACTTACTACATAATACTGTAACAAACTTACCTTTAACGTTAATTCAAATCAGAATCCACAGTAAACAAGTGACGATACACAATAAAACTTAATGAAGAACACTAGAATCCTATGATCCAACTTTAATCCAGTAGTAGCAGTAATTAAATCTAGTTCTTTCCAACAATAATAACACTAAATATTTAACGTGTTGTTATTTAACAAAAAGTAGCAAACCAACCTTCTCCATCGCATGATCGAGACGAGATGATGATGATGACGTGAATGTGAACCTTGCCGCCTGGCTGATTGATACCCCACAATCTCGTACATTGTATTTCATTTACATATTCATAGTATGAAGTACGGTATGAATTTCATAGAGTAAAAATTATAAAAAATTGTCAATGTTTCTCATAAATGTTACACGATCATATTGAGGTCTGAACTGAATGATATCGAAATTTATCAGGACAGAAGAGAATTTTGCATGCATACCTCGAGTCAGCAGAGAATTTCGAAAAATGCATGGCAAACTACAGGAAATTTTATGAAATTTCTATAGGTAAAATTAATCGAATCTACATTTTCTACCGTTTCGATCACAAATTTAGCTTTAATTAAAAAAAATTTGGACATTAAAAAATTGGCCACTTTGCGAAAACACAAACCAATAATTTTGCATGAAATTTCCTTTAGCAGTAAATATTTTTTTGTCTCATTTTTCTCACAAGGGACACTCACGACCTGTCGTTTGAGTCCAGGGTACCCACTATGTTTTTTAGAATCTACTAGGACCCCAGATGAAGGATTCATTCATATTTCCGTGTAAAACTCATATTTGGCGCCAAGGCGTGGCGCCAAACTTAAAAATTTGCATTTTCGACCAATTTCAAACCCCCATAACTTTTGCAGTTTATGTCGGATTTTCAAAATTTTATGCTTAAAATGATCACAAAAGTCGACATTTTTGAGAAAAAAATAAAAATAAAAAATTTCTAATTTTTGAGATATTTTTAGCATTTTTTCGACGAACCTCCATTTGTAAGAAAATTACGAAATTTTGCGAAAAGTTAAAAACTATAATTTTGGGAAAAATTGCATGGAATACGAAAGTTGAACTCCTTGTCATGATTTTTGCCAAAAATTTTTAAAATCCGTCCAGGATTTCAAAAGTTATGGCGGCTTCAAAAATAAAAACATTCAAATTCAGCGAATTTGGCGCCACGGCACGACGCCAAATATGAGTTTTACACGGAAATATGAATGAATCCTTCATCTTGGGTCCCAGTAGATTCTAAACAACATAGTGGGTACCCTGGACTCAAACGACAGGTCGTGAGTGTCCCTTGTCAGCGATTGTTTTTGTGTATCTCGTACACATAATTTTCGAGTAATAGTTTTTAAAAAATATCGTAAACTTAATTGTTCTTATTCAAATCATGTTTAATTATGTTAAATCATATTTACGAATGACGTTAATTACTTGTATTACATTCTCCGTCAAAAGTTTTAATTAATCCATATATACATATTCTCAAATTACAGTTTAACTAATCAATATTATGTTTTTTTCGCATGTAAAATTTCAGTTGATTTATTAATCTAGCCAATCTTTACATGCATATGTATACAACATGCATTCACGTTTTGCATAAGAAAACTGTACCCAGATTCCAACCCATGTACACACATATTTACTATATGTCATGCAAATTTGCAAATTTGCAAATCTGCAATGAATGTATTTATATATTCATTGCTATCTCTATCGCAAGGGTTCAAAGGTCATCATAACATTGTAGGGAAGGGGAGGAGTCAAATAACATAGAAAAATTCAATATTTCTATAAACACAAATTTAGAATTGTACAAATTCCCACGGATTTTAGACATGGAATTCCTTGATATAAAATTAATTAAAATAAATAATTATTTTGATAAATTAAAACGTGGGGCCACCAGGGCGTTCCTAGTTTCCCCCTAAACTTAACTTACAAAATTTTAAAACAAAATCATAATATTTACTTCAAAAAACAGCGATTGCACAAAATGCATGCTTAAAAATAATCCCATCCCATCTACAATTTTGTTATATGTATCAGCAGAAAAATATCAGCACGACTATTTTTTGCATCACGGGAGATATTCGTGATTTTATACACATTTATTTATTTATTTATATGCATGTATGTATGTACCCTTGTCAAACTATATGTATGTAAATACATGCATATTATTGCAATATTTAAAGCTGCTGCAGGTGGGTAAATAATATCATTCCGCTATTCGCACCACTGTAAAAAAATTGATAAGCCGTTGCTGGATTTGAGTCGATAAATTCACACCAAAATAAGCTTATGTATGCATAAGCTCATATTGTGGGAGGACGGATGGATGGAGAGATGCATCGCAAATCTAAATCTAATTCGTTGTCAGTGTTCTGATTCAGGTGAAATGAACGAATTCAAGGTAAACAAAGTCTCAATTTTCATTTCAAACGCGTACGACGGATATGCATTTATAAAAAAAGCCCCAAAAAAATACCAAAAAAACATTAATTATTTTGTTAATTCCATGTTCAAATTTTTGTAAAATCAAATTCTTTCATTAAACCGTATTTCGTTAAAAATGATCAAAATTATTTATGTCTTAATATTTTAAAATGTTAACAAATTTAGTACAAAACCGTGGATTTTTTAATCGTCAAATTATTATTTTTAATTATAGATAAATACTCATTTTTTTAAAACAAAAATCCTGTCGTTATTGAAATGGTGAGAATAAGATTTGATTTTAATGAATAAAAATCTTTTTTTAATACATTTTGAAAAAAAAACAGGCTTATTTCTTTTACATAATGGGTGAAATATTTACACAATATACATAAATATTTAGGGTATTATCGAAAAATTATAAATCCAACAAAACATTTTGAAATTTTAGATTCATTTTAGTAATCTATTCCACTTTTTTACCCACAATTTTTAACCCACAACATACCCACAATTTTTTACAGCCATCTATTAAAACCCATAAATAAATAACCGTCCCCTGCTGCTTACTTATTATACCATTTTCATAGATAACGGTCTAACAAATCTAAATCTCCATACTCACATTTTACCAGCTACATCCACTGGATAAATGACCCTACTCGATAACCCCGCACAAGAAAATGTCATCACTACAATTTGTCTTTAAGAGCTAAACCTTATTTCGTCCCCCAAATCTCGTCACCTTTCCACGCCCTCTCGTCACATTAATATTTATTTAACCGCTTAAATAAATAAATCACTACATAATAAATAAATACACATGTACTGACCATCTCAACCGTAAAAAATTAATAATACATAATCAGATCATCCTCACACAACTGCCATGCAGATTCAATCCAAACCACAACAAAACGCTGTATAATTACAAAATTACAATCTCTTGCGTCACTGCCCAAAGCCAGGTTCATGGTCATTATCTCATCTCATGCAGCCATCCTGGTTAAACAATTCACGGTTAAGTTTTTATGTCCAAAATATCATGTTCCTTAACCAACCAATTTTTTATACCGGTCTTCTTCTGACGTAAATATACGCCACCAGGACACCCGTCCTGGTTTACTCACGTGTGGATTGAATCACGCCGAAAATTAATAAATTATAATGTGACTGACGTATGTAAAATCAAGTTAAATGTCTCACCATTTTTTTCCAAAATGCACTCCAGTCCAATTAATCCAGGTAAAATGATAATGATAATATTTGCTTATAAATCCATTTAGTCAAAATTTTATAAAAAAACAAATTTGTCAGAAAACTTGGTCAAAAAACTTCTTTCATGAAACTTTCACTGTTAATTTTTTATCACATTTTTTTTTAACAGTCTCAATCAAACCCGGATAAATAATAGTATATAAATCCATTTGGTCAAATTTTACGAAAATATTACTAAGAAATAAACAAACAATTCGTTAAAAAACTTTTCTAGTCACACTTTCACTCTTTTTTATCACACTTTTTTAACCGTCTCACCCAAACCAGTATCAATTCTAAACTGGCCAAAACACTGCATGCACAATGATGCACAAATACACAAATTGTAACATAAAGAAGGTACGGTATCAATGTACGGACTGACTGACTCCAAAAAATTCATTCTTTTTCATACATCCAATAATAAGAGACCGAAAAGTATGTAGAATTCAATCCAAATCCAACCTCGTCCTCCTATGATCCACAAATTCACTGCACAACTCCACTAAAAAAATGTCTAAGTATTCCAGTCCAGATACAATTTTTTCTAATAAGTTAGTAAGTAATCATCGTCTCAAATTCCCGTCCAACTAAATTTTGTCGTCTTAAAAACTTTAATGGTTTCCAAATATGAAAAACAAAGTGAAACACGACACGACCAGAGGCCACAAGAAGTTCCATACAAACTCCGGTCTATTATTCATACGGTTTCTCACCGTTTGTGCACACAGTGGCCGCGGAAGGGTGGGTGTGGACAGAGGGACAAACAATGTCCCCGCGGTTGTGCGATGTCCGTATCATCAGTGTCCATCTTATATAAACCCCGGCCCTCCACTATCCTACAATTTTAATGTCCCCACGGCTTCCGCGGCCACTGGTTATTAGTCTGCCTATGTATTCACTGGCCGCGGAAGGGTGTGGACAGAGAGACAGTTTCCCAGGGTTATTCAATGTCCTCCTAATTTAGAACCCCCCCCCCTCCCCTATCCTACAATTTTAATGTCCCCCGATGTCCCCACAGCTTCCGCGGCCACTGTGCGTATGTATGTATGGAAATCGATCAATCATTAAAAAACATTTACCAACCGAACGAGGAGCGAGGAGACTATTATTATTTTTATTAAGTGTCTTATTCCTTAATTCGATCCAATAATAATCACCAACCACTCCAGGGTATTCCGACCCAGGGTTTTATTGGGTTGGGTTTTTTGGGTTTTAATGGGTTGTTAACGAATAAAACCCATTGAGTTTTACCATGTTAAATGGGTTTTATTTGGGTTTTAATGGGTTTTAACTGTGTTTCAGCTTAAAACTATATTCTAAATAAAAGCTGAAAACAGCTGTCATACGTTAAACGAAGTTGTTTGATGGCAGCTAAGCAGTTTATTTGATTAATACTGTAAGTTTTCAAAACCAGGAATAAATCAGCGAGTGCAATTACAGGTTTCAAGTGACAAAAAATAAATAAAAAATAATTTCGGAACGAGGTATGTTTAACTGAGCATACATAATTTAATTACATTTAATTTACATTTGCTGTCATAATTAATACTTTTTTCCCGAATACTTCCTCTCATCTCAGCGAATAAATTAAACAAAATACTACAAAAGGCGTTAGGTGATGGTTTTGACGAATTCTCGGGTGAATATCTTTGGCGGGGAGTTGAATTTTGGACTGATTTTTGGTAGGTTACAAGATAATACTCTCAAAAAGATATCTTTAAAATTTTAGGGTGATAGCTTCACAAATGCACCCTACAGTGCCCCCGGAGTTGGTAGAAGCCAAAAAAACACTTTCCAAACTTAATTGCTTATATAGCATGATAACCAAAGAGGTCAGAGGTGAATGATTGTTAATATAATAACCCTAGATAATCATTGCATGTAATAATAAAAGAATCCGTAATGAATCACACAACGTGGGCCTTCCATCATCGCGGATAGTTTGCCCAAAAAATGATAAATCAGACCGTGCGCGGAAAAATTAACCTGCTGACCCTGAAAGTTGACCCACCGGGTCAAATGCAGCTTGAGGGTAAAGCTGGAAGTGTCCTAAGTAATATTAAAACAAACAGTCAAGATTTTGTGTAAACAGTTTTATAGAAGGACCCGAGCTAATCAGCTGTCGCAGAATCCTAAAAAACTCGTGAACTTATTTGGAAAATTAATGGTCAAATTTTTTCGAAGATAAATTTTAATAATCTTTTGGTGTCCCCTGCTGCAGAACTATTTTATCTACAAGGTACAAGTGACAAAATAATAAAATTATTGCGTTTTGGTTCGTTAAATTATTTCTGAAGTTCGACATCGAAAACGACGGGAACTTTTCCAAAAAGTTTATAAGGTCTGATGAAAACTCAGTCCGTGGGGTGTAACCACTTATCAAAATTTTGTCAAAAGTACTTACAGTGCAATATACTATATGTACCTTGGATAAAAACCACGTTAGGGATTTTTAGCATCAAAGTCGTAAAATGTGGGGGCCTTAAAAGTGGAAGAGTTGCGTTAAAGAGCGCATTTCATTAGGACAAGTATGAAATTAGACTGTAAAACGGACTTAAAAGATAAGCATGAGGCAAAAGTGGTTTTATATAGTGAAAAGCATGCTAAGTCCCTTAAAAATAGTCGCAAAAACTATTTTTGCACCAGGACCTCAGAAAAAAATATTTTGTTCAACGCCATTTTATAAGAACACTGGTTTGGAAAACTAAAAAAGGACACCTGTCCAAATTTGACCTTGCCTCATTTCGCAGAGTACACAAAATCGGAAGTCAGATATGCTTACCTATAGTTTGAGACATGGGCTTTCAGATAAAAAAAGTTAGAAATCTCTACGACTAAAATCCATCCCGCAATTAAGGCATGAATTCGTCAAAACCATGTCCTAACGCCTTTTGTATAGTATTTTTTTAATTTATAAAGTTTTTTAAAATGTTTCAAGGCGATCTTAATTACACCTCTGGAAAAATCGAGTACTTATGGACAACGAAGTACTTTATGAGCAAAAGAAGTGTGTCTGTAAAAATCACTTATTATATTCCTGATCATAATACATACGTACTTTCGTTGTTCCATAAGTTTCATTGTTCCATAAGTACTCGATTTTTTCCAGAATTGATAATACACGTTAAGATCGCATTGAAATATTAAATTTTTAAAAGTTTAAACAACTTGGATTTCATTATGATGAGAGGAAGCATTCGAGAAAAAGGTAATATATGTAATTAATTATGGTCACATAAAGTATTAGATTATGATCAGTTAAATAGGACCATTTCGAAACGGATAAAAATTCTAACATGGACAAGGAGGATTTGCATATTAACTGAAATTGGATTGCAATAGTAGTGAAAATTGTTGTTCAATGTATTGCTTATGTAAAACCTAATAAAACCCAATAAAACCCATAAAACCCATTAAAACCCAAAAAACCCGTTAAAACCCATTAAAACCCCTGGGTCGTTACTTTTTGATTAAAACCCTGGGTTTTTCCGAACCCTGAACCACTCGTTTTTTTCTCTTCTTCCAAACAACACAAGTTCTTGTAAAGCTTGACAAACAGAATTATCTAACCACTCACTCTTAAAAAAACTGGTATTAAATCATTACTGACCGGAGTACTACCGGCACGGTAATAACAATAACCGGCATTACCTTTTAGTAATGTTATATATGATGGTAATGAAAAATTTACCACTCAGAAGCAAACAAATTACTACCAATCCGGTAAAAAGTTATTACCAAATCAATGACACTACCAGATTTTTAACAGTGTGTATCTACAATAAGGTCAATCCTGACGAAAATGCAGAACAAATAATAATATTGTCAAAAATTGTCTAACGTGGTGGAGGGAGGAGGAATGCGACACTGTTAATAATCATGTCATAATTTAAGATAACATCTTATCTCCAGGGGTTTGTAGTAAGTGTAATCACGTGAAAAGTGTGGGTATAATGGGAGCACACGTACTTCAAATTATTATTAATTGTACACGTATGCATGCATTTATTTGTGTACATTGAGTTGCACATTTATGTACCAACTGCATCTGCATGCATACCTGGAAATGTGCATGGTTTACAAAGTTGACTTGACTGTAGTGTTTCGTTTTGCATGTACAAAACTAATTCTTGACTGGACACTGTCCAAAAGCGGGCAAAACTATGCAAATAATTTTGGACATCCAAAATGCCCATAAGCGTCCAAAATATCAGACAAGGTCCAAAATATCAAAAAGCGATCAACAACGACTGCCTCGGGGTGGACCACATGCCAAGCAGTCTAAAATTGTAGCGGCGACACGGCGGAGTTCAATCTTTTGCGATGAAGACGACCGATAAATGCCGGGTTGAAGGGAACTTTGCGGAATATCTCGTGCAATTACTCCCCTCCGTGAAGAAACTTGAAATTCGGGCAGTGTGGCAACGAGGCGATTGAACCGTTCAAACTGTGGGATCTGGACGAGGTCAAGCTGGTCGTGCGGCATGAGCACGTGGCCGCCGGGGTGGTCAGCGTCCTCAAGGAATGTAGTGGTTTGGAAAGGTAAGTATTTAAAAATCGTGGTTAAAACTTAACTATAAATAATTATGTATAATTATTTAAACGTATTCAGGACAATGCCTGAGGATGATTTTGTAAACCCGTATGGCGTATAAACAGTTCCGATTTTATCCGATTTTATTTTTACTTCTATTTATGGATTATTTACTACCTGTAAATAATTTAATAGAAAGGATAAATTTGCGAAAAAAATTCCACCCAGCAAAAGTTTTGCGAAATTTCTTACAAGCTTGCGAAAATATTTGCGAGATGTGCGAAGTTTGACCTGATTGTTTCATTTTAGGCGTCAAAACCGTCCATTTCCAGTGCACTGAGATCAGAGAAAACGACTTTTCTGACAGTATTCAAGATGTCATTTTGTTCGTAGAGGATTTAAACGCATGGAAATCTCGGGAGTTGTGGTACGTACTTCGGTAAAACAATTTTCGTTAGTTATTTTTTTAATATCCAGTTTTGCGATAAATTCAGATCCCGGAAACTGTTGAAGTCATGTTTTTGAAGCTGGTGGGACACCTGTACATTTTCTGGGAGGTGTGTATCACAATTAAATTAGTGGCATGTGAGAAACTAGGTGATAAGTAATTAGTGCGGTTTTTACTGTTTTACTGGTGCAGATTTCATAAATGCATGCTTTGGTAAATATGAATAAACGTTTTACTAATAATTTAAATTTATTTATTACCACAATGAAAAATTTTAACATGATTTTCATATTACATATGTATATTCGCGAACATAAATAAGTGTGACCACTTCTTCTTGAGATTTTCATAATAATTTTTTAACGCGTATTTATAACACGCATAATTTTAAGACTAATTGAAAGAAATCATGATATTTAACTAACTTAATGAATAATGTTTGACATAATAGATAAACGTTTTAGAAAAACTTGACGTTGATAAGATTAAGAAATTTTGCGAAAATAATTCGTTAAAAATATGTACTCATAATATTTTTAAGAGTGAAATCCATGCCAGTTGCATGCAACAAGGTATAAAATTTATCACATAAATTACTAAAAACCGTGGTTTTAAAAAACGGGTTAAATTTTCCCGCCCTTATTTTGCTTCCATGGTAATTCACTCTGGAATGGGGAACCTCTCCGAAAAACGAGGCCCGTTTGAAGGTGGGCAATATCCATTCCGGTGAATTCGGTTAATTCTCGACACCCTAAAAGAGTAGGGACAAGGTTGCGGAATCGGTCCATTTGTATGGCGTCGACTTCGGCGGGGTCATAAAATCGCTGGTACGTGCGGTCCCCAGTCCCCCCGTCGCACATGCAGTGCTCGATACGCACCTCGGTCACATCTGTTAATAAAGAAATAAATCAATGAGGAAATTCACGCAGGAATGAGTAACTTTGTAAGTTACAAAGTTAACGGATTTTACAAATTGTACAAGAGAAATTTTAATTCACCTGGAAAAGATGTCGCCAAATATTCCAAAAAGTCGATAAATCTGGAAAATCTGGTGGGAAAGGGGGCCCCCACGGAAATATGGGTCAACGCCTTGATTGGAGCCAACCGTTCGAAAATCATTCTCAGAAAGACGTTCAATTCGCCTTGTTTGAAAATCCAGAGCCGAACGTTGATATTTAGTCGCCTCAAAGACGGGAACATTGGACCTGTGCCATTCAAAAAACAAAAAATATTAGACACGCATTAATTTTTATGGGAAGGGGGCAGTTCATAAGGTATTCTGTAGAAAAAGTACTGGATAATTGGCAAACTTTTAAAAATCGGATGTTTTTTTTAATGAAAATTCGACATGTAAATTACGACTTTTATGAAATTACAATTTTTTCCCAGTCATTCTAAAAAAAATTTTGAAGGATTCTTAATACAAAATCACGCATCAATTTTGATACGCAGAAGAAGATTAATGTTTTCCGGTTAAAAAACTTTAAAATTATCAAGGTTAAAATGCTGGATACTTTTTTTCATAACAAAGTAATGAAAAAATTGAGATTATTAGATCCCTCAGAGTAATTTATGAACGATCCTTAACCAATAAAAATTATCACACCAAAAATCCCCCTTATTTACTCACCAATCCTCTCCAACAACTCCAGATCCTCGATCCCACACAGCTTCAAATTCGTAATTCCTCCCCAACAAGCGTTATCCCTCCTTAAAATATTCCCCACATAAACGTTCGCCCTTTGGTAAACCTCATTCGGTATCTCACACAAGTCCAAATGCTTTAATTTCCCCATTTTCTCCAAGTCCCTCACTCCACACTTGAAAATCCGCATGACCCCGTTCTCAAACCATTTCAAGTTGCGAATCCCGTCCCTCGGAAAGCGAAATTGATCACTAAACTGAGAAAAATCGTACAATCTCCGAAACCCCGTAAATCCCACCGTTAACTGCAACCGCTCCAAGGAAACTTTCACCGTTTCCAGAAAAACGTTCAAATTTTGCAACGTGACCATATCCGGACTCTTATTCTTCCCAATATTCCAATTAAACCGGAACTCCGACAAGTTTCCAAAATCTGCCGGGATTCCCGACAAATAATCATCCTTTACTCGTAAACTTTCCAAATTTGGGGTGACTGCTAGCAAAAACCGCAAAAATGTCTGCTGTTCCTCCGAAACGTCGGAACCCAGGAGAAATTTGGATTCTACGATGTACTGAATTTTTAGGAGTTTCGGTTTTTCGCTAATTTCCGGGTTGCCCACTTCCGGCCACGTGACGTAGGGGCGGTCTCGCCTTTTGTATGTATGCACCTTCTTCTCGTCGAGGATGACACGCAAATTTTTGAGTTTTTCGAATTCGCATTGTGCAAATATATTGTGCACAAATTTCCCCACGGAGGCGCCCCCCAGGACGGAAAGGTGGTGAATGTGGGGGCCGATTTGGGCGAGGAGATTGACCGCTTGGGGGAGGATGGCGTCGTCGTCGGGGTGCGCGGTGAGGGCGATGGATTTTAGGAGTTTTGGGGGAAAGGAGGCCAATTTACGGGGGGTGATGAAGGGGCCCTGCGCGACCGCATCGCGCCAGGGGACGGCCCGGTTGAGGTGGACGGTGACCCGTGGGGGGGAATGGAAGGAGAGGATGACCTCGTTCCAGAGGGTGGACACGAGCCGGAAATGGACAATGTCGGCGGGATCGGGGACCCGTTTTAGAATGGCTTCAACGATCTGTGGAAATTTAAAATAGGAAATATATTAAGAAAGTTGTATGTAATGATGAGGAAACGTTTGTAAACTTTGTAAATTTGTAGGAAATTTTATATATGTTTGTGGGGAAATTTGAGTTATGGACTTTTACGAAATGTATGAAATAAAATTTTTGGTGAACTGACGGAAACTTTTGTAACCTTCATTTGAAATTGTGTATGGCTTGTAAATTTTACGAAGTTTGACTTACCAGTGCATTCGATAGTGCTTCTGCGGCTGCCATTTTTTCCAAAGTTTTCACAATAATTTAGTTCCCAACTTTATTACAAATTTTAAAAAACCTCGGGCCAATTTTGTACTTTATTTGTAGAACAATATTTAATTTTTTCCACGAGGCTTGTGCACTTTTCAGCTGTGGAAAGGAAATAGTCAGTCAGTCGAGCAAGTTCGTGAGTTTGTGAGTTTTGTGTGCATTGATGTTGAGTGGAATTCTGGTCCGGACCAAAAGTCCTGTTTTGATGTGAATCGAGCGTGCACGCGCTCTCCCCTACTTTTGCACTGATTCATGTGAAATTTTAAACTTTGTCCTAGAGATGCGAAATTTGGCATGCACATGCACCAAGATATGCTACATCATAATATAACATCAATTCCCGTTCCGTTCGCTATAAATTTTTCAAGAAAAATCAAAAACCAAATTGAATAGGGGTGACATTTGGTTTTTGATTTTTCCTGAAAAATTTATAGCGAACGGAACGGGGATTGATGTTATATTATGATGTAGCATATGTTGGTGCATGTGCATGCCAAATTTCGCATCTCTAGGACAAAGTTTAAAATTTCACATGAATCAGTGCAAAAGTAGGGAAGAGCGCGTGCACGCTCGATTCACATCAAAACAGGACTTTTGGTCCGGACCAAAATCCCACTCAACCTCAGTATGAACATATTTATTGAGGTGGAGGTTTCCCTGCCTACGATTCCTATCCGATTCGTGTAACGATGATAAGGATAAATTTACATATTTAGATATGGACATACGTATGCATATGCACATAACGTTGAGGAGTTTCTTTTCATGTAAGGGAAGGGTTTGTAAATTAAAGAGCATGTTCCATATCAACGTATGAAGGACTCAATGACTCCACTAAAATCGACACGTTTTTATACAATCATTCTTTCACTCCGGAAATTTATTTCAAAATTCTGGAAGACAAATTTGTTGTCGGTGAGTTGATTACATATGTACATACGTAATGCTGAGTTTTTTTTAATGCTAAGTATTGATGAGTTCCCATCAAAGCTTCTTAAACTTGAAATCTTGGTCAAAATCTGGAGTCCATGTGACTTTTATACAAATCTTGCTATATGAACCTTATGGAAAATATATTATGCAACGTGTCCGGAAACCTGCAATATGAACGACGTATGCGCATGTGATGTACAACTTGACCTTTGTTCTCGTCACGATGAAATATGTCATCGTCACTGTTCAAGTTCTGCATTTGTGTCGGCGCATGGAAAAATGAGAGCGAGACGCGAGCAGAGTTTAACAAAAAACGGAATGACTTTACTCCATAAAAATCGTTATGGTCAAAACGGTAACGAAAATCGGGTCATGTTTACAACTTAATTATTCAACTACGCTATTTTTATCGGGAATAATTATCCCTTCACAATTGGTGAAATCAGGAACATATAAAACTCTAAAGCATGGGAACATGTCGTCCTTTGACGAGGGGTGAATTGGCAGACGGAGGATTCTATTCTGGGGGATGAAGCTTCCTCAAGTGCATCCCAACTTTGCCTTTCTGCGTGAACGTCTCCCCGCAGTGGGGGCTGGGGTGACGGATTTGGGAATGAATACTCCTCAGATGTCGCACCATGTGACCCTTTCTCCCGAACTTCTTGGCGCACTGGAGACACGCGATGTCCTTCACTTTCCGGTGAACGGTCTCCTTGTGGATGCTCAGACTTTGTTTAGCAGCGAACGCTTTGTCACAATCGTCGCATTTGAACGGTTTTGGGTTCGAAGTGTGACTGAGCTTGTGCAAGTTTAAGCTTTTACTACGAGGGAACAGCGCCCCACACTGGTCGCAACGGAAAGGCTTCTCCGTAGTGTGGGAGACCAGGTGAATCTGATAAGTGCGGTTATCAGCGAATATCTTGCGGCAAAAAAGGCACTCTCGACTCGTCCCTTGCTTCACGAGGGCGACTTTCTCTTCTTCACTGAGGTGGGAGAAGAGATGGCTGGAAAGGATTTGTTTGGAGGAGAAACGTTTTCGACACACGTGACACCCCCAGCTCACTTTTTCCTTCGTGTGGGTTGCAAGATGACGATGGAGATGGGACGGAGTTTTGAACCGTTTGGTGCAGAAGTAGCAGCCGTGTCGCCAGCCCTGCCGCACCTCCGCGCGCTCCTCCCCGCTCAGGTGGATGAAGAGATGCGCGATCACATGTGGTTTCTGGGTGAACTTCTTTTTGCACACGGGGCAGACGTGGTTCTTGCGACCTTCGTGCGCAGCCACGTGGTCGGTAAAGTCGCGACGAGTGAAGAACGCTTTTCCGCAGTGGGGACATTTGTCATGGAAAACTGAGGTCTTTTCCAGCTCGGCGGAGTTGAGGTGGGTGTGAGCGTGGAGGGCAGCGCTGGTTCTGTTGGGGAAGGGATGCAGGCATATTTTGCATGGGAAGACTTTCTCCACCACGTGACCACCATGCTTTCCGCCAACTTGCCGTAATTTCTTGGCCTTCGATGACCTGCTGGTGGCTGACGGCGACTCCGCTTGGTTATCATGGCTGACCTCCCCCTTATTCATCCTGCCTCGTGAAGTTCCCCGGTCAGCAACAATCGATCCCTTTCTCTGCACAGAATATTATTAAGTCAGCATGTGTAGTTGACTAATAGATTTTACATGCAAATTAAGCATGCAATCTTACCAAGGACTCGTTGAAATTAAACGACTCATTAAATTTGTGTTCGGGATGCAGTCAGTTTGATTTTCAAGCGACGTTCAGCCTTCTTTACGCTTCTGGTCTTTTTTTAATGAAAACTGGGTGGAAATGTTTAAAAGTTATTAAATTTCTAAAAGAAGTGAGCTCGGGGAGCGTTTTGGTCTCTGAGAGAGAGATGGCTTCGCTTATCTGCGTATCCCACCAACAGGTAAGTGAGTCTCGTACAGTTAGCCCTACCCAAAAGGGAACAAAGTGCGGAATGGTGCAAAGAATAAGCTACAAAATCCTGAAAAAATCAGGACGGTGATGATTAAATATGCAATGCAAAAATAATTTGTGTGTGGTGAATTGAGCAAGACTATCTTGCCAAACGTGATACGGTGGTGGTAATGATGCTCAGTGATATGCAAATTGATCCTTTTGTCCAGAAGAGATATGCGTGCATCCACCTCCACTTAATCTCTGAAATTTGGTTATGAATCTGAATTCCTTTCCTCCACTCTTATCCGAGTGATATCTTGTTAGTGTTACATTCATATAAGAATTTTGTGGGGCTTTCATCAAAATGAAATTTGAGCGAAAGCTGGACAAGAGGAATTCTGGATATGATTGAGTCTGGATTTCTTACTTTCCTCATGCAAAACGATGCTTGCACATTTAACTTAAGGCTTACCCTCAAGCTCGGAGGAGTGAGTTGGGTTTGGAGCAATATCCCAGTTTCAACCTTCTCTCTCGCTTTGCAGAATACATTGTAGTGCCTATCTCGAAACTTCGCATCGACCCTGTGGGGGGGAGGAGTCGACCTCAGGGGGCATAATAGTGGAATATGTTGCACTCGTCTTTCTGCGTCTGATGGTATTTTTTCAAATTTTTTGGACTCGCGCGAAGGGCTGCAAATGTTTACCATCAATGTATCCTTAGTAATGTAACCTTATGTAGACTGGTAAACCATTTGCAGCCCTTCGCGCGAGTCCAAAAAATTTGAAAAAATACCATCAGACGCAGAAAGACGAGTGCAACATATTCCACTATTATGCCCCCTGAGGTCGACTCCTCCCCCCCACAGGGTCGATGCGAAGTTTCGAGATAGGCACTACAATGTATTCTGCAAAGCGAGAGAGAAGGTTGAAACTGGGATATTGCTCCAAACCCAACTCACTCCTCCGAGCTTGAGGGTAAGCCTTAAGGGAAACGTGCAGCCTTATCAAGCATTGAACTTGTGTTGTACAGGGTTTCGCTGTAGTTTTAACCACTGTCCAAACCGTTTTGATCAGTTTTGGACACGGAATTTTAAACGCCTGAAATGGCCAAAAGCGTCCAAGACTGGAAAATGGGGCAAAATGTTCCAAATTCTTTATTAAGTAGCGTCAGCTACTTATTGTGATCGTTTTGTCCGTCCGTCTGTCCGTCCGTCAGCAGGATATCTCAACAACGAGTAAATATAATCAAACCCCGTTTTCGCCATTGTGTTTCTATTTTTTAGTTCTCGGTCGAGTTCGAAAATGGGGTCAATCGGACCACACCCCACGGCGCTAGTGGGTGTGGTCGAAATTAAATTGGATGTTAATTTTCATATGGGGTGTCATTTTAAAGGAAATTTCACCACGAATTCAATGGCGTTAAAATTTTTGACCTCGTGACCTTAAGGACGAGGTCAAAGGTCAAAAAATACATAACTGTCATATGGGGTATCATTTTGAAGGAAATTTGACTGCGATTTCAAGGACGTTAATATTTTTGACCTCTTGACCGTTGGGACGAGGTCATATACGGAAACTTTAAAGGAAACTGGAATCGGTCTGACGCTACTTATTTACATTCGTTTGGAGGGTTTATTAACTTCTTTTTTTGCAATTCTAAATCTGCACAGATTTAATTTCCCATTAATTCTGAGCATTTTTGGTGTGTCTGCAATATAACGAAATCTGGAAAAACTTTTCCTTTCACATGTTTTCTTATTTTAAGAAATTCAAAAAATTTCCAAACCATATACTCAAAATTAGTGGGAGATTGCATGTAAGTGAACGGATTATCAAAAGATTCACTAACGAAGAACTTGCTAAATTTCTATTTTTGGGCACTTTTGAAAATTTTGGACGTCCATAACTTGTTAAAACCGGTTGTTGATGGTTGTTTTGACCAGTGGTTAACACTTTCCTCTCTCTCTCTCTCTGCTATTTAAATAGTAAAACTAAATAATATTCCTCCCTCGTTTGTGATGATTTCGTGATTTCGCTTATTTTTAGAACAAGCAATTCATGAATTTTTTATGTTTGCGTATCATGATAATTAATATGCAGACTACGATAATTTTTTGCAGAATTATTTAGTCACCGTCGTCTGTTTCGATATGCAAATTGCAATATGAGATTGGTTGACAATCTTGCAGAAGAAGGTTGAAAGGCAGGATTCGAGCAGGAGAAGATTCTTGATACTCAAGAACCGACTGCATCCCGAACACACGCCTTACGCCCAAATTTGAAAGAGTCGTTGGTAAGATTGCTGTCTTAATTTTCATGAAAAATCTGTACTTCTTCTCGGAATGCTGACGTAAAAATATTCTGTGCAGAAAAAGGGATCGATGCATTTTAACGGGTCAACTTCCGAGCAGAACGAGACGTTGTCGTTGGACGGAATGGAGGTTAACCAGAAAGCGGTCAAACGACAGAAGGCGCTCGTCCCCACGAAGGAGAAAGTCGACAAAGGGGAAAGTTCTCAAGAGAATGGGCGATTTCCTCCTCACTCCGTCCAAGCACCACGTGACGATAACCACGTGCACTCGCAGTCACCCAACATCACGTTATCCAAAGCCAAGAAAGTCTTCCCATGCAAAACATGCCTCCGTCCTTTCAACAACAAAACCAGTGCTCGCCTCCACGCCCGCACCCACCTCAACCCCCACGAACTAGAGCAGTCCTCATTTTTCCACGCAAGGTCCCCCACTGCGAAAAAGCGTTCTTCACTCGTAATTCGTTTGTCGACTGACCCCTCGTCAAATTTCATGTAATGTTTCCATACTTTAGATTTTTATATGTTCCCCATGTCACCATTTGTGACGAGATAATTATTCTCGTATGACTGATAAAAATAGAATAATGGAATTAGTAAGATGTAAACATGACCAAATTTTTGTTACCGTTTTGACCACGACGATTTTTATGTAGTAAAGTCATTCTTTTTATGTAAAACTCTGCTCGCGTCTCGCTCCCATTTTTTCATGTGCCGAGATAAATGCAAGGCTGGACCGGTGACGACGACACGGGACGAGAAGAAAGGTCAGGTTGTGCGTCACACTTAAATCGTGCAGGGCTCGCATTGCAGGTTACGGTTTCCAGTCACTTTGCATAACCCATTTTACATAACGGTAGTATAAAATGATTATGTACTCCATAAAAGTCACGTGGTAAATATAAACAACCACTTTGCATAACACATTTTTTCATATTATTATTAAGAAGCGTCAGCTACTTATTGTGATCACTTTGTCCGTCCGTCCGTAAGCAGGATATCTTTAGAATGGCTCAACATAATCACAAGCGGTTTTCGCCATTGTGCTTCTAATTTTTAGTTCTCGGTCGAGTTCGAAAATGAGGTCAATCGGACCACCCCCCACAGCGCCAGGGGGTGTGGTCCAAAATTAAATTCACGTTAATTTTCATATGGGGTATCATTTTAAAGGAAATTTGGCCACGAATTCAACATCAATATTTTTGACCTCGTGACCTTAAGGACGAGGTCAAAGGTCAAAAAATACATAACTGTCATATGGGGTATCATTTTGAAGGAAATTTGACTGCGATTTCAAGGACGTTAATATTTTTGACCTCTTGACCGTTGGGACGAGGTCATATACGGAAACTTTAAAGGAAACTGGAATCGGTCTGACGCTACTTATTTACATTCGTTTGGAGGGTTTATTAACTTCTTTTTTTGCAATTCTAAATCTGCACAGATTTAATTTCCCATTAATTCTGAGCATTTTTGGTGTGTCTGCAATATAACGAAATCTGGAAAAACTTTTCCTTTCACATGTTTTCTTATTTTAAGAAATTCAAAAAATTTCCAAACCATATACTCAAAATTAGTGGGAGATTGCATGTAAGTGAACGGATTATCAAAAGATTCACTAACGAAGAACTTGCTAAATTTCTATTTTTGGGCACTTTTGAAAATTTTGGACGTCCATAACTTGTTAAAACCGGTTGTTGATGGTTGTTTTGACCAGTGGTTAACACTTTCCTCTCTCTCTCTCTCTGCTATTTAAATAGTAAAACTAAATAATATTCCTCCCTCGTTTGTGATGATTTCGTGATTTCGCTTATTTTTAGAACAAGCAATTCATGAATTTTTTATGTTTGCGTATCATGATAATTAATATGCAGACTACGATAATTTTTTGCAGAATTATTTAGTCACCGTCGTCTGTTTCGATATGCAAATTGCAATATGAGATTTAAGTGTGATACACAAACTATAACCTTTCTTCTTGTTTCGTTTGTCTACATGATTTTAGTTTTAAGAAGTCATTCCATTTAAAAATAATAATATGAGAAAATGTGTTATGCAAAGTGGTTGTTTATATTTACCACGTGACTTTTATGATTACATAATCACTTTATACTACCGTTATGTAAAATGGGTTATGCAAAGTGACCGGAAACTGCAACATGAGCCCTACACGATTTAAGTGTGATGCAAAAACTGACCCTTCTTCTCGTCACGATGAAATATGTCGTCGTCACTGGTCCAGAGTTGCATTTGTGTCGGCGCATGGAAAAATAGAGCGAGCAGCGAGCAGAGTTTTACATAAAACAAGATGTCTTTACTCCATAAAAATCGTCGTGGTCAAAACGATAACAAAAATTAGGTCGTGTTTACATCTTACTAATTCAATTATTCCATTTTTATCAGTCATACGAGAATAATTATCTCGTCACAAATGGTGACATCGGGAACATATAAAAATCTAACGTGTGGAAATATTACATGAAATTTGACAAGGGGTCAGTCGACAAACGAAGGACTTTATCCGTGGGGATGAACCTTCTTCAAGTGCGTCCCATGGTTGCCTTTTTGCCCGAACGTGTGCCCGCAGTGGGGGCAGGGGTGTCGTATTTTTCCGTGAACAGTGTTCAAATGTGTCACCATGTTACCTTTTGTGCCGAACTTCTTGCCGCACTCGGGGCACTCGAAGTCCTTCACCTTCCGGTGAACCGTCTTCTTGTGGGTGCCCAGATTTTGTTTCGTAGTGAACGCTTGGTCGCAGTCGGAGCACTGGAATGGTCGCGGATCCGCGCTGTGAGTGCGCTTGTGCAATTTTAAGGCACCATTACGACCGAACAGCTTCCCACATTGGTCGCAGGGAAAGGGTTTCTCCTTCGTGTGGGAGACAAGGTGTAGGTGATAAGTGGCGTTATCGGGGAATTTCTTCTGGCAGAATAAGCACTCTCGACCAGGGTTCGCTACCCCGGGTTTTTGTGGGTTGGGGTTTTTGGGGTTTTTGTGGGTTTTTGGGGTATCAAATCTCCGGAAAAACCCTAATGCTTAATGGGGTTTTCGCGGGTTTTTGTGGGTTTTTCCGGGGTTTTTGTAGGATTTTGAGGCAGATTGAAACAAAATCCCTTAAACTACAACGTAGATCAATGCTAATTAACTTTTCTGCTTCATCTTGAAATTTTGAGAATTTTCATTTGCGACTTGAATTTCCAAATGTCATTGCATATTTCCAGGTTTACATGTCAAACATGAATTTTCGATGTAAAAGTCCAAATCAATGATAACGGTTAAAATTGCATGTTAAAATTGTATACTAAATTAGTTTATCTCTAATATATAATTTTAGGAATTCTGGTTCAACCTGCCCCAAAATCTACAAAAACCCACAAAAACCCACAAAAACCCCAAAAACCCCGGAAAAACCCCCGGGGTTGGGTTTTTCTACAAAAACCCCGGGGTTTTCCGAACCCTGCTCTCGACCCGAACCCTGCTTCACGAATACAATTTTCTCGTCCTCGCTGCGATGGGCAAACCGATGTCTGGTGAGGGAATATTTGGAGGAGAAAGTTTTCCCACACACGTTACACTTTCCGCCAACTTTTTCCTTGGTGTGGGTCACCAAATGACAACTGAGATGGGATGGAATTTTGAACCGTTTGGTGCAGAAGTAGCAGCCGTGCCGCCAGCCCTGCCGCACCTCCGCGCGCTCCTCGCGACTCAGGTGGACCAAGAGATGCGCGGCCAAAGTTGCTTTCTGGGTAAATTTCTGGTTGCAAAGGTGGCAGGCGTGGTTCTTCCGGCCTTCGTGTGCGTTCACGTGATCGGTAAAGTGGTGACGTTTGAAGAACACTTTCTCGCAGTGGGGGCACCTCGAGTGGAAAAATGAGGACCGGTCCAGCTCGTGAGGGTTGAGGTGGGTGCGGGCGTGGAGGCGAGCACTTGTTGCGTTAGTGAAGGAACGGAGGCATGTTTTGCATGGAAAAACTTTCTTGACTTTGGATAACATGACTTTCTTAGTGCCAACTTGCGGTAATTTCTCCACTTTCGATGACCTGCTGTAGGATGACGGCGAGTGCACGTGGTTATCGTCACGTGGTGCTTGGACGGAGTGAGGAGGAAATCGCCCATTCTCTTGAGAACTTTCCCCTTTGTCGACTTTCTCATTCGTGGGGACGAGCGCCTTCTGTCGTTTGACCGCTTTCTGGTTAACCTCCATTCCGTCCAACGACAACGTCTCGTTCTGCTCGGAAGTTGCCCCGTTAAAATGCGTCGATCCGCTTCTCTGCACAGAATATTACGTCAGCATTCGGACTAGAAGTACAGATTTACCATGAAAATTAAGATTGCAATCTTACCAACGGGTCGTTGTTAAAATTTGGGGGTAAGACGTTCGGGATGTGTGTTCGGGATGCAGTCGGTTCTTGAGTAGCAAAATCTCCTCCTCGAATCTTGCCTTTCAACCTTCTTGCAAGATTGTCAACCAACGTTCGGATTTCTTTACGCGTACGACGTTCTGGAATTTTTTTCGCAATGTGAACTAGGTGGAAATTTTAAAAATTGGTAAAATTTCTGGAGCAGAAAGGGAGCTCTTGTTTGCTGGGGAGGTTGTAAGTCTCTGTCTCCCTCGGACGGAGAGATGGCTTGGCTGCGTATCCCACCAACAGCCAACAGTCAGACCTACCAAAAAGCCAACAAAATGCAGATAATAATTTCTGTGCTGAGAATTAAGCTACAAAATCTTGGATTAAGCAGGACGGTAGAGGTGAAATGGATATCCATTTTATCCAATCCATTTGGAATCCAATCCAATCCATGGATATGGATTGGATTGGATAATCGGAAATCTGGATTGGATTGGATGGATTTTCGGTTGTGGAAAAATTATGAATTTTCACTGTGACTTTCTGTATAGAAATCATAACCAGGACGTTATGTTATTTTGAATATTCTAAAATCTGTGTATTTATCTACGTATATTTTTAACTTAAAGCAGGCGGGTGTATTGCTGGTTTGGTCGGTAACATATTGGCATTTGAAGGGAGAGCCAAATTCACTAATGTTGGCATCTAGTTTTTGCCTGTCAATTGGCGGTCGTATAAACTAGTTTTGTTATATTAAAAATATAGCGAAATTTAATAATACTTAGGTGTGTATATCATGATATTGACTGGGAACTGGTTAAGGGTGATGGATTTGATTTGAATTTCAGCCCGCTCGCAATGTTAATCAGATGGGCACGTGTTTTTGGCGGGCAGAAATTCCATCACCCTTAACCAGTTCCCAGTCAATAGTATTTTTTTAAATATAGTTTTGCTGATTTTGTAAATTCATGTTATATCCATGTTTTTACACTGGATTCTAGTGGTTTAATTTAAAACTAGTGCTGGATAATATAGATTTTTGGTTTTTGGTTTGAATTGGATTGGATTTTTAATGGTTTGAAAGTTATGGATTGAATTGGATATTGTTTTTACAAAATTTCGAATGGATTGGATGGATTGGATAAATCCAAATGGATTTTGGATTGGATGGATTTATCGTTTTGGTAATCCATTTCACCTCTACAGGACGGTGATGATTATTTAAATATGCAATGCAAATTGAGCCAGTTTTCCACCTCTGGGAGAAATACGGATATGTGTGCATCCACAATCTCTAAAATTTGACCATGAATCACAATTCATATCCGAGTGACATATTTTTGCCATTGCACTTATGAATTATGTGTGGCTTTTGTCAAAATGGAATTTGAGCGAAAGTTGGGCGAATGAAATTTTGCGTAGAATCGAGTCTGCTGGATTTCTTAACATTTCTCATGCAAACTTAATTTAGAGGAACTGTGCAGCCTAATCAAGCATTTAACTGTGTTGTACAGTGGTTTTAACCACTGCCCAAAACCGGTCTTACCCAGTTTTGGACACCGAATTTTGGAGTAAATGTCCAAAACTGTCCGAAATAGAAAGTGGGTCAAATGTTACTCCTTCTTCATTATTAAAATTTTTGGAAAATCCGTTGACGTATGTGCTTATGATCAATCTTCCATTAATTTTGGTCTGTGACACGGAATGGTTTAGAAAATTTCTCATAAGAAAACATGTGAAAGGAAAAGTTTTCCAAAATTACAGAGCAACCAAAATGCTCAAAATTTATGGGAGATTAGATTCCATATTTGTGCATAGCTTTGCAAAAAAGTCGGTAATAAGGAAGAACTTGTAGGATTTGGGACGATTTTCGATATTTTGGCCGTCCAAAATTATTTTGACCAGTTTTGGACGGTGTCCATTCCAAAAGTATTTAGTTTTCCACGCCAAAACGAAACACTGCTCGTGCCATGTAAATTGACCAACTTGTACGAAATTTGGATGCAAAATCTCGAAAATTGTTTTCCTACATTTGTTGTCACCTCGTTTATGCCATTTCCGATGTCTTACTGGGAGAAATATGCAAAATCTGTCTATTTACATAAATATGTGGCTAGATTTGTTCTCATCCTCCTTCTGAAGCATGTTTTATTTCCATTTGGCAGAAACAATGCATGGTTTTCTCAGATAAAACGAAATTTTTCCATGGATAAGATTTATACTGGTATTTTAGTTTTATACTTTGGATGGGATGCTCACGATAAGAGACTTACCGACCATTCCTCTGAGGAATTTCCTCAATTACTGAGGTGTGCGTATCATAAAAATATGCAAACTGAGATTTCCTAAAGAATTATTAGTTCACCTTGGTTCCTTTCGATATGCAACCCTCAACCTGAGCCCTGCACGATTTAAGTGTGATGCACAAATTGACCGTTCTTCTCGCCACGATGAAACATGTTGTCGTCACTGGTCCAGCCTTGCATTTTGTGTCGGCGCATGGAAAAATGGGAGCGAGGCGTGAGCACAGTTTTTTCTTTTTAATACAAAATGGAATTACTTTACTACACAAAAATCGGGCCATGTTTACAATTTAGTAACTCAATTATTCCATTTTTATTAGTCACATGAAAATAATTATCTTGTCATCAATCGTGAAAGCAGGAACATATGAAAATCTAAAGTATGGAAACATGCCGTTGCTTAACGAGGACAGCTGAAGGACTTTGTTCTGCTGGATGAAGCTTCTTCAAATGCCTCTCAAGGTTGCCTTTCTGCGTGAATGTGTGCCCGCAGTGGGGGCAAGGGTGCCGTTCTTTGAAGTGAACACCGTTCACGTGTTTCACCATATTACCCTTCGTCCCGAACTTCTTGGGGCACTCGGGGCACGCGAAGTCCTTCAACTTCCGGTGAACTAGCTTCTTATGTCCGGTCAGATGATATTTTCGCGTGAAGGCCTGACCACATTCGACACATTCAAACGGCTTTGGGTTAGAAGTATGAAGGCGCTTGTGCAATTTTAAGGCACCATTACGACCGAACAGCGCCCCACACTGGTCGCAACGGAAAGGTTTCTCCCCCGTGTGGGAGACAAGGTGGACTTGATAAGTACGGTTATCGGGGATTTTCTTCTGACAGAAGAGGCACACGCGACTCGAACCCTGCTTCACGAGGGCGACCTTCTCGTCTTCGGAGAGGTGGGCGAAACGATGGCTGGTCAGGGAATATTTGGAGACGAAGCTTTTTCGACAAGTGTGACACCTTCCGCCCACTTTTTCCTTCGTGTGGCCGATAAGATGACGACCGAGATGGGATTGACTTTTGAAGCGTTTGGTGCAGAAGTAGCAGACGTGTCGCCAGCCCTGCCGGCTCAGGTGGACGAAGAGATGCGCGGTCAAATTTGCTTTGAAGGTGAATTTCTGCTTGCAGGTGGGGCAGGCGTGGTCCTTCCGACCTTCGTGCGCAGCCAAGTGGCCGGTAAAGTGCTGACGATCGAAGAACACTTTTTCGCAGTGGGGGCATTTCTCATGGAAAAATGAGGACTGCTCCAGCTCTTGGGGGTTGAGGTGGGTGCGGACGTGGAAGCGAGCAGAGGTTCCGTTGGTGAAGGGACGAAGGCATATTTTGCATGAGAAGATTTTGTCCACCACGTGATCACCACGATTTCTCCCAAGTTGCGGTATTTTCTTGGCTGAAGGCAACTGCACGTGGTTATCGTCACGTGCTGTTGGGTGCGGTTGAAGGGAGTGAGGAGGAAGGTGTCCCTCCTCTTGAAAACTTTCCCCTTTCTCCGTGGTGGAGAGGAACGCTTTCTGTCCTCCGAGCAACTTCCGGTTGACCTCCATCCCGTCCAACGGCAACGTCTCGTTCTGCTCGTAAGTTTCAGCGCCAGCAACGATGGACCTCTTTCTCTACACAAAAGATTATTAAGTCAGTATTTGGAACGAAGGACAGATTTTGTATGAAAATTAAGAATGCAATCCTATTTACCAACGACTCTTTCTTCAAATTTTCGTGATGCAGTCGCTTCTCGAGTAAAAAAAATCTTTCCCTCCTCGAATCCTGCGTTTCAAGCTTCTCCACAATTTTCAACCGATACTCAGCTTTCTTCACTTGCGCCGTTCTGCTCTCATTTTCTTGGTGGAAGTGTTTAAAATTTGTGAAATTTCTGGACAAGTTTTCCGAGGTGCTTGTTGGTCTCTGTCTGAGTTCTTCGCTTATCTTCACTTTCCACCAACAGACAAGTCTCGGAGATAACCTCGTAGATATTGTGAGATCTACCAAAAAGCCAGCAAAATGCAGAATAATAATTTCTGTGTGGAGAATTAAGCAAGAATATCTTGACAAACGTGAGATGATGCTCAGTCAGTGATATGCAAATTCAGACGTTTGTCCACCTTTGGAAGAGATATGCGTGCATCCACCTCCACTTAATCTCTGAAATTTGGTTATGAATCTGAATTCCTTTCCTCCACTCTTATCCGAGTGATATCTTGTTAGTGTTACATTCATATAAGAATTTTGTGGGGCTTTCATCAAAATGAAATTTGATCGAAAGCTGGACAAAAGTAATACTACATACATACATACCCGTTCAAAAATGTAGTATTCATTCAAAAGTCAGTCATCTCGATTTCTGAGTGAAGATTTTCATTCAAATTGATTTCATTTCGCTTCATCTGACTTCATTTCTTACATCGTCACATGTATTAAGCATAGGGTGAAAAATGAAATGATCATTTCATTTTTCACCCATTCACTCGAGTGAATGATCCTTTCATTCACAGTCATTCATATGAAATGACTGAATCCTTCAGTCATTTTCATTCAAACGACAGTAGTTTCACTTTCATTCACTATCATTAAAATTAGTAAAATGAATGAAAGTGAACAGGTATGCATACATACATATGTGTGATTGAGTCTGGATTTCTTAATTTTCTCATGCAAACCAATACATGCACATTTAACTTAAGGGAAACGTGCAGCCTTATCAAGCATTATTGAGCTTGTGTTGTGCAGGGTTTCGCTGTGGTTTTAATCCCCGTCCAAAACCGTTTTGATCAGTTTTGGACATGGAATCTTGAACGTCTGAAATGGGCAAAAGCGTCCAAGATTGGAAAATGGGGCAAAATGTTCCAAATTCTTTATTAACTTCTTTTTTTTGCAATTCTAAATCTACACAGATATGTAGTTTCCCATTAATTCTGAGCATTTTTGGTGTGTCAGCAATATAACGAAATCTTGAAAAACTTTTCCTTTCACAGGTTTTCTTATTTTAATAAATTAAGAAATTTCCAAACCATGCTGTATATGCTCAAAATTAGTGGGAGATTGCATGTAAGTGAACGGATTATCAAAAGATTCACTAACGAAGAACTTGCCCAATTTCTATTTTTGGACACTTTTGAACATTTTGGACGTCCAAAATGCGATGTCCAAAACTGGTTAAAACCGGTTGTTGATGGTTGTTTTGACCAGTGGTTAACACTTTCCTCTCTCTCTCTCTCTGCTATTTAAATAGTAAAACTAAATAATATTCCTCCCTCGTTTGTGATGAGTTCTTGATTTCGCTTATTTTTAGATCGACCATTCATCAATGTTTTATGCTGCGTATCATGATAATTAATATGCAAACTAACTGCGATAATTTTTTGCAGAATTATTTTGCCACCTTCATCCGTTTCGATATGCAAACTGAAATACTTATGAGATTTAAGTGTGAGATTTATAACCTTTCTTCTTGTTTCGTTTGTCTACATGATTTTCGTTTTAAAAAGTGATTACATTTAAAAATAAACCCTCCAAACGAATGTAAATAAGTAGCGTCAGAGCGATTTAAGTTTCCTTTAACGTTTCCGTATATGACCTCGTCCTAACGGTCATGAGGTCAAAAATATTAACGTCCTTGAAATAGCATTCAAATTTCCTTTAAAATGACACCCCATATGACAATTATGAATCTTTTGACCTTTGACCTCGTCGTCAAGGTCATAAGGTCAAAAATATTGATGTTGAATTCGTGGCCAAATTTCCTTTAAAATGATACCCCATATGAAAATTAACGTGAATTTAATTTTGGACCACACCCCCTGGCGCTGTGGGGGGTGGTCCGATTGACCTCATTTTCGAACTCGACCGAGAACTAAAAATTAGAAGCACAATGGCGAAAACCGCTTGTGATTATGTTGAGCCATTCTAAAGATATCCTGCTTACGGACGGACGGACAAAGTGATCACAATAAGTAGCTGACGCTTCTTAATAATAATATGAAAAAATGTGTTATGCAAAGTGGTTGTTTATATTTACCACGTGACTTTTATGGAGTACATAATCATTTTATACTACCGTTATGTAAAATGGGTTATGCAAAGTGACTGGAAACCGTAACCTGCAATGCGAGCCCTGCACGATTTAAGTGTGACGCACAACCTGACCTTTCTTCTCGTCCCGTGTCGTCGTCACCGGTCCAGCCTTGCATTTATCTCGGCACATGAAAAAATGGGAGCGAGACGCGAGCAGAGTTTTACATAAAAAGAATGACTTTACTACATAAAAATCGTCGTGGTCAAAACGGTAACAAAAATTTGGTCATGTTTACATCTTACTAATTCCATTATTCTATTTTTATCAGTCATACGAGAATAATTATCTCGTCACAAATGGTGACATGGGGAACATATAAAAATCTAAAGTATGGAAACATTACATGAAATTTGACGAGGGGTCAGTCGACAAACGAATTACGAGTGAAGAACGCTTTTTCGCAGTGGGGGACCTTGCGTGGAAAAATGAGGACTGCTCTAGTTCGTGGGGGTTGAGGTGGGTGCGGGCGTGGAGGCGAGCACTGGTTTTGTTGTTGAAAGGACGGAGGCATGTTTTGCATGGGAAGACTTTCTTGGCTTTGGATAACGTGATGTTGGGTGACTGCGAGTGCACGTGGTTATCGTCACGTGGTGCTTGGACGGAGTGAGGAGGAAATCGCCCATTCTCTTGAGAACTTTCCCCTTTGTCGACTTTCTCCTTCGTGGGGACGAGCGCCTTCTGTCGTTTGACCGCTTTCTGGTTAACCTCCATTCCGTCCAACGACAACGTCTCGTTCTGCTCGGAAGTTGACCCGTTAAAATGCATCGATCCCTTTTTCTGCACAGAATATTTTTACGTCAGCATTCCGAGAAGAAGTACAGATTTTTCATGAAAATTAAGACAGCAATCTTACCAACGACTCTTTCAAATTTGGGCGTAAGGCGTGTGTTCGGGATGCAGTCGGTTCTTGAGTATCAAGAATCTTCTCCTGCTCGAATCCTGCCTTTCAACCTTCTTCTGCAAGATTGTCAACCAACGTTCGGATTTCTTTACGCGTACGACGTTCTGGAATTTATTTCGCAATGTGAACTAGGTGGAAATTTTAAAAATTGGTAAAATTTCTGGAGCAGGAAGGGAGCTCTTGTTTGGCGTGGAGCTTGTTGGTCTCTGTCTCCTCGAACGAAGAGGTGGCTTGGCTTATCTGCATATCCCACCAACATCCAAATCTCGTACAGTCAGACCTACCAAAAAGCCAACAAAATGCAGATAATAATTTCTGTGCTGAGAATTAAGCTACAAAATCCTGGAATAAGCAGGACGGTGGTAATTAAACATGCCATGCAAATTGAGCCGGTTTTCCATTCCACCTCTGGGAGAAATCTGCGTGCATCCACAATCTCTCAAATTTGGCTATGAATCACAATTCATATCCGAGTGACGTATTTTTGTCATTACACTCATATCAGAATTATGTGGGTTTTTTTATCAAAATGGAATTTGAGCGAAGGTTGGGCAAATGGAATTTTACGTAGAATCGAGTCTGGATTTCTTAATTTTTGTTCATGCTAATGGACAAATGCATATTTAAAGGAAATGCACAGCCTCATCAATCATTTAACCTCTTACGCGCTGGGTTTTAAACAGCCGTTCAAAGCGAATTTTAACCAGTTTTGGACACACAATTTTACCCATCGCAAATGTCCAAAAGTGCCCAAAATAGAAAATGGGCCACTATATTGCAAGTTCTTCTTTATTGAATCTTTCAATAACCCGTTGACTTGTATGTTATGTAATCTCCCAATAATTTTGAGCGCATTGGTGTGTAAATAAGTATACGGCATGGTTTAGAAAGTTCTTAATGTCTCAAATAAGAAACCGCGTTAAAAGAAACGTCTTTCCAAATTTTGTGTTATTACAGAAACCCTAAAATGCTCGAAATTAATGAGAGGTTACATATTTATGTATGTATCTGTGCATAGATTGGCAAAAAAGCCGTTATAAAGAACTTGTAATATTTTTCCCTATATATTTTCTATTCTGGATGTTTCATGCAAAGTGACCGGAAACTGAAACCCGCAACCTGAGCCTTGCACGATTTACATGTGACGCACAAAGTGACCTTTCTTCTCGTCACGATGAAATATGTCGTCGTCCCTGTTTCAGCCTTGCATTTGTGTCGGCGCATGGAAAAATGGGAGCGAGAAGCGAGCAGAGTTTTACATAAAATAGAATGACTTTACTAAACAAAAATCGTCGTGGTCAAAATGGTAACAAAAAGTCCGTCATGTTTACAATTATGCAATTTTTTATCAGTCGTACGAGAATAGTTACCTTGTCATAAATGATGAGGAAATTCAAAAATACATAATATATATCTAAAACAGGGTGACTCTACTACATAAAAATCGTCAAAAAGGTAACAAAAATCGGATAATGTTTACAACTTAACAATTCAATTATGCCATTTTTATCAGTCGTACGGGAATAATTATCGTGTCATAATACATCCGGAAAATCTTAAACAATGGGAAAGGAAACATTTGACGAGGGGTCATTTGGAAGCTGAAGGACTTCATTCTGGGGGATGAATCTTCCTCAAGTGTCTCCCAAGATTGGATATATTCGCGAACGTCCTCCCGCAGTGGTGGGGGCAGGGGTGTCTCCTTTTGGCATGAACACTGTCCACATGTTGCACCATGTTACTTTTCGTCCCAAACTTCTTGCCGCACTCGGGGCACGCGCAGTCCTTCAGCTTCCGGTGCACTGTCTTCTTGTGCCTGGCCAGATGTGGTTTTTGACTGAAAGCCAGGTCACACTCGTCGCAATTGAACGGTTTCGGGTTGGAAGTGTGAATGCGCGCGTGCAATTTTAAGTCACCATTACGCCCGAACAGCGCCCCACACTGGTCGCAGCGGAACGGTTTTTCTTTCGTGTGGGAGACCAGGTGAGCATGATAAGTGGCGTTGTCGGGGAATTTCTTCTGGCAGAATAGGCACTCGCGACTCGACCCCTGCTTCACGAGGACGACCTTCTCGTCTTCGGAGAGATGGGCGAACCAATGATTCGTCATGCCTAGTTTGGAGGAGAACGTTTTTCGACACACGTGACATCTTCCGCCCACTTTTTCCTTCGTGTGGACCACAAGATGACAACTGAGATAGGATAAACTTTTGAAATGTTTGGTGCAGAAGTAGCAGCCATGTCGCCAGCCCTGTCGCACCTCCGCGCGCTCCTCGCCGCTCAAGTGGTCGAAGAGGTGCGTGGTCAAATTTGCTTTGCGGGTGAACATCTGTTTGCAAACGGGGCAGGCGTGGTTCTTCCGACCTTCGTGCGCGTTCACGTGGTCGGTAAAGTGGTGACGAGTGAAGAATACTTTTTGGCAGTGGGGGCACTTCTCATGGAAAACTGACGACTGCTCGTGGGGGTTGAGGTGGGTGCGGGCGTGGAGGCGAGCACTGGTTCTGTTGGCGAAGGGACAAAGGCAGATTTTGCATGGGAAGACTTTCTCCACCACGTGACGACCCCGCTTTCTGCAAATTTGCGGTAATTTATTGGCTTGTGATGACCTGCTGTTATCTGAGGACTGCACGTGGTTATCGTCACGTGATGTTGGCCGTGGTTGGACGGAGTGAGTAGGAAGTCGTTCATTCTTTGAAAACGGTCCACATTCTCTGTTGGGGAGAAGAGCGCTTTGGGTCGTTCGATGAATTTCTGGTGCGTTTGGTTGATCTCCATCTCGTTCTGCTCGGAAATTCTCCCGATCCTTTTCTCTGCAAAGAATAAAATAACGTCAGCATTCCGAGTAGAAAACTACATATTTTACATGCAAATTTCGAATGAAATCTTATTTACCAACGGCTCCTTAAAATTTTAGAATCTGCCGTATATTATACGAAGAATAGTTCCCTCGCCAAATTTTGCGGTTCAGGCTCCGTCACGATTTTCAAATGACGTCCAACTTTCCTTACTGTGCGATCGATGTGCTGCTCTTTTTTCCTCGATGTAAACTGGTCGGAAACTTTTAAAATTTGTAAAATTACTGGAGGGAGAAGTGAGCTCTTGTTTGCTGAGGAGCTTGCTGGTCTCTGTCTCCCTCCGAGAGGTAGCTTCGCTTATCTGCATATCCCAACAGCCCTCAAATCTTGGAAATAACCTCCTCATAGTCAACCAGAAAAGCTACAAAATGCAGAATAACTTTTGTGTGCACGCTTAAAAATGCCCTCGGTAAATAAGGGTAGGCGTACTCAAATTTAAGTACATACGTAGCGAGTTTGTAACTACGAGAGGTCCCCACTGGTTTTAAGTACATAGTGGGTACTAAAAGAAAATAAGGACATTCCCTTTACCAAGAGACTCTGCAATATCTTTGTTCTGTTACAACTACATAATGAATTTAAATATGATGAAGCAATGGTAAACAAGAAATCAAGTACTTGATACAAGTACGCCAGTCCTCAAACTAAATCTTTTAAGACTTCACAAATATATGCCATGCGTACTGAAATTAAATATGCCAGAAATGAATTAGAATATGTATACAATACAATTATCTTAGGCCGTCCTTAAGTTTCATTTGAACAATTACAATTTATTTTAGTTTATATTTGTACTGAAAATTACAATTAATCACGATTTTATCACAAGGTAAGCGTTAATTGTAAATTTAATAACGTATCAAATAATTCTTAAATAAATTAATATCATAAATAATTTTACATTCTACTGCACAAATGCTGCCAACTCCTTAACACTAGACATAACTGGACAAATAGGCTTCATTTTATAAATTACATAGTCTAAAAATTGCCACGCTCCGTAACATGTAGTCGGAAATTCAATGTTAAACACATAGAACGACTTAAATGCTAAGTCAACTGCTTCCATTACACTTGTGCATTTCACAATTTTCCGTTTGAAAATGACCAGAAAATCTTCGAATATTAAGGATTCCTTGCTACCAACTAAATACACTTGAGGGTACAGATCCAATTTGTTATCCAGAAATTCGTTGTATTTTGGCTCAGAATTGACCTGTAATAAGTATATTATTTTAAAAATTGATTACAAAATTCAATACATGTCACAAAAATAATTTACCATAATAAATGATTCAACTGAACCAAGAAGCGACGTCTTTTTACTTTTTGGCCGAATCAAGTAGGCTAGTAAAAATAGCGCTGCAATTGATGGATTTTCTGCAAGCATAAAAATAATGAAAAATTAGCGACAGTCAAACAATATAGCTGAGTTAATAAATAAAATTAAAACAACAAATGCAACACCTTCAGCAGCTTTCTCTCCAATAGTCAGGGTAGTTGCACACTTCTTAATACTTTTTGAGTAGATTAACAATTTTGAAGCGGTATCTTTCCATTTAAAAAACAAATTATCTGAGGCCAATGGGTAAATTTGATCGAAATCGTTTTGAATCTGAAATTGAATAGCATAAATTTATCTTAGAGCATACTATTAAAATGTTACGTAAATAAAACTGACTGCGCCATCGATGTCGAAAAGCCTGGGCCATGCTAAGACAATATTTTCAAAGCTGTCTTTGTTTATCCGGAATATTTTAGACCGCTTCTTGAACGATTGGTTAAGTTTTTCAAAGATTTTGGCAGGGGGTCCCCTATTGGCCTTCAACCATTCTTGGATGGACAGAAATTCCTCCTGGCTGAGTTCGTCGTCTAAATTATTAAATTAATTATCTTTAATTCCATAATATACTTAAATTCTCATATTCAATTTAGGCTAACCTTCAATTGCCATCTCGAGTTTCTCATTGCATATTTTTGGGATGGGTTTATTAGCTTGCCAAAAGTTAACAAAATACGATTGTATGAACCCTGATGGTCGTTTGCTTGTCCTTTTTCCGCTTGAATTTTGGAAAGTGCAGGAAGGCGTAAAGAACGCGTCCTTAAAAATATATTAGCATACATATTACGTTTTTATACATAGTGGTTGCTAGCTATTTATATAGAGAATTTAATAATAATAAGACCTTCAAATTCAATCTTTCATCCTCCGTCATATATGGAAAAAGTTGTTCCACTATGCAGTCTGCCAATTGTCGTCTTTGGTCTGTACTAGGGCGTGTGGAGCTTGTCTTATTCATTAAGGCGAGGCACGTTATGGAGACTAATTTTTTCCGCAGCGAAAGTTGTAACGGGTTCCTGGAGTCAGCAATTCCTATAATTTGGGATCCGTGATTGGTTCTAGTATTTATGTCGTGCTGCTTAAGAAGAGTTTTGATGTCCTGCAATAAAATTAATAATAATGTAAATAATGAAATAAATATATTTCCTATATAGATAGAAGAATTTTCTAATTACCACGATATCTGAGTCTTCATCATAAAATAATTTTCTCTTCCTAGATCGTTTATTACTTGAGACTGGATAAGGATTCTGAGAATCTCCAACTGAACTGGAATTATGTAGCGCGTTGGGTGGAAGTAGTTGGTACTGAAACTTATGAAAAATGTGCATTAGTAATTATTTCATTGAATTATTAATTATTTGTAAGGCAGAGAAATAAAAAAACTTGGACTTTTTACATGCAACAGTGGTTTGAGCAAGTCAATTTCTTCTACTTGCTTCAAGTCAAATTTTTCACTTTCCTCCACTTTATATGCATTATAGTGCTTGGAGAAAGATAAAGTTTTTTGATATTTAAATAGTATCCTAAATATATCCTGCATTCTAATAATAGCAATTACTTGTCCAAATAATGGAAGCTCGTTGCAAGATTCGAAATCAATCGCAAGATAATCATTTACAGATATTTTTAACCCTTTAACAGAAATGCGGTCAAATCTCGAAATTGGATCATTAGGATTAACGTGCGGCAGAAAGTCAAATAAATTACCAATTTCAATCTTTGCGAATATTTCTTCTGAAATAGGATACGTTTCAATTGAAAATCCCTTATTTTCGATCAGCCTATAACTTAATAATAATTGATTCCTAGTTGATACAGAACCAGTTATATTTTTAAAATTACACCCTATTTTTGCTACATGTTTAAAAAATTTGTGACGAGCTTCAAATCGCATTGCCCAATAATAATGAAGAGGACCAATTTGTTTTATTGCTGCAGGATAATGAAGCATATGATGATGTTTTGGGCGCAAACACTTATTGGTCAACTTTTGATATAAAAAATGGTGATCGCTAATAATGACTTTTAAGTAACTTAGCGATTGGGCAGAGATAACTGGACTCATAATAATGTCCATAATCTCCATGAATATTAGAAACAACTCCCAATGCGTATCATTTTCACAAAACTGGTCTGCAAATATCAGGCAAAAACTTTGTAAAAGGGTAAATGTTTGGCCTGCTGAAAGGCCTAATAAAGAGTCAGAATTCATTATCATTCGCTCTGATAGTTCATTAGGACAATCTTTCTGCAGATGCTGATAATTGAATGATGTTATTCTAAAATTGATTTGTTCCAAAGTTAGGCTACCTGAAGAAAGTATTTTTTGAAGCATCAATTTAATATTAATGGGTGCCACCCCTTCCAAGACATCGTGCATAATATCGGGACAAACATTTTTAGTTACATGAAAATTTGGGATATCATTAAAAATTGAGGAAGTTTTTATTCCAGTTAAACTTAGAGTTTTCAACTCTAAATCTGTCTGGTAATTGTCAATATTTCTACGAAATAAATTATTTTCAGTACACAAAGTGAGGCAACGATACCTTGGAAGTTTACAAAAACGACAGGGATAATTTGAAACAAAGGATTCTGTGAAACCAAAAACCTGATGAAGGCCGAGATTGTCGCCGGTAACCTGCCCTAGCACAATTTTTACCTCACCTTCGTAACTGTCGGACTTAATAAAAATAGGATTTTGTGACAACTCTGAGAATTCTGAAACTGTTTTAGCTAAAATTTTTGAGATCGGATAAGATTGTAATAATTTAGTCTTAAATGAACAACATAGGAAAATATTTTCTAATTGAGACGCATGCTGTGGTGCAGCATTCAAAATTGAATAGTAACAATTTCCTAATTTATGTACGCCACGCCGTGATCCCAATGGGTTGCATACCTCTAATTCATCATAGTAAAATAGGATTAACACTACTGGAATTCGTGACTGCAGAATTAAATTTCTAAACAAATTACCAGAAACTGGGGAACTAAGAACTCCATTCTGTACATCGTTGTTTACTTCTAGAATAGAACGCATGACTCCTGGCATGGCAAGAACTTTCTCTAAGACTTTAGTGATTGGTACATAATGATACTTATCAAATTTAACTTGTGACTTCAATTTTACAGTAGCAAGACGAGAGCCCAAAACTACTTCTTCCGGTTTAATAAAATAACCGGTATCAGTTAAATATTTTTGAAGCAAATAGTCTGATTTTACCATTTCAAAAGGGTTTCGCAACTGGTCTAAATAATTGGGTAAATCATTAACTTCACTACAAGTAAATTTGCCTATAAAATTGACTACGTCGTTAAATAATTGGGAAATATTGGAAATAATTTCGTTGCAAATTGAAAGCGAAAGTCGGCCACTACTTTTTAATTGTACGACAAATTTGACAGCTTTCTTTTTAATTGCTAAAATCAGGTTGTCAAAATCTATTGGAATCGAAAATTCGGCGGGGGCTTCTATTTTAGGAGAAGCATCTGGATTTGAGGTTTCTATTTCTGGAGAAACATTTGAATCTAGAGGCTCATTCTCTAAAACGGAAGGTGATTTTAAACTACTGTTTGTCAAATATTGGTCTAAATGTTTATTTATGTGACTTTTAAAATCTACGAATCTCAACAGACTTTTTTCACAAAATAAACATTTCCAGTTTAAGTATCTTTGTAATAATAAATGTTGATATTTTAAATGCCACCAAATATCTGCCCATGTGGCTGGCAAAGTATTTTTACAAATTGTGCACTTTACCTGTATCGGCACCTCCGACGTATCGTGTGTAGCAAGTTCTATGTCACCTGATGAATTGACTGTGACCGCAATATTTTCAAGGGGCCATTTTCTACCAAGACCGCCCTGTATTTGAAGACGATGACCAAGGGGGGTATAATTTCAGCCAATGTGCTGCTCAACGGAATGGAGCAAACTTTTCAGGATATCGTCAGTTAGGAAGTTTTCTGTAAAATTATGAACAGTCAATAAATTTAACTGCTAGATTAGTTATTTTGTTCAAATTGTGTTATACCTTTTAACGTAACCTTGTACTGCTCCAAATTCTCTTCTTCGAGAACAACAAATGTTGTTTCGAGCACTTCCTCCATTTCTAATTATTTAATTGAAGTTATATTTTTTTAACGAGTCGACCATGCCGTGCGAGTGTTCCAGCTCTACTGCCAGATTTTCTGAGAGCGCTTACAGAATAAAATCTCAACCGCCACTTTTCTGCATCATAATTCCCCATTTGATTTCAATACATATTCATCAAAAAATAGGACGGAATGGTATTAAGTTTCAGTACGCATGGTGCATTCTTTTCTATGAATAAACCGGCTATTAATATAGGACGGATTGTAGATTTGTGTGCATTTTATTTAAGTACGATATGCGTTTTTAATTTAAAGACCTATAAATATGCACAAGTACTTATATGTATGTCAGATATATTTAATTAAATTTTAGTACGCCCCCATACTAAACTATTTTTAAGCGTGTGTTGAGGATTAAGCAAGAAAATCATGCCACAAGCAATAAGACGGTGGTGATGATGCTCATTATCATTCATTAATTATTATTCAATGCAAATTAAGACGGTTATCGCTTGTCAATAGGAATCTGCGTGCATCGACAGTCTCTCAAATGTGTTTATGATTCAGAATTCTGCACTTTCGCGAGTATGTTTTCATACAAATTATACAATTTTGCGACATTTCAATTAAAATGTAGGATTGAAACGTACAATGAAGGAAAGCTCAAGAATTGGAATTCTGCATAGGATTGAATCTAGATATCTATTTTTCTCGGAAAATGAGACGCACCCAAAAAATTAGAAAATGATTTTGCTTAAAAATTTCGAGAGGGAAAACATCAAAGCATTTACATATTTTTATGGCCCAATTGGACAAATGCTTATTTATCTCATCTTCCCCACTCTATGAAATGCTTACCTATTTCTAATATATTTTTCTCGTGCAAAAATACATTTATGCCGAGAATTTCGCTATAGTTTTTTTTAACTACGGTCCAAAATCGGTTTTAACCAGTTTTGGACACGGCATTTTGGACGTTCAAAATGTCCAAAATTACAAAATGGGGCATAATGTTACACCTTATTCATTCATGAATCTTCTTACGACAATCCGTTGTCTAATCTCCTATTAATTTTGCCCTGTAAAATGGCTTAGAAAATTTCAAAATTTTCCATAAGGAAACTAAAGGTTTCTCAAATTTTGTGGTATTGAAAGTAAACCATAATTGATGGGAGATTTTGGTGTTTAATAAATAAAAAAATATGTAACACAGCAAAATCATTTTCATTTTATTAAATACAACTGAGACACAAGTCTCACACTTTCCCCTATGAGCGTGAGGCAAGTCCAATTCATCAACGTCGAATGTTTCTGAGAGCGACGAGAACTTTTAATTTCTGAAGAAATTTAAATAATTTAAATAACACACCTCCTCCTATTAATTAAGCATTGATTATTATTCTAGTCTGAATTACTAAAAGGTGGCATTATTTTATCAAATTCATTGCAAAGTCTCGAAAGTTTCGAGACTTTGAAGTAATTCAAAATTAGTTTCGAGACTCGAAACTAATTTTGAATTTCTTGAGTAATTAATTCCAAATTTATTTCGTCACTTCCCATCGTATCATAATCAAGTCACAAGTCTTTTTAACTTCAAACTGCCTGCTACGACTTAAAAAAGGCATCAGAATTTACAACTTTTTGTCAACTTCGAACTTAAAAAACAATTTTCTTTCACCATAAAAATATTAATTTCTCCCTAAATTTGCAGAGTGACACTGCTACATGATGCAGGCTGAAAGTGAATTATCGACCCAAGAAATGGACGACACTACTAATGCGCTCATGATGATTTCATTGGTAAAAACAAATCAGTTATTGTTTAACAACGTTTTTCAAATTTCAAAGGCAATTTTTTAAATGAAAAGATATGAATTTGTTGCTAAATTTTACAGGACGATACGACTCAAAATGAGATTGGTGACTTAATAATTGACGAAACTAATGTCGCCACCAGTGCGTTAATGAATCCTTTGGTAAATAAATACAAGTTAAATATGTATCATTAAATTAAGCCTTATTTTTCTTAAACGAACTTACTTCTGCAGATTTTGAAATTGATCTTCTCCTACATGGACGCCCCCCACCCTGAAGTACTCCGTGCGTCCCGTTTACACCCTCTGGGCCGATCTGGGCGCCCCCTTTCTCGGGAAACAGACCAAGTTGATCTTCTCGGAAGTCATGACATGCGGGATGCTGACCCCCAAAGGATTCGGACTGGCCACATTCCACCCCAAGTTGGCCCAAAATGTGAAGATTGTCTCGCCCTTGTGGCCCTGCGAATTGCCGGAATTTCTTCCGCAAAACTTTACCGCTGCTCGGCCCAAGATTGCGCCCCACTTGGAGGAACTTGAGGTCAACATCGACTCCTCATTTTTACCCGAGCTGCACAAAATGTGGAGATCAAAATCACACCGGTTCACCAACCTGAGGAAAATTACCATAACTGTTTCGCTCTCATATGACGAAAATGCGGGCACGATTCTGACCGCGTCGTATCCGGCGATGGAAAACGTGAAGACGATCTCAATAAAAATGACCAACCAGTTCGATAACAAGCAGGATGAGATGGCAGCCAGCATTTGTCAGAAACTGCTCAATGCCACCCCCAACTTGCAAGAGGTTGAGATGGAGGCCAGTTTTTACCTGGATTTTGCCCCTTCCAAGAAACTGACCAAGCTGACCTACACCTTTGTCCAGTTCTTTGAACATGACTTTATGGAGGAGCCCGTGTTAATAGAAATTGACAAAATTTCCGAAATGTTGGAGTGCTGCCGGGAATCTTCTTTGACAGAGTTGACTCTTCGCCATGTGGGTGAGGGCATTATTGACTACGAGGAGGATGAGAACGATATGCAGCAGGTAGGGCGACAAGAAAATATAAGTAGGTTGGGCTTCGTTTAGCGGCCGGAATTTTATTTCCGGGAAAGATAGAAGAAGAAAACCGGGTTTTCTATTTTTATAATGGGTTTAGTAAAATCTTGTTATCGGGAAATCGAGCCCACGCCAGATAACTCTGAAAAAATGTTGCCCTTTTGAACAGTAAATCAATTAGAATTCTAGCGAGTAACATTGGTTTTAAGAATGTACAATTTTCTTCTGCATTTTTTTATTTTTGCGAATCAGCCATTTAAAAAAAAATTAAAGATACGTTTTAACCTTTCTTTATTTCAGACTTTATCCCTCCCATCCTTCCCAAAGTTGACCCGATTGTCAATCTCCTCCATGGACTTTTACCACTTGGGTGACTATCTGTCCACGGCACACCTCCCAAATCTCACCCATGTCAGCCTCGCCATCAATTTCAAGCAATTCGTCTCTCTTTCTGACATTTTTGCTCATATTCGTCACCCTCACGTCGGAGTTACGTCGCTCCACCTGGACGCCGCGCATGACGGAGATGAAGATCATGTCGGCATTGGGACCGAGATCCTCCGTCTTTTCCCCGCCGTGAAAACGTTACAGTTAAAGCTGACCGTTTCAGCATTTGTGCAGGTGGAAGGCGACGTCGCAATCCGCATCTTGAAACGAACCCTGCGAAACTTTGCGCCTTGGGAGCTGACCTCGGCGTTAGTGGAGATGAAATATGTGCGCAGTTCGGACTTCGTGATGGGCACGATGCAGGGATTAAAGCGGTGGAAAGGTAAATTTGTGTCAGAATTGGAGTGGTTTGATTTTGATTTGATTAATTAATTCACTCTTAAAAGTTTTAGCTTTTGAAAAGTAAATGCATTTTGAGTTTTAAATTAAGTGAAAATCCAGAGTAACCTTTACTCCTCTTTATAAAATTAACGTTACTCTCTAGACTTAGAATAGTTTACTTAATATAAACATAATTCAGAGTGCATTTACTTTTCAAAGGGGGAACTTATTTTTAAGAGTAATTAATTAGCAATTGAATTATTCATCGAGTCCTAATTTTAATTTGTTTAGGCTTGGCTCACACCGAGGTTCGACTTTGCGGTATAGATAGGCTACCTTTTGTCCTGGGGGATGACGTTAAAGAGGTTCTTTTGGCCAGCAGATCGGTGAAATCGATCAAAATGTTGGGATTATTGGTAAGCTTGATTAATTCTATTTGTGCGAGGAGTTTTCTCATTTCTGGTTAATGTTGATTTAGATGGAGGCTGAGAAGGATGAATTTCAAAGATTTATCGAAGAGAACGGTCTCCAGATTAGTTTGTCGGAGTGAATTCATCGTTGTATTAATTACTTAAATATATAAGTTTCCTTAATTTTTGTTAAGCGACGAATCAAATTGGTTTTTATTAGTATTTGGTGATCTCTTGACATACATAAAAGTTTAACCATCTGTTGATTTTTTTTTATAACTTACTTTAAATTAATTTGTGTTTATTACACTATAAATGTATGTGAGCAACGCAACGGTAAATATTGGTTAGGGTCAGACCCTTACGTATAAATGTTAGACTCTTTTTTTGCAGAAATTTTGTTTATTTCGGTTAAGGTAGAACGAAAATTGTGAATTTCCATACATTCCAAGCCAATCTTTTATACAATTTGTTAATAAACTGTACCCTTAAAAATAAGTAATGTTACCATTTTGAAAAGTAAATACATCTAAATTCTTACTGAAGTAAAGTAAGCCAGCTAAATTAAAAGTGACCTTAAGTTCATCAAGAGTAAAGTTTACATGAAATTCTTAAATAAATTTTTTTGTCGAATTTATACCCAATTAAGTAGATCCTTTAGTCTCATTTTTATGATTGAAGTACCAAACACAGATAAGCTTAGAGTGATAATTTTGCCAATTATTTTTGACTTAAGATTGAGAATATTTCCAAAATCATTTAATTTTATGTGAGATACAAGTCTCGCACTTCCCCTAAAAACGCGAGGCAAGCCCAATTTGTCAACGGCCAATGTTTCTTTGTTCAGAGCGACAGGACACCACATCAACTTTTAATTTCTGAGAAGTCAAATTAAGAAATTTAAATAATTTAAATATCCTCCTATTAACCAATCACTGACTACTATAATTCAAGTCTAATACTAAAAAGTGAGATCATTTTATCAAATTCATTAGATTTGTGGAAAGTCTTGAAACTAATTTTGAGTTTCTGGAGTAATTAATAATTAATTATTAATTACAAATTTATTTATAACGTCCCCTCCGATTTTATCACAATTAAGTCACAAGTCTCTCTAACTTTAAACTGACTGCTACAACATTTTGTCAACTTGAAAAACAATCTTCACCATGAAAAAATTTTGAATTTCTCTCTCAATCTTGCAGGGTGACACTGTGACACGATGCAGGTTGGAAGTGAGTTATCGACCCAAGAAATCGACGACACTACTAATGCGATGATGATTTTTTCATTGGTAAAAACAAATCAGTTATAGTTTACAACGTTTTTGAGACTTCAAAGGCAATTTTTTGAATGAAAAAGATGAATTTATTGCTAAATTTTGCAGGACAACACGACGCATGATGATAGTGGCGACCTACAAATTGACGACACCAATGTCGCAACCAGTACGCTAATGAATCCGTTGGTAAATAAGTACTAGTTTTTATTATTAAATTGAACCTTAATTAACTTTTCTTAAATGCACTTATTTACCCCTCTTGTACAGTTATTGAACTTGATCTTCTCCTACATGGACGCCCCCACTCTGAAAACCTCCGTTCGACCCGTTTGCACCCTGTGGGCCGATCTTGGTGCCCCCTTCCTCGGGCGAAAGACCACACAGTTGTTCTCGGAACGCATAAAATGTGACACGGAGGTCCCAGAAACCATCGGACTGGCCACATTCCACCCCAAATTGGCCAAAAACGTGAAACTCGTCTCGTGCACGTGTCCCTGCGACTCGCCGGAAGTCCTCCCACGAAATTTTGTCGCTGCCCGGCCCGAAATTGCTCGCCACTTGGAGGAACTTGAGGTCAAGATCGACTCCTCCTTTCTACCTGGGCTGCACAAAATGTGGAGATCAAAAGCACATCTTTTTGAAAACCTGTCCAAAATTTCCATCACCGCTGTGCTCTATACTGACGAAAATGCAGACAGTATTCTTACCGGGTCGTACCCAACGATTGAAAATGTTAAGATGATATCGATCAGAATGGCGGACCAGGACCGCGATGGCCAAGATAAGCTGGCAGCCGCAATATCTCAACAGTTGGTCTATTCCACCCCCAACTTGCAAGAGGTTGAGGTTGAGGCCGGGTTTTATCTAGATTTTTCCCCCTGCAAGAAACTGGTCAAGTTTAAATATACGTTCATCAAATTCCTGGACTGGGAGACAGAAGAGCGCTCTGAGGTCGTGGAAATAGACAAAGTGGTCAAAATGTTGGAGTCCTGCCGGGAATCTTTGACCGAGTTGAGTCTCTCCCAGGTACTATTGGAGGACTTTGAGGATGATGAGGACGACGATGAAATGCCGGTAAAATATAGGTTCTTTTATAAACGTACGGATTTTATTGAAGACAAAAACAGGATGGAAAACCGGTGTCTGTATTTTTATGGGTTTTTGAAAAATTTCGGGAAATTGAACCCGCGCCAGACACAATTTTTCCATTTGTTACAAGATCATTTTATGATTTTTTTTCAAATCAGCCGTTTTTTTTACAAAATTAAAGATACGTTTCAATCGTTTTTCAGACTTTGCTCCTCCTCCCATCCTTCCCAAACTTGACCCGGTTGTCAATCTCCTCCATGGAAGTTTACCGCTTGGGTGACTGTCTGTGCGCGACGAACCTGCCAAATCTGACTCATGTCAGCCTCGCAGGCAGCGTCAAGCAATGGTTCGCCCTAACGGACATGTTTTCTCATTTGCGTCACCCTCACGTCGGAGTTACATCGCTCCACTTGGATGCCGCGTATGACGGAGATGACGACCATGCCAACATTGGAACCGAGATCGTCCATCTTTTCCCCTCCGTGAAAACGTTACAGTTGAAGGTGACTCTTTTGGAATACCTGCACATGGATGACCTCGAAGAGATTAGCCTCTTGAAGCAAACTCTGCGAAACTTTGCGCCTTGAGAGCTGACCTCGGCGGTAGTCCATATGCAGAATATGCGCAGTTCGGGCGTCGTTTTGGGCACGATGCAGGGTTTGAAGCGATGGAAAGGTAAATATGGATTAGAATTGGAGTGATTTGATTAAATCACTCTTAAAAATAACGTTACCTTTTTGAAAAGTAAATATACTCTGAATTTTAAATTAAGATAACTGTTCTAAATCCAGAGCTAAGTTAAAGTTTACTCTGTTAAAGTTTACATAAGTTAAAGTTTAATCTGGATTTAGTATAGTTTAGTTTACTTAATACAGAAGAGAATTTAGAGTGGATTTACTTCTAAAAAGGGTAACTTATTGTTAAGAGTGATTAACAATTATTGATCGATTGTTGTTTAATTTTGATTAATTTGATTTGTTTAGGTTTAGCCCACACCGAGCTTCGACTTTGCGGTACAAATGAGCACGCTTTCGTCCTGGGGGATGACGTGAAAGAGATTCTTTTGGCCTGCAGGGAAATCAAATTGGTCAAAATGTCGGGATTTTTGGTAAGCTTGATTAATTCTAATTTTGTGAAGAGTTTGCTAATTTATGGATCAAATATATTCAGATGACGGAGACGGAGAAGGACGAATTTAAAGGATTTGTTCAAGACAACGGTCTTGCGATTAGTTTGTCGGAGTAACTTCATCACAGGATTCATAGTTTTATTTTATTAATTACTTGTATAAGTTTGATGGATCTTTGTTAAGCGATGAATCAACCCTATTGTGTTTTGGTGTAATTCCCGCTGTCCCGTTTTCAATTTTAGACCTCCAAAAAACAGTTGTCCAGCCCTGGTTAAAACCGAATTGGACGGCTGTTTCAAATAGTGGTTAACACTTTCCCCCCTCTCTGTATTTAAATTAATTTACAATATACTTTAAATCAAATACGTACAATTTAACAGTTAAGATTTAGCAATACTCGTCTCATGTTAAAGAAAAATATTAAGAGTTTTCACTAATCTGAAATTATTCCATGTTTTTAAAAATTATGAGAAAACGTGTCATGCAAACTGGTTGTTTATATGTACCATGTGACTTTTATACAAATCATGCTATATTAACCTTATGGAAAATATATTATATTTATGCAAAGGGACCGGAAACTTGCAATATAAGCCCCATACTATGTATGCACATGTGACCTTTCATCTCGTCAGGATGACACATGTCGTCGTCACTGGTCCAGCCTTAAATTTATGTCGGCGCATGGAAAAATGGGAGCGAGAGTTTTACATAAAACAGAATGTCTTTACTAAATAAAAATCGTCAAAATGGTAACAAAAATCGTGTCACGTTTACTTAATTATGCCATTTTTCTCAGTCGTACAAAAATAATTATGTGGTCATTCATAAATCGTAAAATGTGGAACATATAAAAATCTAAAGTATGGAAACATGTCGTCTTTTGACGAGGGCTCAGTTGCCAGATGAATCCTTATTCGGGGGGATGAACCTTCTTCACGTGCTTCCCAAGATCGCCTTTCTCGCTGAATGTCTTCCCGCAGTGGGGGCAGGGGTGCCGGATTTTGGCATGAACACTGCTCATGTGTCGCACCACGGAACTCTTCCTCCCGAACTTCTTGCCGCACTCGGGGCACGCGATGCAGGGTTCGGAAAACCCCGGGGTTTTTGTAGAAAAACCCAACCCCGTGGGTTTTTCCGGGGTTTTTGGGGTTTTTGTGGGTTTTTGGGTTTTTGTGGGTTTTTGTGGGTTTTTGTAGATTTTGGGGCAGGTTGAACCAGAATTCCTAAAATTATTTATTAGAGAAAAACTAATTTAATATACGATTTTAACATGCAATTTTAACCGTTATCATTGATTTGGACTATTACATCGAAAATTCATGTTTGACATGTAAACCTGGAAATATGCAATGATACTTGGAAATTCAAGTCGCAAATGAAAATTCTCAAAATTTCAAGATGAGGCAGAAAAGTTAATTAGCAATGATCTACGTTGTAGTTTAAGGGATTTTGTTTCAATCTGCCTCAAAATCTTACAAAAACCCCGGAAAAACCCACAAAAACCCCGGAAAAACCCACAAAAACCCGCAAAAACCCCATTAAGCATTAGGGTTTTTCCGGAGACTTGATACCCCAAAAACCCACAAAAACCCCAAAAACCCCAACCCACAAAAACCCGGGGTAGCGAACCCTGACGCGATGTCCTTCACTTTCCGGTGAACGGTCTTCTTGTGGATGCTCAGATTTTGTTTACTAGTGAACGCTTTGTCGCAGTGGTCGCATTTGAAAGGTTTTGAGTTCGAAGTGTGAATGAGCTTGTGCAGGTTTAAGTTACTTTTCAAACTGAACTGCTTCCCACATTGGTCGCAGGGGAAAGGTTTCTCCGTCGTGTGGGAGACCAGGTGCTTATGATAAGTACGGTTATCGGGGAATTTCTTCTGGCAGAAGAGGCACTCTCGACCCGAACCCTGCCTCACGAGGGCGACCTTCTCTTCTTCGCTGAGATGGCGGAATCGATGACTGGTCAGGCTTTGTTTCGAGGAGAACGTTTTTCGACAAGTGTGACACTTTCCGCCCACTTTTTCCTTCGTGTGGGTCACAAGATGACAACCGAGATGAGATGGGTATTTGAACCGTTTGGTGCAGAAGTAGCAGACGTGTCGCCAGCCCTGCCGCGCCCCCGCGCGCTCCTCGCGACTCAGGTGAACGAAGAGATGACGGGTTAAATTTGTTTTTTGGGTGAACTTCTGCTTGCAAAGGTGGCAGGCGTGGTTCTTCCGACCTTCGTGCGCGTTCACGTGGTCAGTAAAGTCTTTACGAGCGAAGAACACTTTTTCGCAGTGGGGGCACCTCTCATGGAAAATTGTGGACTGCTTCAATTCGTCGGAGTTGAGGTGGGTGCGGGCGTGGAGATGAGCACTGGTTCTATTGGTGAAGGGACGAAGGCATATTTTGCAGGGGAAGATTTTCTCCACGACGAGACCACCACGCTTTCTTCCAATTTGGCCTAATTTCTTGGCCTTTGATGACCTCCTGCTGGCTGAAGGGGACGACACCTTGACCTCCATCGTGTCCAGTGTCTCGCTGTGCTCGGAAGTGCCATCCATCTTTTTTCTGCACAGAATATTATTACGTCCGCATTCAAACAAGAAGTATGGATTTTGTATGAAAATTAAGAATGAAATCATACCAAAAGGCTCGTTCCTCAAATTTCGTCGGTAAGCGTGTCTTCGGGATGCGGTCGGTTCTGGAGTGAAATAAAAAGTTTTCCTGCTCCTCCAAAATTCCCGACGTCCAGATTTCTTAAGTTTGGGACGTTCTGCTCTCTTTTTCTGATTGTAAACTGCGTGGAAATGTTTAATATTTAATGAAATTTCTGGACCAGGAAGTGAGCTCTTGTCTGACTTGGAGCTTGTTGGTCTCTGTCTCCCTCGGATGCCTTCGCTTATTATCTGCATATCCCACCAAAAGCGAAGTCAGACCTACCAAAAAAGTGCAGAGTGTGGAAAATTTAGCAAGAAAAACTTGCCTCAAGGAAGACTGACGGTGATGGTGATCAGCTATTCAATGCAAATTGAGCCGATTGTTGTCTAGCTCTGGAAGAAATCTGCGTGCTTTCACAATCTCTGGAATTTGGGTATGAATTAGAATTCATTTGCTCCGATGTTTCGGAAAATGCGATATTTTTGCGTTTACTTTGATATTGGAATTTAGTGGCAGTTTCATGAAAATGAAATGAAGAGGAATTATGTATCCGGAATTCTTAACTTGTGTTTGTTTTCAGCTTGTCATCCTTACGCTCAATTCTTGACTTCGCATATATCCAGTGGCCGCGGAAGCTTGAGGGGACAATGACTGGTATGAATAAAACCAGGGAAATCCTCCAAGGAAACGGGAAAGGCATTTGCCTGAAGGAAAGTCTCTCAGGTCAAGGCTATTACCCCTTTCCGTATGAATAAACTTTTGCCTTTCTCGCCAGGCAAATCCCCTTGGTTTCGGCAGTTCCCCTAACTTTAATTACATATAATTAAAATTATACCATCGCAACTAAGACAAATGCATTTTCCAAAATTTCTGACCTTGTTTTTTAATCAAATTCTTAAGGAAATGTACCCCTAGTGATCCCCACTGGTTTGTGCTGCTTAAAAAAGCTGAAATTCGGTATGATGGTACAGGTGCATCTCAGAATTGCAAAAATTAAATAAATTTCGGGGTTGTATATGAGTGTATTTGATTTCATGTGTTTGAAAATGTATTTGATTTTTTGTACACCCTCCAAACTCACTCAGAATGCGATGACGCCAGCGCGCAGCGGTCGCGCTCCGATTTTGATGAAACTTCGATAATTGTATAGCCTTAGGTAAATAATTGAATACATGTTTCGGGACTTTTCATAATGCTCAGTTTAAACAAAGTTATGATGGCATAAGTGGCCGAAAATTCGCATTTTTCTCCATCAAAAACAAAAAAAGAAAAACGTCACGAGAAAAATGCGAATTTTCGGCCACTTATGCCATCATAACTTTGTTTAAACTGAGCATTATGAAAAGTCCCGAAACATGTATTCAATTATTTATGCAAGGCTGCGTAATTATCGTGGTTTCATCAAAATCGGAGCGAGACCGCTGGCGTCATCGCATTGTTAGAGTAATCCTAAAAGACCATCTTCAAATGCTAGCCAAAAATCCAGTTTTTCTCGGAATTTACAAACTCTTGTACGATTTTAGTCCCAGTTGTTGTACAGTTGTTTTATAATATCCAACATCAAATTCATTTTTGAATTTTTATAGATTTTCGAAATTTTCCTAACCAGGAAAAAAAAACTAAAGTTCTAACCTCCTAACTTTGTATAGACTTAAAAATCATCTAATTTTTGTAAGAAAAACACACGGCGATGAACAGATTTCAAATTCGCCTTTAAACGGAAGAAGGGAAAATTGAGACACAAAAATTCAAGTTCAAAACCCGCACGCAAAAGACCCTTAAAAGATGAATAAATGAGCGAAAGCGGAATTTTTCCAAAATTGGAAAATTTTCAACATTTGCAATTACATAAGTAGCATTTAATATGCTACTTGGGCGATACCGGTAGCTTGCCCAGTTGGATATCGAGCCCGAAATTTGAATTTAAAAAAAGTTTCAGAAAATATTTTCAGGTTTTTAACGAAAATATAAAATAAATTTTTTCGATGTCGATAGCTTATAAAATTCTGCATATTTTTGTCTATAAATCTTGTTCTGTAAGTTTTAAGGCCCTAACATGTCCAACTAGTGTCCAACGTTCATAAACAGTGCAGCAAATGCTTAAAAAACTAAGTTTTACTGCTAATTCCGTTAGTTGGGGTCAGCATAATAGCTGATCGGTAATTTTTGGGGAGATTGCCTGAAGGAAAGGCTTTCACCTTGGTTTTATTCATACGAAAATCCCCGTCTCCAGGGAAAATCTTGAGGTTGAGGGAAAAGCTATTCCCTTTTTCATTTCCCTCAGGGAAAAGCAAATGCCGAAATTTTTATTCATATAATTACGGGAATTTCCCCGGTTTTTTCCGGAAAAAGGATTTCCCTGGTTTTATTCATATCACTAAATGTCTCCATCTTCCCATTTTATATAAACTCGTCTCGTCCCTCTCCTATACTAGAATTTTAACGTTCCCAGATGTCCCCCGTGTTTACGAATGTGACCATTACTGAAGGAAATATGCATGTAAAATCTTCCTCATTTAGGAAGATTTCTTCCTTAGTAATGATGCTACATTGTGCTTAGTTGTATTTCCATTGGACAGAAATAATCCCTGATTTTCTCAGATAACAAGGAATTTTCCAACTGCATGAAACTAACGCTAGAATTTTAGCGTTTTATCTTTTGGATGGAATGCCCACGATGAGAGATGAACGACCATTCATCACTTTTTGAGGCCTGCGGATCAAAATTTGTATGCAAACTAAGATTTCCTGCAGAACTATTTGTACACCTTGGTCTGTTTCGATAACCAAGCCACCTTATGACCCGTGCACGATTGAAATGTGATGCACAAGTTGATCCTTTTTCTCGTCACGATGAAATACGTCGTCATCAGTCTTCCAACCTTGCATTTGTGTCGGCGCATGGAAAAATGGGAGCGAGAAACGAATTTATAAAAAGAATGACTTTACTTCATAAAAATCGCCATGGTCAAAAAGGTAACAAATATTGCGTCATGTTTACACGATTTAACAATTCAATTATACCATAAACTCAGGAAAATAAAAAATATAATAGAGTGGAAATATGTCTTAATTTCACGAAGGGTCAGTCGAAAGATGACAGACTTCAGGGGGATGAAGCTTCCTCAAATGCCTCCCAACATCCGTCTTCCCGCAGTGGGGGCAGGGGTGCCTCCTTTTGAGATGATCACTTTTCACATGCTCTACCATGTCACCCTTCCTCCCGAACTTCTTGGCGCACTCGGGGCACGCGAAGTCCTTCCGCTTCTCGTGAACGGTCTTCTTGTGACTGCCTAGATAATGTTTTTGAGTAAAAGCTTGGACACATTCGTCGCACTGGAATGGTCGCGAAGTGAGTGCGCGCGTGCCTGATTAAGTTATATTTTTTACCGAACAGCGCCCCACACTGGTAGCAGGGGAAGGGTTTCTCCTTCGTGTGGGAGACCAGGTGAGCATGATAAGCGCCGTTGTCGGGGAATTTCTTCTGACAAAATAAGCACGCTCGACTCGTCCCCTGCTTCACGAGGGCGACCTTCTCGTCTTCGGAGAGGTGGGCGAACCGATGATTTGTCAGGTTTTGTTTGGAGGAGAACATTTTTCGACGAGTGTGACACCTTCCGCCCACCTTTTCCCTCGTGTGGGTCAGAAGATGACGACTGAGATGGGATGGAATTTTGAACCGTTTTAAGCAGAAGTAGCAGCCGTGTCGCCAGCCCCGCCGCACCTCCGCGTGCGGCTCAGGTGGACGAAGAGATGCGCGGTCAATTGCTGTTTCGTGGTGAATTTCTGTTTGCAAACGGGACAGCCGTGGGGTTTCCGACGTTCATGGGCATTCACGTGGTCGGTAAAGTCGCGACGAAGGGAAAAAACTTTTTGGGAGTGGGGACATTTCTCGTGGAAAACTGAAGCCTTCTTCAGTTCGTGGGAGTTGAGGTAGGCACTGGTTGCGTTGGTGAAGGGATGGAGGCATGTTTTGCATGGGAAGATTTTTGATGACCTGGTTTTGACTGGAGGTGAGGGCACGTGGTTATCGTCACGTGCTGAGTGAGGAGGGATTTCTTGAAAACGGTCCCCTTCATTGACTTTCTTCATTGTGGGGACGAGCGCTTTCTGTCCTCCGAGCAACTTCCGGTTGACTTCCATTCTGCCCAGAGGAAACGTCTCGTTCTGCTCGGAATGTTCTCCCGCTAGAAAACACACAGATTCCTTTCGTTACACGAAATATTATTAGGTCAGCGTGTCAAGTTAAATGATAGGTTTTACATGAAAATTAAGACTGCAATCTTACCAAGGGCTCTTCAAATTTGCAAGTGCTCGGGATGCAGTCGGTTCCAGAGTAAGGAAAAATCTTTCCCTCGTCAAATCCTGCGGTTCTGGCTCATTCACAATCTTCAAGAGACATCCAGCTTTCTTAATTTTACGACGTTCTGCTCTCCTTTTCTTGGTGGAAAAGAAATGTTTCAAATTTGAGGAAATTTCTGGACCAGGAAGTGAGCTCTTGTTTGGCTGGGAGTTTGTTGGTCTCTGTCTCCCTCAGACTGAGAGATGGCTTCGCTGATCTGCATATCCCACCAAGAGCCAAGTCTCGTATGGTCAGACGTACCAAGAATGCAACAAAATGCAGAAGAATTTCTGTATGGAAGCAAGAAAATAGTGGCACGAGGAAGAAGAAGATGATGCTCATCTCTTTTTCACTAATTATTCCATGCAAATTGAGCCGTTTGTCTACCTCTGGACGAAATTTGGGTGCTTCCACAATCTCTCAAATTTGGTTACGAATCGGAATTCCTTTCCTCTTTCGCCTTTTCATTGAGATTATGGAATTTTGTGCGACTTAAACGACGGAAAATGAAGGAAAGCTCAAGAATTGGAATTCTGCATATGATTGAGTATGGATTTGTCACAAAATGAGACGCATGCATTAAAATATGTAAATGTTTTTACTTCAGAATTTCCAGCGAAAAAAGGAATACTTTAACAAGGAAATTTTAAAGAGTAAAAGCATTTACTTATTTTTATGCAAAGGCCCCGATCATACCTGTTCAAAAATGTAGTTTTCATTCAAAAGTCAGTCATCCGGATATCTGACTGAAGATTTTCATTCACATTCAGTCAGTTTTGTTCAAATTCATTTCATTTCACTTCACTTCATCGGGCTTCAATTCTTACTTCGTCCCATGTGTTAAGCATAGGGTGAAAAATGAAATTGGTGAGAAATCTTTCATTCACAGTCATTCATATGAAGCGACGGAATCCTTCAGTCATTTTCATTCAAATGAGAGTAGTTTCATTTACATTCACTGTTATTCACTATCATAATCAGTCACATGAATGAAAGTGAACAGGTATGGCCCCAATCATGGCAGAAACAGGTCCCCTTTTCTAAAAATGAGTCTGTCTACTCCTCTACATACGTCTGGATATCTTCAAAATGAGGATAAACCAGACCAGAACACATCCGGGATGTGTTTCCTATCGTAATAGGTTGACTGGAAAACGAAACAAATACAACAAAACAGACAAAAGTGAAAGAGAGATCCGAAGAGATGAAGGACTAAATACATAATTTTGGAGAGGACGACTTTCACCCATACCTGTTCACTTTCATTCATTTGATTGACTCTCATGGAGAATGAAAATGAATTTCCTGCTATTTGAGCGAAAATGAATGAAGGATTCAATCATTTCAGATGAGTGACTGCGAATGAAAATTATTCACTCATTTCATTTTTCACCCTATGCTTACTACATGGGGCGAAGTAAGAAATGAAGTCAGATGAAGAAGTGAAATGAAATGAATTTGAACGAAAATGACTGAATGTGAATGAAAATCTTCAGCCAGAAATTGGGATGACTGACTTTTGAATGAAAACTAAAGTTTTGAACAGGTATATTTGTAGTTAGCTTATCATGTTTATAATCAATTCTTGATTTCTTACGTGCTAAATATTACTGGGAGAAATATGCATGCAAAATACATATGTCTCATTTAGTCACATGGCCAGATTTGTTACGATCCGACTTCGGCTGAAGCACGATTTTATTTCCCATGGACAGAAATAATACGTGATTTTCTTTCTTACGTAACACGCCAGTTTCCAAATCCATGAAAATTATGCTGGAATTTTAGAGTTTTATATTTTTGATGGCATGCTCGAGATAAGAAATTGAATACCGGTTCATTAATTATTGAGGTCACAATACAGATAGTATGAAAATTAATACCTATGCAAATTTCTGCAGAATTATTTGTGCACCTTTTTCCGATTCGGTAATACAACCCGGAATTTGAGCCTTGAAGGATTTTCGTGTAAGGGAAAAACTGCCCTTTTTACTCGTCATGGTGCATGAAATATGTTCAAGGGTCGCATTTGTGTCGGCAGATGAAAAAATGCAAGCGAGAAACGAGCAAACTTTTTTTTTCTTACATGATTTTACTACATAAAAATCGTCGTGATCAAAACGGTAACAAAAATTGTGTCATTTTTACACCTTAATAATTCAATTATGCAATTTTTAACAGCACCATAAGAATAATTATTTAGGAATAAGTCGTGAAATAATGTTAACAAAAATATGGGAAACACGTGGTCACTTGATGAGACGCTATTTATGAGAGGTTCTGATGAACCTTCCTTAAGTGTCTCCCAAGATTGGATTTATTCGTGAATGTTTGTCCGCAGTGGGGGCAGGGGTGCCGGATTTTGGCATGAACACTCCTCAGATGTGTCACCATGTGACTCTTCCTCCCGAACTTCTTTCCGCACTCGGGACACGGGACTCGGGCTATGTCCTTCCGCTTCCGGTGCACAGTCTTCTTGTGGCTGGTCAGGTGATATTTTTGACCGAACGCTTGGTCACACTCGTCGCAATTGAACCGTTTTGGGTTGGAAGTGTGGATAAGCTTGTGCCGGCTTAAGCTACAATTAAGGCCGAACTGTTTGCCACACTGGTCGCAGCGGAATGGTTTTTCCTTCGTATGGGAGGCCAGGTGAGCATGATACGTGTCATTGTTAGCGAATATCTTTTGGCAAAATAGGCACTCCCGACTCGTCCCCTGCTTCACGAGGGCGACCTTCTCGTCTTCGGAGAGATGGGCGAAACGATGCCTGGTCAGGGAATATTTGGAGGCGAACGTTTTTTGACAAGTGGGACATTTTCCGCCCACTTTTTCCTTGGTGTGGCGCACAAGATGACGTCTGAGATGGGCCGAAATTCTGAATCGTTTGCTGCAAAAGTAGCAGCCGTGTCGCCAGCCCTGCCGCACCTCGGCGCGCTCCTCGCGGCTCAGGTGGACGAAGGCATGCGCGGTCAATTGCTGTTTTGTGGTGAATTTCTTTTTGCAGGTGGGGCAGTCGTGGTTCTTCCGACCTTCGTGCGCGTTCACGTGGTTGGTAAAGTGGTGACGACGGAGAAACGGTTTTTGGCAGTGGGGGCATTTCTCATGGAAAAGTGAAGACTGCTCCAGCTCGTGGGGGTTGAGGTGGGTGCGGGCGTGGAAGCGAGCAGAGGTTCCGTTGGTGAAGGGACAAAGGCAGATTTTGCAGGGGAAGATTTTCTTCACCACGTGACGACGACGACGACGACGACGCTCCTTTCTGACCACTTTTTTGGCTTTTGATGACCTCCTGTTAGCTGAAGGGGACTCCATGTGGTTGATCTTCACGGTCATCCTGTCCGTCTGCTCGGAAGTGTCGTCCATCGGACGCTTTCTCTGCATACAATATTATTAGATCAGCATGTGGGTGGGGTCAGGGTATGCTACCCCGGGTTTTGGGGTTTTAGTGGGTTTTGGGGTTGCAAACCCACAAGTAGTTGGGGTTTTCAAATTTAATAAAGCATTATAACCGGGCATTACTAACAATTCTAAAGTTAATGAGTTATGTAAATTAAATTCATAAACAGCTTTGTTGAGAAATTACGTAAGAAGCTGATTTTGTTCAAAACCTAATACACAGACTCAGTTTACCCACGACTACCCGGACTACCCCGACTACCCCCAGAACCCAGGTAAAACCCCCCGGAGTTTTCAATAGCAAAACTCCGAGGTTTTCCTTACCCTGGGTGGCGCTGAAAACGGTAGAGTTTACATGAAAATTTAGAATGAAATCTTACCAAATATTTATTTGGGAGTGTGTTTTCCGGAAATAAAAAATCTTTCCCTCGTCGAATCTTGCGTTGCAGGCTCCTCCACAATTTCAGTCCCTCCTGCTATATTTACTTTAAGAATTTTTCCCAATGTAAACTTGGTGGAAATTTTAAAATTAGGAAAATTTCTGGAGACAGGAAGTGACCGGGGGACTGGGGAGCTTGTTGATGTCTGCCTCCGTCGGACCGAGAGATGCCTTCGCGTATCCCACCAAGAGCCAAGTCTCGTACAGTCAGACGTACCAAAAAGGCAACGAAAAAATGCAGAATAATTTCTGTATGCGGATAATAATGCGGATGGAGAATTAAGCAAGAAAGTCGTGCCACAGAAGCATGCTCATTCATTCATTCATTCATCATTATGCAAATTAATCCGATTGTCCACCTCTGCGTGCTTCTGCAATCTCTTAAATTTGGTTATGAATCAGAAGTCGTTTCCTGCAATGTTTCCTAAGTGCGATATTTTTGCCTTTATACGTTGAGATCAGAATTTTGTAGTAATTTCATAAAAATGAACGATTGAAACGGAAAATGAAGGAAAGCTGGACAAGCGGAATTATGTGTACGAATGAGTCCGGATTATTTCTTAACCAGTTAAATGATTGATCAATTCCATTAAATTAAATATGCATGAGTCACATTGTATGAGAAGGTTACATGTCACCAGTGAAAGAGGAAGTTTGAGGGGACAATGTCCCCACGGTTGTTCGATGTCGTTAAACCCGTCCCTCCCCCCATCCTACAATGCTAAGGTCCCCACGGCTTCCGAGGCCACTGTATGTACGTCACCATTAGTGAAGGAAATATGCATGTGAAATCCTTCTCATTCACTTGTGACGCTAGATTGTCCTCCTCCTCGTCCCGCGGTGTGGTTTTATTTCCATTGGACAAAAATAATCCTGATTTTCTCAGATAATAAGGAATTTTCCAACTGCATGAAAATAACGCTGGAACTTTACACTCTTATCTTTTAGATGGAATGCCCACGATGAGAAAGCGAACGACCATTCATTCCTCAATTATTGAGGTGTGCGGATCAAAATTAGTATGCAAATTGAGACTTCCTGCAGAATTATTTATGCCCCTTCGTCCGTTTCGATATGACAACCGCAACCTGAGCCCTGCACGATTTAAGTGTGATGCACAAATTGACCTTCTTCCCGTCAGGATGAAACATGTCGTCCTCACCGTTCCAGCGTTGCATTTATGTCGGCGTATAGAAAAACGAGAGCAGAGTTTAACATAAAAGAGAATGACTTTACTACTTAAAAATCTTCATGGTCAAAACGGTAACAAAAAGTGTATCATATTTATAACTTAAATAATTCAATTATGTAATTTTTATTAGCAGTATAAGAATAATTATTGAAGAATAAATCGTGAAATCATGTTAACAAAAATACACAAAATATGGAAAACATGTTGTCACTGATGGGACGTTGTTTGGGGGGATGAAGAACTTTATTCTGGACGGTGAACCTTCCTCAAATGACTCCCAAGATTGCCTTTCTGCGTGAATGTGTGTCCGCAGTGGGGGCAGGGGTGCCGGATTTTGGCATGAACGCTGCTCACATGTACCACCGTGGCACCCTTCGTCCCGAACTTCTTGCCGCATTCGGAGCACGCGATATCCTTCAACTTCCGGTGAACCCTCTTCTTGTGGCTGCCCAGATTGTGTTTCGTAGTGAACGCTTGGTCGCAGTCGTCGCACTTGAATGGTCGCGGATTCGCGCTGTGAATGCGCTTGTGCAATTTTAAGGCACCATTACGACCAAACAGCTTCCCACACTGGTTGCAGCGGAAAGGTTTCTCCTTCGTGTGGGAGACCAGGTGAGCATGATAATTGGCATTGCTGGCGAATATCGTGTGACAAAATAAGCACTCTCGACCCGAACCCTGCTTCACGAGGGCGACCTTCTCGTCCTCGCTGAGATGAAGGACCCGATGATTGGTCAATTTTTGTTTGGAGGAGAACGTTTTGCGACAAATGTGACACCTTCCGCCCAACTTTTCCTTCGTGTGGGTCGCAAGATGACGATCGAGATAGGGCGAAACTTGGAACCTTTTTCTGCAGAAGTAGCAACCGTGTCGCCAGCTTTGCCGCACCTCCGCGCGCTCCTCGCGACTCAGGTGGACCAAAAGATGACGGGTCAAGTGGTGACGATGGAAGAACACTTTTGCGCAGTGGGCACTGACGGCGATTCCGCTTGGTTATCAAGGCTGACCTCCCCCTTCATCCTGCCTCCTGAGGTTCGATCCCTTTCTCTGCATAGAATATTATGAAGTCAGCATGTGTTGATTAATTTTAGATTTTATATGCAAATTAAGCTCGCAATCTTACCAACGGCTTAAATATTAAAATATTAAAGTTTTAAAGTAGTTAAAATTTTATTTAAGGGTGAGACGTGTGTTCTGGATGCAGTCTGTTCCAGAGTAAAAAAAATCTCCTCCTCTTCGAATGCTGCCTTTCAACCTTCTTCCCCAGGATTTTCAAGCGACGTGCAGCTTTCTTTACACTTCTGGTCGTTTTTAAAAAATGTAAACTGGGTGGAAATGTTTAAAAATTTATCAAATTTCTGGAGTTTGGAAACTTAGGGAAATTTCTGGAGGAAGAAGTGAGAGCTCATGTTTGACGGAGAGTTTGTTGTTCTCGGTCTCCCTCGGCACTCGGACGGAGGGATGCCTTCGCTTATCTGCATATCCCACCAACCAAGAGACAAGTCTCGTACAGTCAGACGTATCAAAAAGGCAACAAAATGCAGAATAATTTGTGTGTGGAGAATTAAGCTATAAAATACTGGAAAAAGCAGGACGGTGATGATTATTTAAATATGCAATGCAAATTGAGCCGCTTGTCCACCTCTGGAAGAAATATGCATGCATCCAGTCCTCAATTTCTCAAATTTGGTTGTGAATCAGAATTCCATTCGTCATCTCTGATCCTGCTGACATATTTTTACCATTGCACTCATGGATTAGAATTATGTGGGGTTTTTATCAAAATGGAATTCAAGCAAATGGAATTCAATGTAGAATTGAGTCTGCATTTCTTAATATTTTTATGCTAAAGGACGAATGCATATTTAATTTAAGGGAAATGTACAGCTTCATCAATCATTTAACTTTCAAGGTTTTAAACACGGTTATGCAAAGAAAATGTGTTATGCAAAGTGGCTGATTTGATTATACCACGTGACTTTTACGGAATACAAATCATGCTATATTACCGGTATGGATTATGCAAAGTGACCAGAAACCGAAACCTGCAATATGGGCCCTACACGATTTAGTATGATGCAAAAAGTGACCGTTCTTCTCGTCACGATGAAACATGTCGTCGTCACTGGTCCAGCCTTGCGTTTGCATGGAAAAATGGGAGCGAGACGCCAGCAGAATTTTACACAAGACAGAATCACTTTAATACATAAAAATCGTCATGCTCAAAAAGGTAACAAAAATCTTGTCACATTTACAACTTAATACTTCAATCATGCCATCTTTATCGGAATAAATATCTCGTCATAAATGGTGAAATGAGGAAAATGTAAAAATATATATCGTATATGGAAAACATGTAGGTGACGGTCAGTTGTACTGCTATTTCGCAGGCCTGCATTCTGATGGGCGAATCCTCTTCACGTGTCGGCCAACACGTGACTTTGTAGTGTTCCCGCAGTGGCGCAGGGGTGGCGGATTTTGGCACGAACACTCATGTGGCGCACCAGGTTATCCTTCTTCCCAAACTTCTTGCCGCATTCAGGGCACGCGAAGTCCTTCACCTTCCGATGCACGGTCTTCGTGTGTCTTGTGAGATGAGCTTTTCGATCAAAAGCTTGGTCACACTTGCTGCACTTGAAGGGTCGCGGATCCGCGCTGTGAATGCGCGCGTGCATGGTTAAGTTACATTTCAAACTGAATAGCGCCCCACACTGGTCGCAGGGAAAAGGTTTCTCCATCGTGTGGGAGACCAGGTGAGACTGATAAGTCAGGTTATCGGGGAATTTCTTGTGACAGAATAAACACTCTCGACTCGAACCCTGCTTCACGAGGGTGACTTTCTCTTCTTCGGAGAAATGGACGAAACCATGGCTGGTCAACTTTTCTTTGGAGGAGAACGCTTTTCGACAAAGGTGACACCTCCCGCCCAACTTTTCCTTCGTGTGGGTGACAAGATGACGACTGAGATGGAATGGACTTTTGAATCGTTTGGTGCAGAAGTAGCAGCCGTGTCGCCAGCCCGCGCGCTCCTCGCTGCTCAGATGGACGAAGCGGTGGTTGGTAAAGTCTCGACGAGTGAAGAACATTTTTTGGCAGTGGGAACATTTCTCGTGGAAAATTGAGGACTGCTCCAGCTCGTCGCAGTTGAGGTGGGTGCGGGCGTGGAGACGAGCACTGGTTCTGTTGGCGAAGGGACGGAGGCATATTTTGCATGGGAAGACTTTCTCAGTGGCAACTTCCGGTATTTTCTTGACTTTTGATGGCCTGTTGTTAGCTGAGGGCGGGGCACGTGGTTATCGACACGTGCTGTCCGCCGTGGCTGGACGGAGTAAGGAGGAAATCGTCCCTTCTCGTGGAAAAGGTCCTCTGTCTCCGTTGTGACGACGAGCGCCTTCTGTCCTCTGAGCAACTTCCGGTTGACCTCCATATCGTCCAAGGGCAACGTTCAGCTCGGAAGTTCCCCCGCTAGCAACGACCGCTTCCTTCCTCTACACAAAATATTCCATAAAATTATTAGGTCCGCATTCGCAGTTGAGTGACAGATTTCATATGAAAATTTGGAATGCAACCTTACCAACGACTCTTTCTTAAAACTTGTGAGGCGTTTGGCCAGGAGTAAAAAATATTTCCCTGCGTTTCCGGCTTTTCCACGATTTTCAAGAGACTTTCAGCTTTTCACTTTGCGACGTTCTGGCTTTTTTTCTCGATGTAAACTGGGTGGAAACGTTTAAAATGTGATGAAATTTCTGGAACAAGAAGTGAGCTCACTCCTGTTTTCTTGGGAGCTTGTTGCTCTCTGTCTCCTCGGACGGAGGGATGGCTTCGCTTATTTGCATACGCCACCAGAAGTCAAGTTTTAACCTCAGTTTTAACCGTAGGGAGTAATTTCTGTGGGGAGAAATAAACAAGAAAATCGTGATGATGCTCATTTGTTAATTATTCCATGCAAATTGAGCCAGTTGTTCACCTCTGGAAGAGCTTATCTGCGTATCCCACCCGCATCCAAGGAATCTCGAAGTCAGTCCCTCCACCAAAAAGGCAACAACATGCAAATTTCAAATTTCTGTACAGAGAATTAAGCAAGAAACTCGTAGGACAAGCAATAAGACGGTGCTGATTAAATATTCCATGCAAATTGAGCCGGATTTCCACCTCTGGAAGAAATCTGCATGCTTTCACAATATCTCAAATTTGGCTATGAATCCGAATTCCTGTCCACCGTTCTTCTGTAAAAGAGAATATTTTTGCCTTTACATTGAGATCAGAATTTTGTGCCAGTTTCATGAAAATGAAGGATCGAATCGGAAAATGAAGGAAAGCTGGAAAAAAAGTAATTCTGCACACGATTTGAACCAGATTTCTTACAAGGGAAACCTCCGAGGTGCCGGTTGAATCCAGGGTTCCCACCTATACCAAAATGACCACAATATGCGATTTATGACGTAAAGTGAAGGAATTTACGTGCAAAAATCACTTTTCGTCAATCTGTGACGATATTTGTGACGGGCGTGTGGGCACGGTTGAGAGTGGATTCAAGGGACCAAGCGTGCGACTCGAAGATTGCAAAGAGTTCTCGCATAATTCAAATTCTCAATTAATATAATTTTAATTTTCATCTTATTTATAACTGTGAACAAAATCGCGTGGACGTCAATTAATGTCGTCATTAGTTAGTAGGTGGTGGTGGTATTCAACAAAAAAGTGGTCGAAACAGAGTTGCAAATTAAATAGATGACAATTGCACATTTGATGAAACTTTCCATTGGAAATACATAAATCCATTTCGCACTTTCAAGCGAATAACAATTCGTGAACATTTTAAAATGTATCTTTATGTTTATAATGTATGTATTGAATTAAGTAACCATCTACATATTTAATGTGCTTATCGTTTCAAAATCAGTCCCAAGACAATTTATTCCATAAATGAAAACACTTTTTTGCAATGTTCATATTTAGGACGATTTATTTGTTGGCCTACCGTTGATTCCAAATTTACTATTTTGCCAATTTCAACAGTCTCAAAAATTATAATTAAGTTTGCAATTATGAGTAAGAATTTTTAAAATTAAATGAAAATTGTGGTTTGCAATAAAAATGAAATATTTATAAACACGATCATGTGTTCAGCCAGCATCCCCGCCTGATGTCTCACGACGAAACTCTATGCTCTCCGTGCTCACACGCTCGTCACAAATATCGTCACAACTTGACGAAAAGTGATTTTTGCACATAAATTCCTTCACTTTACGTCATAAATCGCATGTTGTGGTCATTTTGGTATAGGTGGGAACCCTGGATTCAACCGGCACCTCGGAGGTTTCCCTTGTTAGATTTTCTCGTACAATGTGATCCATGCATATTTAATTTTATACTGGAAATGAGCACCTGGATCAATTAGTAATTTCTTACGCCATGTAAATTGACCACTTGTGGACGCAGAATCTCGCAAATTTACTATATTTGTCATCCTATTCTTACGCTAAATTCTTGACTTCATATGTATGCAGTGGCCGCGGAAGGAAGCTTGAGGGGACAGAGGGACAATGTCCCCGCGGTTGCTCGATATAATCTTATATAAACCCGGCCCTCCCTCCCCCATCCTACAATGCTGAAGTCCCCCGATGTCCCCATGGCTTCCGCGGCCATTGTATGTTTGTCCCCACAACGGAAGGAAATATGCATGTAAAATCTTTCTCATTTACTTGTAACGAAAGATTGGCCTCCTCCTCGTTCGCCAGAGTGGTTTTACTCCCACTGGACAAAAATAATGCCTGATTTTCTCAAATAAAACGGAATTTTCCAACTGCATGAAAATAACGCTGGAATTTCAGACTTTTATCTTTTGGATGAAATGCCCACTACGAGAAAGTGAATGACCGACCTTTCCTCAATTATTCATTGATCTACGGATCAAAATTAGTATGCAAGCTGAGACTTCCTGCAGAATTATTTGGTCACCTTGGTCCTTTTCGATATGCAACATGAGCCCTGCATGAGTTAAGTGTGATGCACAAATTTCACCCTTCTTCTCGTCACGATGAAACATGTCGTCGTCACTGTTCGAGCCTTGCATTTGTTTTGGCGCATGGAAAAATGGGAGCGAGATGCGAGTAGATGTTTTTCATATAAAATAGAATTACTTTACTTCATAAAAATCGTCGTGGTCAAAACGGTAACAAAAATTCGCGGTGTGTTTACAACTAATCTATTTTTATCAGTCTGAAAATATCTCTTCATCAACAGTGTACTCAGTAAACTACATAAAGATATATAACGTAAGGAAAACATGTCGTCAGCATATTTTTTCATGTAAAACAGAATTACACCATAAAAATCGTCGTGGTCAAAAACGTAACAAAAATTGGGTCATGTTTATCATAATAATTCAAGTATGCCATTTTTATCGCAATAAATATCTCGTCATAAATGGTGAAATCAGAAACATAAAAATCTAAGGTATGGGAAACATTACACGTAATTTGACGAGGGATCAGTTGAAAGATGAAGGGTTTCATTCTGGGGGGTGAACCTTCCTCAAGTGTCTCTCAAGATGGTCTTTCCTCGAGAATGTCTGTCCGCAGTGGGGGCAGGGGTGCCGGATCTTGGCATGAATACTGCTCACATGTCGCACCATGTCACTCTTCGTGCCGAACTTCTTGGCGCAGTGGAGGCAGGCGATGTCCTTCAGCTTCCGGTGGACAGTCTTCTTGTGGATGCCCAGATTGTGTTTACTGCTGAACGCTTTGTCGCAGTCGTCGCACTTGAAGGTGTAGTGTAATGCGTGTGAGATGCAATTAGGTAGCGTTGGCCATCGACACACCATTAACACCGATGTCGAAATCAGTCAGAGAGCGAGCACTGGAGAGTAACTATTTACATGTCTTTATTCTCCAAGTAGCAGTTGGTGACTGACTGGGCAAGTGAGACGAGCACAGTCAGAGATACAGAAATATGAGACTTAACTATACCCTATGACATACCTTACACCACAGAAGGGTCGAGGATCCGCGCTGTGAATGCGCTTGTGCTTAATGAAGTCACCTTTACCACCAAACAGCGTTCCACACTGGTCGCAGCGGAAAGGTTTCTCCTTCGTGTGGGAGACCAGGTGGACGTGATAAGTCCCGTTGGAAAGGAATTTCTTCTGGCAGAATAAGCACTCTCGACACGAACCCTGCTTCACGAGGGCGACCTTCTCATCTTCGCTGAGATGAGTGAAGCGATGAGTGGTCAGGGAACATTTGGAGGCCAACGTTTTTCGACAAATGTGACACCTACCGCCCACTTTTTCCTTTGTGTGGGTCACAAGATGACGACTGAGATGGGCTAAACGTTTGAAATGTTTGCCGCAGAAGTAGCAAACATGTCGCCAGCCCTGCCGCACCTTCGCGCGCTCCTCGCGACTCAGGTGGACGAAGAGATGCCGGGTCAAACTTGTTTTCTGGGTGAACTTCTGCTTGCAAACGGGGCGGGCGTGGTTCTTTCGACCTTCGTGCGCAGCCACGTGGTCGGAAAAATGGTGCCGTTTGAAGAAGTCTTTTTGGCAGTGGGGGCATTTCTCATGGAAAAGCGAGGACTGCTCCAGTTCGGCCGGGTTGAGGTGGGTGCGGGCGTGGAGGTGAGCACTGGTTCCGTTGGCGAAGGGACGAAGGCAGATTTTGCATGGGAAGACTTTCTCCACCACGTGACGACCACGCTTTCCGCCAACGTGCCGTAATTTATAGGCCTTCGCTGGCACCCTGCTAGCTGACGGCGACTCTGCTTGGTTATCATGACTGACCTCCCCCTTATTCATCCTGCCTCCTGAAATTCCCAGGCCAGCAACAATCGATCCCTTTCTCTGCACAGAATATTATTAAGTCAGCATATGTAGTTGACTAATAGATTTTATATGCAAATTAAGCATGAAATCTTACCAATAACGACTCGTTGTTAATATTTGGGGGTCAAACGTGTGTTCGATATGCAGTCGGTTCCAGAGTAACAAAATCTCCTCCTCCTCGAATCCTACCTTTCAACCTTTTTCCCCAAGGCTTTCAACCAACGTTTAGATTTCTTTACGCTTCTGGTCGTTTTATTAAATGTAAACTGGATGGAAATGTTTAAAAATGTATCAAATTTCTGGAGTTTGGAAACTTTTAAAACTAGGGAAAGACACTAATCGAACTTGATGGTAACCGTGGGCCCCTTTGCATTATTTTTCATTGATTACAATGCAAAATGCTGGGCCCCCGATATTAATTATTATTTTTAGTTGTGTGGTAACAAATCATTTAAGATTAAGCGAGAA